ATATGTTTAGGTCGGACACGTCTTGAACCAATAGCTATTGTAATTTTATCCGTTATAATGTGTGCTGCATCGGTTTTAGTCATCTATGAATCTATTAATACAATTACTAATGATGCAGGCTATTTTACCGAAGTGAATACAACAAAAACATTAACAAAAATTGATATGAGTGCATTACCGATATTAGTGATGGCTGTAACAATTGTTAGTAAAGCAATTTTATTTTTTCTATGTTACCGTATAAAAACTCCAACCATGTCAGCATTGAGTTCTGATCATCGTAATGATGTCTTTTCGAATATTGTTGCACTTACTTGTGGTCTCATCGGTAATGTACAGAACTTATTTCAATTTTATCTGTCTATTTTTCAATTTCAGGTTCGATTGCATATAGAAAAGAACTAAGACAAGAAGCCATTATCATTGATCCTGTCGGTGCTATTCTGATTTCATTCTATATTATTTTCACATGGATTCGACAAGCCAATGGTTAGTTGCATATAGGTCTTATTTCTTATCGAATATTATCATATTCCTTGTAAAGTGTCACCTACAAAGAGTCTTAAAGGATAAAGTGTGAGAATTTATGTCTACTTTTGGATAAATAGAATCGATAGTTAACGAGAAACATTGGAATTTCGTTTACAACTTTTTTATTTTATTTAGCTCAAGTAAAACGATTAAGTGGATTTACAGCTGATCCACAATTTCTTTCACAAATAACTGTAAATAGAAGTTTTGTTTTTGTTGAGGAGAAAATTTTCTAATTGTTATTTTGTGTTTAGTGGATAACTTACCATCATTCTCCATTAATTGAAAAAATTGATACGGTACGAGCGTTCTATTTCGGTACATCGTTTTTGGTTGAAGTTGATATTGTTTTACGGGAGGACATGATGCTTAAAGAAGCACATAATATTGGAGAATCATTACAAAAGAAAATTGAAGAGTTACCTGAAGTCGAACGAGTAAGTTCACAACCGAATTTTGTTGTTTGTTTTCATACGTGATATGTGAATTTTAATTTCTAGGCATTCGTTCATGTCGATTATGAATATTCACATAGCCCAGGTGATGAACACAGAGTTGTTTAAGTAGGACACGCTGATGCTATTTTTTCCGTTGGATACTGTATTTTATATATTATGCCATTGACGATTGATGAAATACACTAAATAATAAAAACCTGTTTTACATGACAGACTTGATGAAAATATGACTATATCCTTGAGTGAACGAGTGAAATTTTACATAGACTACAACATATTCAAGATAGCAATGACTTCTATATCCTAACATGTCACTTTTATTAGAAGTTGAGGAACTCGAATTGTTTTGGTGTACTACCTTTATATCATATAGTTACATTTTAGAACATCGAAGTCGATACCTTAGGGATAATACTACACGATGATATCTATCAGTATTACCATATACTCATTTTTTTCTAGCTCCCTTTTATTTGAATCTTACATTTCTACATAAGCTCGTTTAGTTCTCGTGGCCTGCACATACCATCTCACTGATTATTATATCTTGTAAACATGCTTTTTGCTATCTATTTTATTGTTTGTAGTTCTAGCCTTTATATTTTTTGCATGCGATAAAAAACAGTCGACAAAGAACATCGAAAGATAATTATTTCGAGAATGTTAGTATATGATAGTTCAACTTATTTAGACGTAAATATCTTCGCCGATGCTTCGAAAAGAGAATGTTTTTATATATCATACATAAGAGTAATCTCCATCAGGTTCAAAAATGTATAGATCTGGATCTGAATACCATGATTCCTTTGCATAAACGATATAGTCGGAAATCGAGGCAAAAGCGAAACAGAGGTAAGGATGCACGTTATGGCTAGTAAAGTTTTTGTTTTACTTTGTAATAGTTATCGACCAAGCAAATATTCAAGAATTCACTCAGATTAATTTTATTCTTTGTTTAGACTCATTTAAAGTATTTATATAGCGGCGTGTTGCATGCGTCGATCCTATTTTTAATCGACCTTATAAGCACCAAAATCTAATAATCTATGTCTTTATTTAGGTTCATCCCTTCGAAACTTAGTTGACTAGAAAAGTGCTTATTAGCGTCATCTTCAAAATTTTCGCCACTTTGATAAACTCGATATTTTCACCTTTCTATAGATATCTGTTTTCTCTTGTTTTTTTTCTAACATTCACAAGGGAACTATGCTAAAAGCGAATAGGTAACTATCACGTTTTTTCTATTATCTTGATCAAACGATAAAAACATTTCATCTCATTGAAAATCGACGATTATATCAACAATTTCTATGACAGGGGACCCCAATGTAGTGAAAGATACAGTGCTTTAGCGCTCAATATTCATTCGAATTGCTTTTATATCGCGTGCTAGCCGACATAGTGGAACCTTCAAAGGGGTCACAAGTACGATCGCAATAGCGGTGAAATTACGCAGTTATCGATGGAATGAGTACACATGACTATCATAGTATATTACAAGAAAAAAACAAGAAGTCAATAATGATCCATAAAAGTCAAAATAAAAGTGATATATTCTTGTTTTATTTTACCTTGGTGATATTTGCTTTAATCTCTAGATATACGTTTTCTTGCACTTGAAAAGACGGATTTTGTTTTTATGTATAAAAAAGTGTGCCTTAGGGCCAACAGCGAAACAGCTCAATTGAGGACGAAAATATAATATGGTAATATATTTATTTTACAGTTCATTAGTAATTACGTTGATAAATACTTTCTCTAATTCAAGAATATTCTACTCATGTAGAGCATCAGCCATATTTTTGCTACCCAGTGATAATTTCACGTACGGGAAAAGTATATAAATAATCACTGTCACTATGTTTAGTGATTTAACCTGTTTGGTAGGTGATATGAAAAAAACGAAGTTTCATAGAGCATACGTTTTTTTGAACTTGAATTTTTCTATGAAGTAAAACATAAATCATACTATCAATATCGCTTTCATGTTTATTTTACATCTATCTTCGAGTTCAATTGAACCTACGAATACCGTCGATTATCTCGTTCTCTCGGTTACAAAACCTGTTCATTGTTCGACGAAAAAAAAGAGCATCGATGAAATAATAAAAACTTCAAAGACTTGATTCATTGAAGTGTAACGAAAGAACGAAAAAACAAAAATAGCACAGTTAAAACATAATAAATTGACTACTTATATTCGTTCCTTTTTTTAAAAACTAAATAGCAATAAAAGTAACATGCATCATACAAACGAGTCTTATGATCATAAATCAGACAGAACGTCTGTCGACCGGATTTCACCCAATGAGAAAAATGAACCATCGCCAAAATCTACACCACAATCAAGTCGTGCTTCAACACACGGCAAAACTCTGAAACCAACTGGTCTTTCCTTTTCAACAGTCGATAAAAATCAGCAAAATGATGTAACGTCACTCTCAAATGATGTTCATACGAAAAATCAAGTGGCGTCTTCATCCGATGAGGATCCATATTACTCTTTGAAACACTTACAAGAAAGACGTCGAGGTAAACGCGATGAAGATTCTGAATTGCCTCGGCGCGTGAAGCGATTTTATAAAAATCAAGATGAACTTATTGATGTTTTCGAACGTTTGCATGGCTCCGGAACAGAACACGGAGCAGAAAATGATGTCTACAGAGCAGAGAAAGAAAAAGATAAAAGAATATCCAAGATATTAACTAAAGTTTCACTTGGCGTCAATCTAGTACGTTTAGATCGTAATTTAATCATTATGACATTAATAATTTATTTATTCTAGGCTTTATTTATATTAAAAATTGTCGGTGCTGTTATTTCACATTCACTTTCAGTTGTTTCTTCTGTGATTGATTCAGCTGTTGATCTTACAACATCGGTTATTTTATTTTGGGCCTGGCGTGCAATAAAAAAACGGGATTCATATCGATATCCACAAGGTAATGAGAAAACATACGATAGCAACAACTAGTTTCAGTGTGTTCGAGTGTGACGTGTTACTTCGATGTGTAATTATCATATGGGCGCATTAATCTTGAATTTAAAATGTTACTGGTGTTGCTCGTGAAGTGGCTATTCATTTCGCGTTGAATACTAGAAACGGCACAAAGAGTGAGATTCATATAGCTCTACGAATATATTCAAAACAGTCGGGAATACATTAGATTGGTAATAAGACATTTTTTTATTGAGGATAAATCGCACACATTTGGATTCAAGAGCTGCTAACATAAAAAATTGATGTATCGATGCAATACACTTGTCCCCTCTTGATACGAAAGAAATTAATCGAGAACATAAATACGTTGAATTTATACTATCGCTATTTGCACTTAAACATATATAGACACTATATCATTCAGCGAGCGTAGTTTCAAATTGAGTTGTCAATCAAGATTCATTGCTTATGCACATGATTGTATTGAGATAGTTGAACTGTTAGCGGCATCGATAATTCACGTATTTTATGGCGTAATTTCAATCATAGGGACTCGATCATCTCTCCAACCATGCACACGTTCATTTTCAACACATTACTACATTTCACAATTGACTCATACAAAGTCGATGTCCCTTATTATATGGCTCACTATCACAATCATACATCTCCACGATTATACATGTTTACTTACGCATATTGCACGTGTCGCGAGTAAGCGAACGTTCTTTTACCTCCGTTAGCCATTGTATGTTCATGTATGTACAAAAAACACGTGCACGATTCTAATACTGAAGCATGTAGATTATCATACGTCTTTGTATATGACGATTTACGATTACGTTTCTTGGACTCGACCGATCACTGAAACTATAGCAGCAATATAAAGTTGAATAAATTTTCACCTCTCATTCAAGCAAATCTACTCAATAAGCAATGTAAGCCTTGCTATTACTTAAAACTTTTTCGTGGTTCAGCAAATGATTAGATTTTCTGCTTCTGCAGTTTTTGGTGTGAATTAGTCAAAACTCATTCTGTGAAATTATTTCTTAACACTACTTTTACATATGTTTAGGTCGGACACGTCTTGAACCAATAGCTATTGTAATTTTATCCGTTATAATGTGTGCTGCATCGGTTTTAGTCATCTATGAATCTATTAATACAATTACTAATGATGCAGGCTATTTTACCGAAGTGAATACAACAAAAACATTAACAAAAATTGATATGAGTGCATTACCGATATTAGTGATGGCTGTAACAATTGTTAGTAAAGCAATTTTATTTTTTCTATGTTACCGTATAAAAACTCCAACCATGTCAGCATTGAGTTCTGATCATCGTAATGATGTCTTTTCGAATATTGTTGCACTTACTTGTGGTCTCATCGGTAATGTACAGAACTTATTTCAATTTTATCTGTCTATTTTTCAATTTCAGGTTCGATTGCATATAGAAAAGAACTAAGACAAGAAGCCATTATCATTGATCCTGTCGGTGCTATTCTGATTTCATTCTATATTATTTTCACATGGATTCGACAAGCCAATGGTTAGTTGCATATAGGTCTTATTTCTTATCGAATATTATCATATTCCTTGTAAAGTGTCACCTACAAAGAGTCTTAAAGGATAAAGTGTGAGAATTTATGTCTACTTTTGGATAAATAGAATCGATAGTTAACGAGAAACATTGGAATTTCGTTTACAACTTTTTTATTTTATTTAGCTCAAGTAAAACGATTAAGTGGATTTACAGCTGATCCACAATTTCTTTCACAAATAACTGTAAATAGAAGTTTTGTTTTTGTTGAGGAGAAAATTTTCTAATTGTTATTTTGTGTTTAGTGGATAACTTACCATCATTCTCCATTAATTGAAAAAATTGATACGGTACGAGCGTTCTATTTCGGTACATCGTTTTTGGTTGAAGTTGATATTGTTTTACGGGAGGACATGATGCTTAAAGAAGCACATGATATTGGAGAATCATTACAAAAGAAAATTGAAGAGTTACCTGAAGTCGAACGAGTAAGTTCACAACCGAATTTTGTTGTTTGTTTTCATACTTGATATGTGAATTTTAATTTTCAGGCATTCGTTCATCTCGATCATGAATATTCTCATTGTCCAGGTGATGAACATAAAGTTGTTTAAATAGAGCGCGTTGAAGCTTTTTTTTCTCCTTCTAATATCATATTTAATGTGTTATGTCATTCACGATCGATGAAATAAAGACGATAGTAAAGCAAGTTTTACATGATAGACTTGGCGAAAAGCAATTTAACTATGACTATACGCGTCAGTGGAATACTGATATTTTAACGGAAATTTTACGTCGACTTGAACAAATTCAAGATAGAAATCTTAATCAACAAATGAAATATGTTGTAACAGTTTTAATAGGTGAAAAAACAAAAGAAATGAAACTTGGTTTGCATACAGCTCTCTCTTGTTTATGGGACGGAACAACAGATGGATGTGTTACAGTTAAATGGGAAAATAAAAGTATTTTTTCGATTATCAATGTTTTTGGTTTGGCTGTTTAGAAAAAACAAGGGAATGCTATTCAGCAAATATTTATACAGTGAAATAAATGTAGATGTTTCAACGAAAATAAAGTGTTTTTTACGCGTGAGCTAGAGTGAAAAATGCTTGAACAGAGGATATGGGAATTGCAATAGTTCTTGCGCAGACAACTTCATCTCCATGAGTTATGGGTACACTGTATGATGCAATAGAAAAATATCTTGTAGTTAATATCGAGTGATGAAAATCTTACTGAATCTTCCACTATGATTGTCGTTAATAATAAGTAAAAATTCGATCATACAAGTATCACTTGGCAGTGCTATTCAGTGCTTCGCTTTGCATGTTCGTTTTACTTCTATTCCAGCAATAATATTCTCAAAATAGCACACCATTTCCTCTGGAATCAGTCTCTTGTCGGATGTTCAGCGTATGAATATAATATTATTGCTCAGCTTGGCGAAAATTTTCATCGCAGTCAACCATGTTAAATTTATTCTACTTTGACAAATTTCAAAAAGCAAGAATGCTTGTTTAAAACTGAATTTTTCTGCATTACTCTTGTATCACACGTGAACACGTGCTATAAATTAATATTATGCATCGTGTATTTTTGCTACTATCACAATAATTTTGAATCTTTCAGTTCTCACATTCGTCCTACTGCTTCAAACCACGTGATTAATTGTTTTTAAGTAACAATATGAACGTCATCTTTTCGCGATAATCATTATAGTAACTAAGCCTACGCATATGAATTATTCCTATTTCGTGAAGAATTTAAATTCACGTCGCGTTCCAAAACGTAAAGACCGATCTAATCTGAATTGCTACTTAAGTAAGGATACGGATAACTCTTCACAATAATTTTGCCTACACAAATTTTATTATTATTTCACAAAGCACTTTTTTCGGCTCATATAATATTTATTAATTCGATAAATTCTATAAAAATTTGTTTTTGTTCTAGCTGATCAGCTTCTAGGAAATTGACACAATCTTTCTCATTAGAATGGATGCCTGGGTAGTTTCGCAGTACCATTTGCCTATTGGTAGTTCTTTTCTTTCTTCATCGCCATCATCATAGATACAAGTAGATGAAGAATTCTCTCTTTTCTACAATATAAATTAATAGTTGAAATCATACGAGCCATCTTCATCGACACCGCTGTTCGCCTTTCTATTATCTACAGTGTATGTATCTGTTATTTCTTTTACACTTCTTCTTTTTTTTTTGTCTTAGATACGAGAAAATTTCACTGTGGTCTTATCTTCTCGATTTTTTTTTCGCTTGTTATTTTTGTTGGTGAAACTGAGATGGTAGTAATAACTACGATATGTAAGCGTGAGATTCCATTCTACATATGTGTTCGACAATAAGAAAAGAATCTATGCTATGAGTTTAGACCATTATGCCACCCAATCAAGTAAGTCTACTTATTAATTACGTCATATTAATAGAAAACTATTAGTCATTAATTATAATCTTATTGAAGTCTGATTATTCATCAGTACGAATAAACTAAATGTCGAAGAAAATAAGTGATTTATAAAAAAATACCATTTTCGATTCTATTCATTTTTGTTTATAGTGAACAAAGACAAACTCGTACAGCTAGGTGTTCATGAACTCAAGATGACGCACTATTTCTTGAAAAGAATAATTAACAACGCTGAATCACGTTTTTTTCCTCTTTGATAAGCGTTCGAAGATAAACCTACGAGACAAAGCTAAGTTTTGTCCCGTTTTTTTCGTCTTCAAATTGAAGGTTGCTTTTATCGAATCGCTAATATGTAAGAACAAATGATAAGAATATGACTAAAATTCAGCTTTTTTTCACGTGGCCTTGTGAGACGTCACTTTTCAAACAAAACAAAGAATACTTTACATTCTTTTCCTGCATGAATCTTCATTGTGCTAGATTTGAAAATATTTGAGACAACATACTCATGCGTGCCTTCTTACTTTTCAATCTTAAAATATATTTGATCCTTTTCTCTGACTAATCGATTACTAACTCTTTTGATAACATTGTGATTCATAATAAATCCTCATATTCGTTTGTCATCTGGTCTGATAAAACGAAAGAGACCAGTTCCATCCCCGTATATCTGTCTGTCCCGCTTGTTCAACAAGCTCGCATCAATCGGGCAATATATTCGATTTAGAGAGAAGTTCGAAGGACACCATTTGTTCGTTTACAATGAATCATCTCGCTACTTGCTTAGCCTTTTTTCTTCTTCTATTTCAAAAATAGTAACACTGTCATTGACAAAACGTCACATCTATTTAATCTTTATCATTTTAGATAAGCTTATAACCGTTCCGAAATATATTTGGTGCGAGAGCATAAACAAGACGAATACCTCTGTGTGTGAAGTACTTTTAAACAAAATCGATTAGACTGCGAAATAATTACAAAAACTAAAATGGCACCTAAACCTGTAAGTCAAAATTAAATGAATATGGAACGTAGAAGGATGCATCATGATCAATCTTTGTTTTATTATTTAAAAAAAAAACTTCATGAAAAAAAATACATGCTTCTACAGTTGCTTATAAATATAATCGATAAGAAAGACAGTGGTTATTTGGCATAATATTATTTTTTGTTCAATTTAAAAAAATACTATCTTGATTTTTTTTATTCGTAGTTCAGAGTATGTGTAACAACAGTAAACAATGAATTTAACTTCATCATGGATCCGAAGGTTACTGGTAAACAGCTGTTTGATCAAGTAAGAATTTATAAAAGAAAGATGTATTGCTATTTAATTTTAATTTTAAGGTCGCTCGAATTATTAACCTTCGTGAAACATGGTTTTTTGGTCTTGAATATACGGATGCAAAATCATTTAGTTGTTGGCTTAAGCTTGAAAAAAAAATTCTTAGTCACAATGTACAGAAAGATCACGCACAAGTATTACACTTTCGGTTTCTTGCTCGATTCTATCCGGAAGATGTGTCAGAAGAACTCATCGAAGAGATAACTCAAGTATGGAAAGCATGACTTCTCGTGAGATTCACAGTCGGATTACTAAAGCATAAAAGGATTCAAGAAAATTTTCTTTTACAGTTAGTGAGGGACCTTCCGATTAGGCAAATACTATCGGTTAGAATCTGAATTTTGCACTCATGAAGAAGAAGAGACCAGGCACATTGTTGTTTGTTCCTTTCTTTCTCTTGGTGTCTTGTTGCTATGAACGAAGCTATGGGCCCATCTGAAAATTGAATTTTGCTTCGGATCAAATCCAGAATTTTATGCAAGTCGTGTTGCGATATGTTACGATCTGATCCTTATCCGATCATAAGACGAAGATAAAGTGTCTCTTCTAGCCTAACTGGTTGAGGACATCTGCCCGGATAGCAGAAAGGTACGTGGTTCGAGTCGCGTGAAGAGTTATCTTTCCCTTCGTTCTGTGGTCTTTCCAACTCGTTGCATTATCTCGCATGATTCATAAGATCAAAGAGGTATGTTCAGATTTCCGAAAAAGGAAATTACAGAAATTTCCGAAGCTTCCATCAACTCGATTACTACATAGCAAAGCAAATGAAAATTTTTTGAAAATATTTGAAAGTTTAGAAATTTCGCTTTGTACAGAATTTTGGAAATTTCAGAAATTTCGGAAATTGTATAATTTTGGGAAGTACCAAACAATTTAGAACACAAGTACTTGAAATTTCCAAAACTTCCAAAATTTCCTTTTTTGGAAGTCTGAACACTGCTGAGATCAAAACGAATCATAAGACGATACACTTTACACCTTCCGACTCATCACTTTCGAAAATTACAATTAGTTTTTCGTCCGCTAAAGTAATAAACCTTCATCTAGACTATTCGATATATAACAATTCTAAGTATCTATGAGACATTGAAAACTTTATCTGTGACTCATCATTGTAATTAATTAAATTATTTTCGCATAATAAGATATAGTACTTTGAATTCTAGAGTCTTTTTTTCCTTCAAGTAAAACAGTTAATTCTTGATGATTTAATCTATTGTCCACCCGAAACATGTGTTCTACTTGCTTCGTACGCAATGCAAGTTAAATATGGAGATTATGATGAAAATAAATATCCACCAGGATCATTAACTAACGAACGACTTTTACCTCAGCGTGTTGGCAATCAATTTCAATTATCAAGCGAAGAATGGGTAAAACGTGTGGTGAATTGGTGGAAAGAACATGAAGGACTAATGAAGTGAGATTATAGTTTTTTTTAAACTCTGTTATATACGAAGCCTTGATTTTCTTGGCAAGTTTTCAATCTGCTATTTTTAAGAATGATCTCGAAAATTTCTTGTATATTAGAAGAGTACATGATGCTAGTCTGGTCATACAGCTATAGAAGATCTATCTAGATCTACATTAGAGAAAATTTTTTATTGCAGGAAATAATTTGATGATTGAATGTTTTAGAGAAGAAGCAATGATTGAATATCTGAAAGTTGCTCAAGATCTTGAGATGTTTGGCATATCTTATTTTGAAATTCAAAATCAAAAGGGTACTGCTCTTCTTCTTGGTGTCGACGCAATCGGTATTAATATCTACGATAGACGAGACAAGTAAAATTTCTTAAGGTATCTTTAGTTAAATTACCATTTATTCATTAAGATTAATACCTAAACTTGGCTTTCCATGGATTGAAATACGAACTGTATTGTTCAAGGATAAAAAATTTATCATACAACCAGCCGACAATCAATCTCCTGACTTTGTTTTTACGACAACGAGAATTTCTGCTAATCGTCAAATTTTATCTTTTTGTGAGAAGAATCATGAGTTGTATGTGCGTCGCCGAAACCCAGAGACAACAGAAGTAGCACAAATGAAAGCTCAAGCAGCAGCAGAAAAACGAGCGCGTAATAAAGAACGGTATGATTGGAAAAGATTTTAAAATAAATTCTATTTTGTTGCATTCGTAGAGAACGTGTTCGAGTCGAAATTGAACGTCGCAAACAAGCGGAACAAGAACGTGAAAGTTTACAGCAAAAAATTGATGGTCTGGAACGAAGTACGCAACTTATTAGACAAGGTTTGTAGAATAGAAAACGGATCTCAATGTCTAATGTATTCTAGAAAACTCATCAAGACGATCGTCCCAGTCTTCTACGGCTGGATGTAAGATAGTTTTATGAAAAAGAAAATGATTTTGAATTCTATTGATTGTTTGCTCCCTAATGCTCTTGTTTTTTTTAATGTGAAGTTCATTATATTTTTTTGTTTGATTTTAAGCCATTGACGAACAAAACCACCGAGCAAAAGAATCCGATGATAAACGTCGAAAAGCTGAAAAAGCACAATTACATTTACAACGAGCACAACAAGAAGCTGATAGAGAACATCGAAGAGCATCGGAACGAACTCGTTATGAAAAAGCCGAAAGAGAAAAAGCTGTATGTTTAATCTATTTATCAAATTTTATCATGAAACAGGAATCTATGTAGAAGTTTCTTCTTGTGTCATAAGAAAAAAAGTACTGTTCTAAGTTGTAACTATGAGAGTTATTTCTTTGTTCTCAACATTCGGTATCTGATAAAATCCTATCAAATTCTATAGGAATCTTTAGCGTTGAATACTAAATGACGAATGAATTCTTAATCTTCACTCTACATGTTCATTCGTAGTAGACGCTAAACCCATAAATAGGACTCATCCATCCGTTTGATCGAAAGAAAACTGGAAAATCTTAAAATCAGATCAAACCTCGAGATAGTTGAAATCGATTATTGGATTAACATTTTTTATTTTATGTTTTCAGCGATTATGGCGTTTGGACAATCCTGTTTGTTTTTGGGTATAAATATTTATAGCACACCCTATTAGTATGTAGATAAACAAGCATGACTCACATAATAGAAAAACTAAAGATAGCATGTATAATAGAAAACTTTTTATTTAACTGATAAACCGTAGTTAGCATGTTTCTTAGATTTATGCTTACAAAAAGTTCAGAAAAAGAACACTTTTATATATTGTTTCCAAGGTACAAGAAATTGAAAAAACTTGTTTATTAGCCGAAGAAAACGCTCAAGAAGCTCAACGAAAAGAGAATGAAGCGCGTCAAATTGAAGAAGATTTACGAGAAACACAAATGAGAGTAGGTGTTTATTGAATTTCCATTGGTTTCTTCTCCTAATTAATAGAACTTTTCGAAATCGATAATCAATCTTGCTCTAGTATTACTCTCATAATAAAGTCGGACTTTGACGCATCGGCCTAAGTCAACGAATTTTTTAAATATAATTCATTCGATTTCAGCCATCTTTTCTCCGGGCTACTTTGGGGATATGAGTGTTTATGTCGATATAACATCGGAAATATAAAAGATGAATTTTTCATCTGATACTGTTTAGATTCTTCAAGCTAAAAAGAGCTACGATAATGGCTTTAAAGAAGGATCTGAAGAATATGCAATGCCTGCCGATACTGACAGTGATGAAGACGAAAATAGCACACATCGTAAAGAACAAAGCAATTAAAACACAATACATCTTTTCTTTTCCATTTTTGTAATTTTTCTACCTGTAGGCTTCGATACAATGGGAAAGGGATCCACTCATGAAGATATGCGTACAACTACAACGACAAGAGATCAAAATAGAACACAAAAACTTGAAGTATGTAGCATTTTTAATTATTTTTCTCTCATTCGTGCAGAATGATTTGCTACTGATACAGACAGGCTTTCAAAAGTGATTCGTATCCTAGTTAGAATCATCGATAGAGATCGTTTACCTGAATAAAATATTAAATTATTCCGAGACAAAGTACGCTGTAAAAAAATCCGCAGAATAATAAACGGAAAAAAGCGTTTTTGATAGGGTATTTAACAAAAAAAAAGGGTTTATGAAGGTGCAACCTGTCATAAACCCATTTTTTACCGTACATGACTAAGATAATAAACGATTTTTAGGTTTATGATTTGGAAAAAGGATTTGTCAGATATTTTGAAAAATGGGAAAAGGGTATGTGTCACGTTGCACCTTCATAAACCCTTTTTTTCTTACAGCGTACCTTTGAGTTTGGACACGTAAAATACGATCCCGTTAGTTTCTCAGTTTTTATTTTGGAAAATGAAAGTACAGAGATAAATTATTCTTATATTATGTTACTATAGGCTGAACGAAAGAGTCTTGTACAACGACAACAACAAGCAGATACACGCGAAGATAAAATTTCTCGAGAAAATACAACTGACAAAGGTATTGATAAATATAAAACATTGCAGAAAATACGTGAAGGAACTGGTGAGTCATTTTTGTTTTTGTTTAATTCGTTTTATTTAAATTAATCTTCATTTAGTCAAACGACGCATCGATGAATTTGAAGCTATGTGAATCATAATGAAAATTTTATGTTTGGATATTTGTTTAAAAATATTTCCATTCGTTTCTTGTCCTATTTTTTTTAATACTGTCATTTAATCGTTTTTCTTCTTGCTTTGATCTAAATGAATTCAATAAAGAGAATAATAATATAGAGATATCAATTTATTAAGCATATTTTTTCATAACAATTAATTTACGACGGATTTTTAAATCAAATGTTGAGGGTGTGTGCAGCTATTTACTTCATTGAAACCCACACCGTCTACGTTTTATCATGTATCCGAAGAGAGTTATTTGCAAAACAGCAAATGTCGCACAAATTTTGTTACATCCGGTATAAAAAAAAAGTTAGCGTTTATATATAACAACAGAAAATTTCTGTTAATGACTATCGCTATAATATCATTCTTTTAGATCAGACCTTAAAAAGTCGTTAATATCAATTTGGCAAATAATTCCGCTTATTGTTCACTAAAGTACTGCACTGTTATGGGACGAACAAGTCTTACCATGTAGGACTTTACTCTTCGCAATAACATATTGCTCAAGCATATATTTTTGAATGCGATCGAAAGTATATTGGTCGATGTTGTGCGTGCTATCATTAACTATCAATAATCATGAGGGACATTAGAAAAAAGGAAAACTGATCAAAACTAATAACATAATTGGATCTATAGAAAGTTTTTTTTAATGCTATTTAATAAAAGTGTATCGCTGAATAAATGTTATTATATAAAAAAATGCGGAAACATCCGGATTCGCATCCGATTGATCTTCGAACTCGACTGAGATATTGATGAGATCATTGTGTTTACAAAATTTCATGACAATTGGATGAGGCTTTCAAGAATTATCGTGTTAACAGACGGACGGACACACTGACCGAATCTAGAGTGTACTCACTTTTTGAGTACACAAAAAGTGTTGATGCAGAAAATAAATTTCGAGAAGGAAAATTTTTTCATAATTCAATAACAATGAATAGGAACAAGACAAACAGGTTTTGATCATAATCATCATTTGTATTCGATAAACAACAATTTTAATCAACTAAAGATACATATATATATATATACATAAATAGTTACCCTAGAAAAGCTTATTATCAAAAGTTAAAGCAATAATTTACTTCTAAAACACTCAAACAGTGTTGAAATGTTATTCAAAATGGCAATGAATTTTGCTGTGAACCAAACGGTTCTGCTATCATATATGAAAATAATATTCATTACAAACAATTTCGTGTTTCCTATTGCATTGTGTTGTATTTGGCGAAAAAAGCTATAAAAGACAACTGTTCTCATAATTTTACTCGTCGTCATGTTCCCCTTGTAGATCAAATTATTGAAAGAGAACAATAATTTTAAAGAAAAAAATTTATCTTATTCGCGCTATACACAGACGACAGTATCGTATGAGTTAAACACTAATTATTGCAATATTGCATGTATCTATTGTGATTTTTTATCTTATAGAAATTCCGAAACAGGTAAAATATTTTTTTCTCTTCATTTGATTTCGTTTTCCAAATAATTTCTTCAAGAAGAAATGAGTAACCTTTCATTTTGTTTTATTTAACGATCCGCCAGTCTTTTTGACCGTGTCTAATTATCGAAGATGGTACAATCGATCGTGGAACTCAAATGTTTACCACCGATGGAGCACAAAAAGTAAGGAAACACATGTTTGAGAAAAAATCGAAATAGATTTGTGCGAGTTCTTCCAGAGAGCCACATCCTGGTACCTTAACGATTTCCATCAAGCTCTATCCAACTGGACTGAAAATTGTTTTGGAGAAACTTAAGACTCCTGACTATAACTCTCATTGAAAAGTTTCTGTCTAATGATACTTGAAAATTATGTACTGTCAAGAACACACGTCTTCAGATATTTTCCCGACAAAATATAGGTATTACAGGTCGAATCCGACGCCATCAGATATATTTAAATAGATCGTAGCCATGACTTAAACACGCGATTTTCCTTTTGATCCATTTATAAATTTACATAGAAAACAAAAACGTCAGCTTTTTTTTCAATAAGTAGATGCATCAAGCACTGAATCATTGTGTCCAATATCCCAATAATGCTCTACACCATGACGACGAAAATGTTCTCGTGCAAAATTTTCTGTTGGACATGATTTAAATTTAATTTCACCAAATGAACGTTCTTTTACTGTACCCTAGAAAATCGAAAATAATTTATAAAAGAAAATTTAACTAAAAATCTATCTTTTCTTACCTGCCAAAGAAGTACACATTTATTTTGTTCTTTATCCTGCTCGTCATTTCCATCTAAATTTAAAGAAAAATGATGTTTTAATTGACTAAAAAGAATGGGAAATAACTAATACATACCATCTTCCATATGGCTTTGATTTTTGCCTGTTGAATTCCATTTTATTCGATTAAGCATTAGACGACGAAATTTCTTCTGCTGTTTTGGCCCTATAAAATACATGCAACGGAAATATGTTTTTTTATATTTTTGGCTAATTGATCACTGTACCTCCTTCAACTACAATGATGTTTATGTCTTTACAAAGAACAACACAACCAGTCATATGCAGCTGTTTGCAATTAGTTTCAACTTTAAATCGTTTAGCTGCATCTTCTAAATGACGAACACGATAGACCGAAGCATGAACACCCGTTGTTGTATCTTCGGTTGTCCGTTTTGTTTTCTTTTCACGACGTTGTTCAGCAGATAATTTTCTGGCAGCATTGGTTGCTTCGTGATTTCTAAAATACAATATTATATTGTGCTTTCAGTTAAAAAATAAATAGAACTAAACTCACTTGATACGTTGTGCCATTTGATTTAGAACATATTGTTCAATTTTTGTTGGGTCTTGAACCGCATCAGAACATAAGACACGCATCAAATTTGAAATTTTCACTGAAAACAAAACAGATGTGATTAGAAAATTGAATTGTTCGATTGCAAGTAGAGCAGGCAAAGATCCTCTGATAAAATTCCCTGAATCTCATCTAACCGTATTTTACCCAAGGTGAAAAGTGCAGGTTTGGAACCCCTAGCACGTCAGCACCTTTTGCTATACTGAAATTTACTTCAGTCGTATGGAAATGATTCGCGAAAACTACTTTCATTTTTAATCGTAGAGGTGAAATTTTCATTGGATTATTCACACAATTTGAATGAGATTTATTTCACAACAATAAAGCCAACAGAAAAAGAAAAACGTTCTTCAAAATTAAACGTATATCAAACTACGGAATGCTATACAAAAACGTTTGACCTTCTATTATAATAGTGTGAGAACTAACACTGAACTCTGATTGTTTTTAAGAAATTTGTTTTTCGTTTTATCACCATTGAATTTTCAAAAACTTGCTCCTCCTCTCAGGTACCGAAAATAAATTGTACAAAATACGATATTCATGGGTCAAAAAATCTGCGCTTAATTTTATTAGCTTGAGAATCATCATTGAATTCTGATTATTTTTCACAATTTTATGGTGTATTTTATGAAAAATCAATTTTTAACATCTGGTGTTGAGGCCCGCGTTAGCGATCGGAAAACCTTTTTGTTCTGGTTTTAGTGCAAGTAGTTACATTTCGATAATGTTAAGTTTCGTGATCATAAATAATATTTTAGATTATAAAATTCATTGGATATCAAGAAAAATCTGCAGTCATCTCTGGAAGCCTTAAAAAATAGCTATTGGTCCAAAGGTACATGAAATATTCAATATATACTGTTTGAAAATCAGCTCTTTCGATGCAGAATGTTTTTTCTATCAAAATGTATGAGAACAACTTAGATATTCAAATCTTTTTCTATCGATAAATGCTACATACCTTCACAATTCTCTTGGAAACGGATTTTTCTCATTTCTGAACGATATTCGATAGTTTCAAATAGAATAAATAATCCGAATCTTGCTTGAAGCAAATATTGTATATGAAGCCAGCACCAACTGTGAGTCGATCTCATCGCTTGTGCAACTTTTGTTTTCAGTCAGACTTTTACTCCTGGCCAGTGTCATAGATAAACAAGAAAATTAACTTAACCAAAAGTCATGTGGGCAATGTGAAAAAAGTTCCAAACTTTGGGAACGATGTTTGAGATAAAAACAGGCCAATTAATAATCAATCAAATAACTGTTGTGAATAAATTAATATTCTTCATGTAACCCTGCAAGATCAGGGGTGAAAATCGGACTGAAAGCAAAAGTTACAGAAGCAATAATTGGAAACACTTAGTTCGACTTAGAATTTATACTTATTCAAAGCATAATACTTATTTTTAGCCAAAGGAGGATTACTCTGTTTGAAACTATCGAATATCGGTCAGAAATCCGGTTCCAAAAGTAGCATTGGGGAGAAAAAGCTTTACTAAACACCGACTTTAAGCGGATAACAGTTTCATTAGAAAGATCCAATTCAATTACTTACCTGGTAATAAAATCTCACCGATAAATCCCAAAAGTTACACCACAAGACTGAAAAAAACGCATTACTTATAACTACATGCACAATTGTGGCGGTATGTGGCATTTATCGATAGGAAAAGATTTGAATATCTAAGTTGTTCTCATACATTTTGATAGAAAAAACATTCTGCATCGAAAGAGCTGATTTTCAAACAGTATATATTGAATATTCATGTACCGTTTGGCCAATAGCTGCTTTTTTAAGGTTTCCAGAGATGACTTCAGATCTTTCTTAATATCCAATGAATTTTACAATCTAACGAGGGAAGGTTCCTGGGTGTTTCTCTGGGATTTCAACGAAATCTACGTGGATTTGTGAAGTAAAGCGTTGGTATCTCAAATATAGGAAAATTAGCGGCTGAGACTAATCCGTTAAAAAAATTTAGAATAAAAATATTTTATCCTTAGGACCCTGAGGGAGACCACAGATTAGATTTTTTAAACGAAAAGTCATATCTTTCTTGAAATCGGCTCTTTCATTCCGCGCGTCCATGTTTGCCTACTGTTAGCAGCTTTTATACAGGAGTAGATAATACCTTCGTAAAAAAATGTATGCCCGTGTGTGAATATTGAGTAGTCAAGAGACATTTTCTATCTCTTCAAATATTTAAGATAGAAAAAGATAAAGCCAAGAAGTTTTTATGGTAATTTGTTCTCAATAAAACGACAAAGGGATTCTATTGTAATGATTACTGTTGTAAATTTATGCGATTCATCGTATTCAGATCAAATCAACACTCTCGCTGATATACGAATAAAGCATATGGGCACACAACGGTAGCATTTATTCATTCTTGAATTATTAAAAAGTATGCATGCTTCGATGCATAATATAACACTGTTGCTTGACAGTAGGTTTACATCGATTCTATAAAATCTAGGGTAGTAATGACTGGATATTGTACCCTTAGCTTACAATCACCGAAATTAAGCGATATACTTCTGATATGTTTTCACAGTAATATCACTTTCACTTTGGAATGGTAACATCTAAGAGGACATTGGGTTCTACATCGATTTGCTTAAGAATAAGTCTATCGAAAACACGAGTTATTGGTATATCGCTTGGCATTTGCTATGTGAGCTGAGAATTGTGTTCAACTAGTTATCTAGTCAACCAGTAGAAATTTACAGCGTTTAATCGACTCTTGTAAACATGCATCTATCAATTGATAGCACTTCAAAAACCCTTCATCATTGCACGTTTTTTCAGATTCCAAAGAAATTGGTCGATTAAAACTTCTCTATCAGATTCTTCACCAGCTACGATTTTATAACATTTTGATTACTGCTCTGGAAATTTTGGTTACAAAAAATACGATATGCAGCAAAACTCATGAGACATTTGGAATCAAGATTAAAAACTGTGTCGACCTATGTATGTCTGAAATTTGTTTTGCGAACCTGATTTTTTGTTAATAGCAACAACCTGTGGTCCTCCTCAGGGTCCTAAGAATAAAGTTTTTTTATTCTATTTTCTTTTAACGGATTGATTTTAGCCACTAATTTTCCTATATTTGAGATACCAACGCTTGACTTCACAAACCCACATAGGTTTCGTTGAAATCCTAGAGAAACACCCAGGGACCTTCCCTCGTAAGATATTATTTGTGATCACGAAACTTAGCATTATCGAAATATAACTACTTGCACTAAAACCAGAACAAAAAGGTTTTTCCGATTCCTAACGCGGGCCTCAACACCAGACGTTAAAATTGATTTTTCATAAAATACACCATAAACTTGTGAAAAATAATCAGAATTCAATTATGATTCTCAAGCTAATAAAATTAGATGCAGGTTTTCAGCGAAGTCAGGTGCCAAATTTGGCATACCTCTGTTTTTATTGTGGAATTAGTGTATTCATCAAGACTGAGGAAAAACAAAGAGTTTAACAGAGAATTATGTCATCCTGTTGTATACTACTCCTTTATTTGTCTGTTGCCTTTCGACAACCACTAACACCTCTAGTATCTTTCAGCATCTTGTCAACACCTTCCCCCTTGGTTTTACCACTAGAATTATATCGATTTTTATTTCGTAATGATACTGCTCCTATAAGCACAACGCTCAGGAATGAAATAAAACTTGCACAAAATTTTCTAATCTTGTTTTTTGTCTTTGTCAGACGCATAGAACTGCACTCCAATTCTCACACTTAATTATTTCTCTATAAAACAGCCAATAGAGCAAATGGAAAGCTATCTTGTCAAGAATTCAATTGCCTACCTTTTGGTTCCGGTGGAGGCATTAATCCAAGGCGAATTTTTTCTTGTTGTTCTTTGAGTACTTCAGAACGATTTTGACGTCGTAATTTACGTTGTTCATGTTTAGTTAAATGTATCGGTAACAAAACCGGTTTATTTGCTTCAACTACAAAAGAAAAAATGAATTCGAAGTTCTTAGTTATATTTTTTTGTCACTTACACGGTGGCTTCAGTTGAATTGGATGTTCAATAAGTCGCGTAATACCAGTAAGCATAGGTGGAATATTAGCATCTGGAGTTATTGTTGAATAGCTAATTGGAAAAAACAAATTCAGTAAAGTGAAAAAAAATAAAATAATAATACTAACTTATTCTGTTGAATTATTACATAGTCCCACCATTCAACATCAGGAACATGAAGTTCAGACTATAAAAAAAAAATTTTGCTTTATCAATTCATACAAAAACTTTAATTTACTGACGAAAAATTTTTTTGGTTGAATTATTGTAACTTGATTTTCTACTGCAATACCAGTTCGTTTGGCTATTTGTGATATTTCTTGTTGTAATCTTTCTAATTTAGCTTTTGCACGTTGTCGATTTGCAATTTCTTCATATTTGCCTTTTTTATTAAATACTAGCGGACGACTATTACGTGAAGCTGCATGAGTTCTAAAGAAAGAATCAAACAAGAAGTTAATTTGTCACAAAATAGAATTCTTTTATTTACCCAATACGAGCATCAAAATGTACTGCTGATGCATCGAGTCCCGGATGTTCAATAACAGCTTCTTTAGCTAGTTTAGATTTCGGAGTTTCTTGCTTAATAACATCTTTTTTTTGTACTCGAAGATTAGCCTTCAATGTTGGAACACGACTTGGCAATTGTAAAACTTCACCTGTCATAGAATCAATGGTACGACCTTCTTTGTCAATCGTAACATGTACTGGCCGATCTCGATCTTCGATCTGTGATGGAATAAGGTTTCCTAACGAAAATCAAATGAATATTTTTAATTGAAATAGAATAGATAGACGTACCCAATTGATTTGCTATTCGTCCTCTGAGTTCAGCTAAGCGTTGTTGAGCAGCTGTTGGTGGTGCCTTAAAATTTACGGAATTAGTACGAAGCAAAAAAACAATATACGGAAGAATACTTACAGTAAAATTTATTTCTTGTTGCCGATCTTTTATTTGCTTTTGAGCTGCAATCATCATATCGCGAACCTAAAATATAATTTCAAATGATTGTTTATGAAAAATGAATGTAACAGTGATTGACGTACCGCATCAGGACCGATGGGTTCCTGTTTTGGTGTTACTAATTTTTTCGACATAATTTTATGAGTATATGTGTGAAAGTTTCAGCAAGAATTTATCAAATGCAATACTGAAATGAAATGCGGAGTGTTTCGTTACTCAATTGATTGTCGCGAGTAGCCAATCACAAGAGGCTAAAAGGAAAGAAGTGACATCTAACGGATTAATTCTATCGATAGAGTAGCACGTCTATGGCTAGAAATATGTCTAAAGCTAATCGAAATGGAGTTTTTTCAATCCGTTTCGAAGGCGTATGCTTTTATTCTAGAGCAATATTGTCATTGTAGAAACACCACTGGCTAAATTTGAAAGTGGCCCAGTAGATTTTCCTTTGAAAAAGTACTAAGAAGCTACAAAATAGAATCGAATTTGTCAAGTAGCAAAGAGAATACGTGAAAAAGTTTCAATCTCTTCAAGTCATTATAGTTAAAGCAATAATTGAATCATTTACTTGAATATTCTGACTAATCCTGTGAAAACAACCGGAACTTTCGATTTCGATTTCGATTTCGAATAGAAAATCTATCCATAAATATCAGTTGTTCGATAAATTCTATTGCACAACTTATTATTCGCTTTTATTTAGTTGTAATTCATTGATGAGAGAACTCCATCGTTAAAAGATAACAATTGGCAATACATGACGCCCCTATCTCATGTGTTTTTTCGTCTGCTATAAAGAGAACAGTACTACTAAAATACTATCTACGATCATTTTACAATTTGTGTGATTGAAATAAAATAAAAAGGAACTCAAGTCATGAGGCAAATAAATCGTGTAGAACCAATGAATACCAATGCTGATCAATTAACACGTTCGATAATAACAACTACTACACAAATGAAAATTATACGACGAATAGAAGTAACACCAACAGTAAGTAATTCATTTAGAATTACTTTTGAAACGATAACAACTAATTTTGACTGTTGTTTGTATAGACCGAAACAATCTCTCGGTTTCAGTCTACTCTTAATCAACCGTGTGCTGGCTATCCGCGACTATGGACAAATCAGAATAGTATTCCCATAGCTCTTAATCTTAAGTAGAAAGACTCAATTTTCTAAGATTCTTTCAAAAAGATTTGCGTTTTAGTAGACGTTCACAGAAAATGGTATGGTTTACTACTTGTTTATTTATCAGTGTTGGATTACTTGCTGTGTCAGTGGCCATTATTGGTTTAGTAATTGCTTTTAGAAAAGATATCGATAATGATAATGAAAATTATATTGAAAGTACGTGAATCGCTTACAATTACAGTATCAATCTTACTTTTCTTGTTAACAAGGATACGATCTAGGTGATTTATATTACGGTATAAATATATTGGGCCCAATGAATTTTCCTTCTAAGACTCATCTATCAGCTGCTAATAAAATATTGACTCAGAACTATGTTTGTAAAAGAATTGAATCGTATTTTTCTAATTTAATGCACCATATTTTAGCTTTCCAATCAACTACGAAACAATGTGGGATTTCGTATTCTATCTATTGATAAAGTTTTTGTTCAAGATCAATCAATTACAAATGAACAAAAACAACGGTATAAGTTTTTTAATTATCAATAATCAATTTCATTAGTTATTCTTCAAAATAGGTCGTGTTCAATTTTTTTAATTTTTCAAAATATTCAAATTTATTTCAATGGATGCTCTAATTGCGCCAACGAACGTAATTCTATCTTACGTCGTTCATTTTTTAATCTAACTGCATTCCGACAACCATTTCATTTACTATTCAATGATCATCCTACCTTCATATACATCTGTTCAGCGCCAAACACAGTTCGTTTTAGTAATGACCATTTTTCTAATTCGTTTTTCTGTGAGCCATCCTAAGTAATTCATATGTTAAGTAGACCGTTAGTTTCAACAGGTATTGAACGATTCTCACGTAGACAAGAATCTATTTTACATTCTGCAGACATTACATTTAGAATTTATTACGGAACCGTGATGACTCGACCTACGAATGATTAAAAAAAATTTTCTCTGACAGATTGCTCATCTCACGGGAAGTCTCAGGAATTGTATGTGAAAATGAATTTAATCAAAAAGTCACATCGACAGTGAAATAGCACAGTCTAACCTTATAAAATGTTATATGAAGCCAAAGGGATTGGTTATTAAACAACAAAAATTGTTATTTTGGTTAAATTAATTTTTCACACATACCGAGTGAAGATTTAATCAGCAGATAGAAACTATACAGCAAGTTTAAAAAATAATTAAGTTTTGTATATTTAAAATAGTACTACCAATACGTGATGATAATCCGAAGTTAATGTATTCAACAACTAAAAGTAGTTCATCTTCATTAAAGACCAAAAAGACGATTTCTACAACGAAAATTAGCCCTACCAGTTCAACAACTCGATTTCAAAGATTAATTGAAACAACGAATTCCGTAAGTTATTTCAAAAGCTCGATAGTTTCAACAATAGATTATTTATCAACCATCACACAATTTGATACATCTCAAATGCAAGAAACATCGACAGTGTTTTTAAATGAAGTCCAAACATCTAATTACATCGAAGAAACCACTGAATTGCCAGCGTACATTTCGACTTCCATAAAACAAGAAACAACCAATGATCAACAACTACGACTATCAACAGAGTCGAGTATTACAACTGAAATTTATTTTCCAAAGACGCTCCCGAGTGTGTTTCAGTTTTTACCATTCAGACCATCTACGAATACTTCCACTCGATTTACCAGACGACCTTATAATAATTCATTTACTACAATAAAAATAAATGCAACCCAACAAACACCGCTAACACAAAGACGCAATCGATTACGTCAAAAATATCTAAAGTAAAACACAAAACGAACAAAGTTATATTTTTCTATCATATCGATAACATTCATCCATCAAATAAAATATTATCAGGGATTATCTTGAATTTGGTCGAAAGTAAAAATGTCGAAACTGAGGTGATACTTCCATGCATTTTTTTTTTCTTCATGAAAATGAATCAGCCAGTAGACTTAATTAAAACGCGATGTTTATTATTAGAAGAAGACTAACAGACAGTGTTACAACTTTTTTTTGGGAATGATTGTTAATCCGTCTTTAAACAATGTTCTATCTGCTTGATTAAAACTTCTTTTTTATCACAATTAAAGACAAACTTTCAAGGAGTTCGCAGTCAGTTGCTATCTATATATATATATATCATACAACGTCTTTATTTGACTTTGTAATGCTGTTGTTCTTGTGTCTTTCGGCTTCGGTGCACCAGATGGTCATTCGAGTTTATACTTTCTTTATTCGAATTAATGAAATATCAATCATCGTTGATGATAGATATCGAATCAGAGGGGGGCGCTCTCACTTTTATTTTGTTTCTCGAATAATGAATGATTGAAGATTCTTATTCGTATTCTTCTTTGTCCATTTCTTTGTACTGAATGCACAATAGTGTGATAGATGGATCATAAATTTACAATAAGATAAGTCAACATTCGTCGTGAAATAATGACATCGTCATAACACACTTTTCCAAACAGTCTTCATTTTAAATTGCCTTCCTACAACAAAGTTCTATTTCAATGTTCGTATTTTCGACATTCTTGCTTTCGGTATTTTTGCTTTCGGCCAAATTCAAGTTTACCTTCATTCAGACCGTTGCTTGTTTCAAAATCCTAACTTTTAACGACTCGTAATTAAAGCACAATCTGCCCGAAAGTCATTTAACATTCTCTCAATTATGTAAATATTTTATTTTTTCCTCACAATAAAAAAATCTTTTCGTGCGTTATACAAGAGACAAAAAAGTTTCTGCCTAAAAAAAAAGAATCTAAGCCAACCGTTAACAATAGAAATCAATTTATTTCAATATCAATGTACACTAATTATCTCGCTTTGTGTTCATCAAAATAATGAATAGATACGCATGCATTTGCTAGAATAGTGTGAATATGGAATAGGCAAATAAATGAAAAATATACAAATTTAATTGTGCTCGGGGGGTCCCAACCATGACAAGTGATATGAGACATTAGAAGAAGAAAAAAGAAAGCATTTTGTGTTTAATTTCGCAGGAAATGAAGTGTTCAATTATCGACACGCGTATTGGCAAGTAATAAAGAACAGTTTTTCTTCTCATTCTTGATCAATCAAATTGTTCTAACACGATACGCACACGCCAGGACTGACAGCAAAGTCGATAAATATAAAATAAAATGATGTCAGTCAATTTTTTTTTCTTTTTCTTGCTTCCGTTTTTTTTTCAATTGATGTAATTCAAATGTAACTAGCCCGCAAGCTTTCTTTTGATCATCATTATGTTTCATTTCAACAAGCTTTTAATACATCAATTGTAATTATAGGAACAATTCAGTATTTTTATATAAGTTCTCGATGACGAGAAATTTGTTTACAAAATAATAAACTTTTGTATTAATGTTAAATTGATTGTTAAAGAACAAGAAAGAAAACGCAAGTGTTAAATTGAGTATGATAATAGATAAAATGTTGGAGAACAAAAAATTGAACTACTCTTTCAATTATAAGAAAAAGAACTTATGAGCTTAATTTTATGTTGCGCTTATAAGTTGCTTAATTTCCCATTGAAAGATCGGAAAAAGAAATTTTTTATTTTATTTCTACTTTGATTGTCTTTTATAAAAGATACTAATGAAGAGGAACTATCGTGTTAAAATGCATTATAATCAATTTTGAGATCATTCAGATGAATAAAAGAAAAACATCGTATCGTTCATTCCAACAATTTCTTTAATAAATACAAGAGAGAAATTATCGTCAGTTTACAAGTATTCCGTTGAAATCTTGTTAATTAATTAATTAATTAATTAATTAGTATCCTTATTATCCATAATCTAATTAAACGCTTTTATTAATTTAAAAGTAAAATAACTTTTAACATTGGATTCATTCGATTATTTTTCTCTCTCTTTGCCATATTTTGAATAATAGAATGAACAGCAGTAGAACGTTGACTTTCTTTTTAATTCATATATTATTCAATGCTACCATCAATTTAGACAAATTAGAAAGTTGTCAGCCAGAGAGCGAAACAAATACGTATGGGTGCTTGAAGCAACGAAGAAAAAAGAAACCTCCAAGTAAGGTTTCTTCTTTTTTCTTCTCTTCGCTTACTTTTTTCATGTACAATATGCACGCGTGAAATGATTATATTGGTTTGTTGATTACAACCCACGGTCCGTCCTATTATTTACATGCGCCAATGGAATAGCTCGGTGCACTCAATTTTTTTCTCTCTTTCTCTGCCCTTCTCTCGATAGAAGAAAAAAGGAAACACAAAGCGAGAGAGAGAGAGAGAGAGAGAGAGAGAGAGAAAGCGAATATAATTATCATCGCTACTACTTCTACTGACGAACATATAACGTTTTCTTTTCTCGGTGTGCACTCGCGATCAAATCATCCACTATATTTTATAATTGAATAAACGAGTATTAAAAAAAACACCGAATATTTATTATACAATGCGAGGTTTTACAATTGCATGTATACTTGAAAATAATTCTTCAGCATCGTTAACAACGAATAGTTTAAAACGAAAAATATCTGATCTTAACGAAGATAATGAACATCAATTACATAAACGACAAACAATTGAAGGTAAAGAAAAGCTAATTATTGAGAATATATATATATACATATATATAAATATGAGTAGTCAATATCCTATTCATTTAAACTATCTTTAATTATCTTCATTTTATTCATGTTCTTGTCATTTTAATGGATCACTTGAAATTTTCTTCTATATTTTCTCTATAATATACGCATACATACATAACCACTCGACACGTACATAAGTAGCATGGGACTTAATCGATACAACTGAATTGGAAATCTATTCTTATTGTTCGGAGAAAAGAAAAGAGAGAATGTGTTGTTAATTTGTTCGTCAATTGCCTCATTAACAATAGGAAGACGAAGGGAGCGAGTATGAGATCACAAACTAAAAAAGAAATCAATCAAATACGTGTTATATCTATCAGGATATTTTAATTTAGCACCGGAAATTTTATCACCATCATCTGTTGTACCACTTCCATCATCAACAAATAACAATGAAAATTTTAATAATAAATTATCAAGTAACGATGAAGAACATGATTCATCAGGTGAACAACATAGTTCAGATGACCGACCGAGGAAAGTACGACGTAGTCGAACAACATTTTCAACGTATCAATTACATCAATTAGAACGTTCGTTCGAAAAAACACAATATCCTGATGTATTTACACGTGAAGAACTTGCTATGAGACTGGATTTAAGTGAAGCTCGCGTACAAGTCTGGTAAGTTAGATAGAAACAAAAGAAATACTATATTAAATGAACTCTGCCTTACTTGCACTCAATTATTGTATGTTTCTTCTTTGTCTGCTATGGATAATAAGCGATTAAATCTTGTTGAATAGATAATAGATGAAATATGAGTATAGAAAATTTTATCTTAAATAAACATAAATAATTCAATTTTGAATGTGTTGTTGAATCAAATGAATAATAAAATTAGTCTTAATCAATATTTATTGGCAGACAATTCATTGAGGGTTTTGTCTTTTCTGTTTTTTTAAAGGTTTCAAAATCGTCGTGCAAAATGGCGTAAACGTGAAAAAGCACTCGGCCGCGATAGTCCAAGTTTTATAGCCCCACATGATATTGAATCATTTCGTCATCAAATGTCAGCATATTTATCCAATGCATTAACAGCAAATGTGGGTGCAAACAATTCTAATATTGATCGTCCTTCACAAATTGTACCGCCACCACCGCCACCACCACCACCGGCACATTATCTTCCATTTCTAATGGGTCACATGGATGAAAATCTTCTAGCACGATTACCTTCAAATCAACATCCACATTTTAATTTACTCTATCACAATAATCAAGCCATATCTTCATCAAATCTAAATATTTCGTCTGTATCTCCATCATCCAATTCTTCGTCATCCGAGTCCTATTTAACAAATCAATTCGATAGATTTGATAATCATCGGCGTGTCAAATTAGAAATGCAAGATACCACCGCTTAAAAATGTTCTCTCCTTTTTTGCTTCTTTTACAGTGTTTGTACAGTTTGTTTTGTTTGTGTGTGCGTCTTATTTTTAAATATGACAAATGAATTTGTCTATTGTATGAATACAAAAAAAAGAATCATTCTTTTATGAACGAAAACTTATAATTTAGTAACATAAATCGGATTGTTTTACGATTGGTTGAATCTTCTGAACATGATCATATAGGCATGAACAATTTCTCCCTCATGACAAATAAATCGATTGGTTCGTTTACTTTTTCTAAAGAATAGCTGAAGATTTATTAAATTGATTAGAATATTTCGTGACTACTCGTTTTTTGTCGATGATGATAACATGAAAAATTAGACGATAGATCAACGGAAATGTAAGAGAAAAAAACTTAAACTAGTAATTTGACGAGAAATCACGGAAATGCATCATCAAAAGAACGACGAATCTATTTATGCATTGGTAAACTAGGTTCTTTCTTTCTTTTTTTTTTTTGATAGCTATGTACTTAAAGAAAAGGATCGTTTGCGCATGTTCGATAACATACACATGAAGAAAGAAAAAAAGAAAGAATGAGTCTCGATCTAATCAAATAATCCTGGCTAATCTGTTGCTGTGAAAAGACCTAATCGTTTTTCTGCTTCATTTACATCTTATTGATAGAATAAGAAGAAGGAAAGAAAAATGTAACTATATGTTTGTCCGCCAAGGATTTTTATCCTCGTCAATCCCACCTGTCGTGCTAGTGAATGAATAGGGCTACTTCAGTTAATTGTGAACGATTCGAATATATTTATGTATATATATATATATATACGTACGTATGTTCTCATTCTCATATACAAGTGGCTCGATGGACTGAAGAGAGTGTAGCACGTATAATTGTTCTTTAGTTACATATTCTTATTTCTATGTTCGCATACACTTAGATTGATAATACTCATAATTAGATTCGAAGTTGTTATAAATATTTGTTGAGTTTCTCTTTCATTCCTTAACAACTCTACTTTAACAAATAATAGAAAAAGAAAAAGAAAGGAAGCATGATGATAGCGGCGGTAACATGCGAAGACTATTAGAAGCAAATAATTATAGTATAGATGTGCCTTCGTCTATATCTTTAATAACATGCTTGTTTGTTAATAATTCATAAGAAACAACAGTAATGTGGACATTCAAGACGACGATAGTATTGCCAAATGAAGAAGTAATTTGAAGCTTGATTACATTTGATGATGACAACGACAGCCATAGTAGCAAGTGTCTGATGCCGATGAATTGCTCATATCCGTTTTGCCTTTCATTCTTTAATCATTTTCATCTGCAACTCTTATGTTTATCATTATTACTATCATCATAGTATTATAAGAGAGAAAAAGAAAACAGACGAAGAAGAAAGTGAACGAATCTCATCCTCAATCATCTATTTATTGAATTGTTTATTTCAATTGCAATATCCTGTTGTATGTGCGCACATATCACACGATAGTCATTTGCACGCTCTCCAAATCTCTAATTTTCTTTCATTTCCTGTTTTGACTGTTCGCTTTGCGTATCGAGGTGAGCATCCTCATTTATGTAGCTATATTCTAATCTAACTACATATTCAATGCTTAATTTTTCTTTTGTTATCTTTAGACTAGATAGAAATTAAGAATTTATATATATATAAGTTATATAAATCTTTCTTTATTATTATATACACGATAAAGTTATAGAAAATAACGAGCAAAAGCCAATGAAATATTGACAATAAGAAGCGTCGTACAAAATATTAAGCTATATACAAGATTCTTATGACGTCGTCGATATAAACTTGGCGAGAGATGTTCAATGAAAGCTAATAAAATGTATTGTCCGTCAAGTGCGTAACATGGGACTGCATTAAAAAATGCAAGTGCAAACGAAAATGCAGCAACATACCTTGAAAAAAGATCAGATTAGTTAAATGAAAACGAATTTAGCAAGGCTAGAAAAAGAGCAACTTACTGAAAAAATAATGGAATGTCAGTAATGAATATTGTGGAAATAAAGCTATATTTAGCTTTATAAGATTGAATACTAACTAAAATAGAAATAAATTAAAGAAAATTCTATTCTGTGCGTTTTTTTTGACTTAAAAAAGAAAACACCGATATTGAAAAACTCATTGTTTAACTTTGAAGCGAAATACTATACGGTTTATCATTCTCTTTTTTTTTGTATCATGAAAACTAATTGATTTGGATTCTAATTTTACACAATTATTATCATTCTAATTCTTATTAGAGACAGAAGTTTTATAAATAAACAGAAGTTTTATGAATTCTTTTCATTAACGAGTTTTTTTCAGCCAGGCAGAAGCCATTTTAATAGACTCTTTCTTTTCTCTTCATACTTGTTCGATAGATTTCATTGATTGAACCAACGAAAAGAATGGCCGGCCCTTGACTATGGACAATGCGTATTAAACGTGTAATATTATCTGATGAAAATGGATGAACGCATGAAACATCGCTTCCTTGACGTGAACAATCACTTTGAAGTAAACAACGTGGGTGATTGGTTACGCTACGAGCTTCCATACATGCTCCATTCTATGAAATTGTAATTAGAAGAGGACAAAAAATTAGATCATTCGTTTTATTACCTGAGAATCATTTTGTTTGGAATGGTAGAAAAAACAATAATTTTTTTGAGATAAATTTTGACAACAATCATAATTACTTGTTTGATTGAATTCTAAATTATGATAGAAATGATTTGGATATAATAGAAAAACAGAATTGAAAAATATCTAGCTATAAGAGGACATAGATTTTTTTCGTTTACGAAATCTGAAGACAGCTGCGAATGTACGATTATGTTTTCTTTATAAATACTGATGATTAGTGAACTTTAAACATCATCGGCCTCACTTTTGGTTATCGATGTTTTAATGACATTTTACTTGATGCCGGATGTGTGATGACATAGAAAGTTCTCTCGATAATCCATTTGTTAGTAGCAGAATTAGAGATCTTCAGAACTAATAACTACTATTTTGAGTGGGAACACAAAGAAAAACTTAACGATGATTTTTCGTATGAAAATAGGATGTGTCAGAGTCGTTCTATAGATCCCTAAATCAAAAATTGATATTTGCAGCTAAAGTATCATCTTTGACAAGTTATTAAAACAATTGTTTGTCTTAGATCACCGATCGGATAGAATACTAATTCACTAGCGGCCAAGATTGACACTCAGAGTTCATCATTATGAATGAAGAAGTTTCAGGAAAGAAGCACACGAACTCTCTATGCCAAGGTAACTATATATCTAGAACTGCAACAGTTAATGATTAGCTTCAAGGAAGATAGCAGACTTAGGAATCTGCTATAACTCAGACATATTCTTAGTTTTGGAAGTAGTACGAGAAAAATGAGCAGCTGTCTAATTCGAGTTCAAATATAAATGGAGAAAAGAAAAATTTTAGCTAAAACTAAATCTAGGACTAGATTTAGTTTTAGTTTAACTTTCCGATATATGCGACATATGAATACATATCTGCCCTTCATCCGCACCCACATTTGGGCACTCCTCCATCGCATCCATCACCCACACTCGCATTTGAAGTATCCCGGGTACCCCCCACGCCACCCACACCCTCAAGAGAAAAATCCGGTCGATTTAATTTCGTAAACTACATAATGATATTACCAGTATAGCTTGAAAGAAGTTGAATTTCAGCTTGTGTTAAACAATAACCCGTACTGTCTAATACATGTCTATCGCTAATCGAGCGTAAACATTGGTACCAGTCATTCGATGTACGCACAATACATCCATCAATATCCTGAATTGTTGAATGTTTAGGAAGAAGACTATAAATAGGTGAATCCTAAAGCAAAAATAATAAACTAACGTTAGTTATTTCAAATTTCAAAATTACTTTTGATATACGAGCAACACTTGCTGTTTCAATATAAAAATGACGAAGAATAAATGGTTGAATAAGAAGAAATATCACGGCAACAACAACCAGTACCATATTATGAAAAACACCAGCACAATAAATTCTTTTAGATAAAATATTGAACAGTTACTTTGTTTACAAAACAAATCCTAAGTTACCTTAATTGTCTATAGGCTGTAATCATTTGTATTTGTTCTTCGTTCAAATCAACATAAGCTCCTGGATAGAGTATAAATAGAAAATAACCACAACCATTGACACGAACTTGTTCCCTATTAGAAACAACAATGAAAAATATTTTAATACATACTAGAGAGAAAAAGCAGTCTTACACTGATGCTGCTATAGCATGTCCTAATTCATGAAAAATCGTACATACAAGTAAAGCAAGAAAAAAATGTCCTAATTCTTCTAATGGTACATTCACACCGGGAATCTAAAAGCAACCAAAATTGATGTAATTTTCATTGAAAATCAATATAAAATATTCTACAAACTATAGGTTGTATCCATAATTTATCGCGATCGTTTTCTATTGGAATGTTTTGATCGGTTAAATTTTGTCTTGCGAATAAAATTGGTTGTTGCCGGTCATAGATATATTTTAAAGGTAGAAAAACTAAGATACTACAAGAAAAAATGGCTGTGATAAATGCTACAAATATTCCTATGGTGAACCAAATTTTCCATAGACGTGGCTTTTTTCTACCGATTTGATAGAAAAGACGATTGAATGATGTTGAATAAAAGCCAATATTACCAATGGATATATGACAGCCCAATGAACGAAGTATACGAATATAGGAACGTTTTGTATTGGGAAAGCGCTGTAGAGTTAGAAGAAAAGCAGTGTTTGGAAAATTAAACAATATAAACTAACTAGTAAAGTGTAATTAATGACATAGACAGTAAACCAAAAAATAACAAGTTGTAGGACCAGACGAATAAACATGTTTGCCGTCGGACTCAATTGTAATCTTGGATGATCGCTAGACTGGAATAGAAATTTTATGAGACAAAAATAAAAATATGCTTCTTCTGGGTCGTAAAGACTGAAACGAAATTATTTTTTGTTAAGTCAAACATGCTATTTAGGGTGCAATTGAAGAGAAAACTGATAGTGACTTAAACTAGACATTGAAATTGAAGTGCATCTTTAAGAAAAGATCTGAATTCTGCACACTTTCTATTAGTTTTAGAAGACGAGATAACCATTGTGCAAATTAATGTATCTTGGAGCGTCTCTTCAGAGATATCGAACAACGAATATCACAGACTAGCCTGTTAAATTTGATTTATGAATCAACTATTGAGATTACTATAAGGCTATTGTCTAATTTGCATTCTGAAAGACATTCGTGGATATCGATGAAACCAATTACGCTGAAAGATTTTCACTATTCAGTAGATTAACAAAAAATAACGCAAGCATTGTTTAGTCATTAGTATTAAGCTTCGTATTAATTCTTTTGTTTTTACGTACTCACGAGTTTGTATAATAATTTAATAGACCCTAACATAAATAGAAAAAAACAATGTCAGTGAAATTACTAGCGAATTTCTCTTTTCACTTTGAGAATCATTCAAGACAAAATTTGCTTTTCAAAATGATGACTTCATCAAACTCTTCCCGATGACTATTAAAACAATCTATGTCTCAACGAGATGATTCATTCTACTTACTGAAATACTCGGCATATGTGTCAGAGGTTTGCTGTATTATATGTTTTTCGTGCGCGCAAGGGAAATTTTGTTAAAGGCGCTTCTGTCGTTGTAATAATTTCGATCAACTAATTACAAATACATCTTTTATCATTGTTCGGTAGCCATCCTTTCTGAAGAAATCATTAATAAATTAGATAATAATCAGAAATATATTTTTTGTAAAAAAAAAGAAATAAAACAAATATTATATATTTTACCAAAATAGATATTAGAAAAAATCAGATGAGTATTTTAAAACTATTGCATAACAAAAAAAAAGCAAGTAGTAAGCGATAGAAGTAAAACTATTTATTGTTATTATTGCGGTCTAGAGCCATAATATTGATATTTAAATTTTGATGGGGGATTTTTATTGCTTAACTGTTCAGTAGTTTTCAACATTGTTGGTGTTTTTGGTGATGGTGAACGACGAGTAAAAAATAGTTCATCATCATCGGTTGCCGGAATTGATTTTGCCATAATACCTTTGACAAGAGGAATCGGAGGAGTAGACGTATAAACAGACACGTACAATGGAGCAGTGCGAACAACAGCAGGTGAACAGGGTTGTGGAGATGTAGCTGCTGATGAAGAAGAAGATGAATTTGCGATTATTTCAAGGTTATCCCTTTTATGTGATGAAAATTCTTCATCGTCAAGATGTAGACCACTACTACTCGAAGGTCGACGTGGAGATGACGAGGGCGTTTTATCATTCAATGAAGACAGGTGAGCCGCTATTTCAGTGGCACAGCCACCCGAAGAATTTAACATTTTACTTTGATCATTTAGAGAATATTGAAATAGCTAAATGAAAAACAAAACACGAAATGACCACATCAGCTAACTGTAGAGAAATTAATTTTTATCATTTAAAAAAGAACATGTATTTCATGTCTTACTTCTTGTGTTGAATTATCCTTCAGAACTTGACTGTTAATAAACATTCGTTGATATGGAAGTTCATTGGATGAATCAGAATCCGAAAGTCTTGGTGCTGCATTCACGTAAGTATTGTCTTGATCATCGTCGTACGACGTTGGAAACGATACTGGTGAACTAGATGTTCGATGATGACCTTTACTGGATGATGTATTTATTTGGCCAACAAAACGATTCGATGGACAAACTATCGAACTATTATGTGTATCGGATAGAATTGAAGCTGATGAAGACGAACGTGCATGACGAGCAACAGATGATAAATCAGCTCGTTTATCACTCTAAGAGGATCCAAAAAAAAAGGAATTTTCTTTACATTTTTAGCTCAATAGTTAATTGACTAATTTACTTTGTCTCTCGATGATTCGGTATCGGAAACGCTACTCAGCCGTGATGTTGATTTATGCCATGATGCAGTCGAATCTTTATCTGAATCATTTTCACTTTCACCAGCTGATCCAGTAGGCATCATAGTTTGTTTATTCGTTGATGATAATGCACTAATAGTTGATGCCGGTGATCCTTCGCGTGAATCAACAAAACCTTTATGAAAACCACCGATTTTCGAGTCGTCGATATTGAAATTAATCGCAGCTAAACCCATTTTATTCATCCATTTAGCCATTTCATCGCGTGTTGAACAATAGAAATATTCACGATATTTACTACTTTCATCAGCAATACGAAAACCACTAGAAAAGAAAAAAAGTTTTGTTTTTATGACCTCCTTTATTTAGCATTATATCTATATTACTATTTTCTTCGTTCTGGTGCCGGTGATACATTTTTTCCTTCAAGTTTTATTTCCACCTCTTGATTTTTATCCTAGAAAAAGTGTTTTTTTTTCTACATTTAATTTTTGTTTTTGTTCATGTTCACTTACATCTTTTGATTTAAATATATATAAAGTACCACCTTTTAGAACACACCAATAGAGTCGCCATTGTACAATCGAAAGTGTTCCTTTTGGCAAATAACGATGAAGAAAACCTTCACAATCGCCTTTACCCAAATCTTTACACGAGATTTTTCTATATGATGCTAAAATAAAGGCAAAAAAAGATTTAATTTTAACCCTATAACGCATGTGTATACGCTGCTAGAGATAGTCCGATTTGAGTGCTGTCATAGAACGAAAGAAGTAATATAATATGTATAGTCTTATGTTTTATCTTTATGAAGAATTGAAATAAAACAACAAAGCTGCTGTTTGCTAGAAAACCCACGTTTGCCAAATCTGACACCCAGATCAATATCGTCAAAAATATTCATGCTATAATAGAATTTTTCTACATTAAACTAGAATATATTAATTCTTATACTGTTATTATCAAAGCAGTAAATTTTCTAAACGTTAAACTATATTGATAATACAACTTATTCGACCTGTTCAATCGTGTTAAGAAAACAAACTGGACTTTTTGTGTATCATCCGTTGGATTAATTGTTCAAAAGAACTCAGAGCTGTCGTAAAATAGTTTCAAAATTAGACTGTGAGATTCTATTGTATCGTCGTTTAATTTCGAAGTATTGTCCAAACGAAATCCCGTTCAACGAAGGACTGATTTAGTTCAGTTCTGCTTCGATGATAAATGAACCGGTCGAATTATTGTCTTATCAATGAAAGTGGCTTCTGTTTTTATTATATTTTGTGATTCTACAACTAATATGTGACATTGAATTCGGTCAACCTCTAGCATTTATACGTGCAGAGGAATAGATTATGTCTACTAAGATAGAAAAAAAGTTACCTTCTTCATTTAATTTACCGCTCATTAATCGCTAGAAAAATATTTCTGATACCTAACTCGTGAAGAATTTCAATTACTTACGTTTACGCTTTGGACGAGATCGTTCCGTAACAACAGAATTCTAAAATAGAAATTGATAGAAATAATCCCTGTGAAAAAATACGATTAGTCTGTTATTATTCATTATGCATTCGCATGAACGGGTTCATATCTCTCACAGGCATTGGAATAGCTATTTAAAAGAAGATATTGCCTAAAACCAAAAATGTTTAACCCTTAGATAAATACGAAAATTTAATTTTGAGAAATAACCGGTGGCTGCATCGATATGAAACTGCTGACTATGTTAAATGCTATGTTTTTTTTTGTTTTAGGAATCATTGTATCTCGTATTTGAGAAAAATATATAAACCAAATAAAAATCATCCTACTTTTCGGCTATCGCTGTGATTCAATGGCGGTTTATTGGCAACAATGCCATGGTTTCCAAAAAACGATCCAATATCCATTTTAAGCTCATTTCGGAAGCTAAAAAATAAGAAAAACAAATTTCTTTTTATATATTCGTAGACATCCGCTTACGTCATATTTTTTGCATTGTCAACACTCGGTCGTTGAGATCGTTGCTCTGGTGACTTGAAACAAGTAAATATTTATAGGATTAATAAAAGAAAGAACAATAAGAAACAAAACTGTTTACTTTAAAAATATTCGAAAAAGATGTTAGAGTTGATGATTGTAAACTGCTTTGGCTACCGTGTTTATCCAAATCATTCGGTAGTAATGGCGGAGATGATGCTACAGTTTGCTCATCTTGAACTGGTGTTATAGTATTACTTGCAGAATTTGGTACGGGAGTTGAATCAATACGTTTGAGATTTACTAACTGGGGCTGATTATTCAATTCGGGAATAACTGATTTAACATCTTGGCGTGGACGAAACAATGCTATAAAATAAGATTCAAGACCCTAAACAGAAAAGTAATGATGGTCATTATTCAAAATCAACGATTGATTTGTATAAATATATGCATAATTTTATTAGCGAAAAAGGAATTCTAGTCTTCTATATCATTGCGGGTCGTATATTTTTGCGAACGCCTAGGTTTATATAGACACCAAGACGATCTATCATTGTTATTTTTGTGAATTGTACAAAACTATTGCATTTCACATCCACGAATTGACACTATAGTCCATTATTTTGTTATTTGGAAGCTGCTCTACAATCGTCAATAACTAACGAGTTGACTGGCAGTAACGCGGTACAGACTCATGCGCTCATTCTTATTTACTATAAACTAATATTTTCTTACCGATCTTCTTGCACTTTTCGGTGTTGCATCGGGCGATGCAGAACTACCACCGACAGATTGTGGTCGCTCGCTATCTGCAACGAACAGAGCAAAATATTTAAAAAAACAAAACATTCGTTTTTTTTTACTCTTTCGTTTCGAATTCTTTTTATGAGGAGTTGTTGATGACGAATTTGCAATTGCAGATATAGATGATGTTGATGACGATGGCTCACTATGATCGGAGATTTGATTGATTTCGCTTGTACTCGTACTGTTTGTAATGGATTCAGTAAGATCCGGTAATGATGAATGTTGATCACGTTTGATTTGAGAAGAACGTTTACTTTGATAAAGAGTTTCGTCATCACTTTCCACATCAATCTCTCTACATGCGAAAAATAGCATAGAAAATTAATCACAATAAAAAAAAATCATCTCTTCGAATTAACAAATAACTTTCCCAAGTAATAAAAAGCTTTATAGATGATATTAGGTAAAGTCGTCTGTTAAGGAAATCTGCTCACGTCAGATTTCAATGATTGTTCTTTGTTTTTAACGATATATATTATGTTTTATTTTAATTCTTGAAGAAATTAATCAACAGCCGAATTCCTCATCGTACAGTATATATATAGACGTAATAAATATCATTAAAATCTGAATAGATTCCTTTTCGAGACAAGAAAAAAACCACTAAAATAATCGCAACTCAAAATTAAAGCAGTATGAATGAAAATCATTAGCGGCTTCACCTTATTCCAATGTGTTGAAAATCCCATTTCAAAAGCTTTTCATCACATGAAGCGATTTCCCTCCCTGTATAATAACTTTAAATAAATATGTACACGACAACATAAATAAAAAGAAGCGCTCCATAATTAGACAACATAAAGTATTCAGTCTACCTGTATTTATTCTTCAATCCTGTGAAAATTAGTGTTAAATATCAGAGGTGTGAGAAAAAAAACTGAACGAATATTTCTTTCCTACCGTTCTTGTTCAAGCAGTCTTGTTCGATTATCTTCTGTTTGTTTCATTCGTTCTAAAGCACCACGAGCACGCGTACGTCGAGGATTCGGTGTTAAATCAGCAAGACGTTTCGTATAAATTTCATCATCGTTATGTCGAGGCATTTTTTTGACTAGTAAACAGATTTCATTCGGACGTGGTGATGAACGAAGTAATTCATTAAAATGTATTGGATCCCAACCGATCTTTAAAACAAAAAAGTTTCTGAATCAAGATGTTATCACTATAACAACCCTAATAAAATTTATTATTATAGTTTATTTCTGCAGGCATGTTGCTACATTGTTTTATCTTCTGTTCGACCTGACTACATTGTCCCCTGTGTAGAACACTAGGGAAATTTACTCTTGCATCTAGAACTCTATAGCAATTGCGTGTCTTTTATATCGTTCATTTGAATTGACAAAATTGATTCAGCATAGTATCTGACGATTTCAATTTGAAATTCAAATATAAAATTTTCTAAACATCTCTCGCCTCAAAAATAATTAGTAAACTGCAGAATTTCCCTGATCTATTCTTTTTATTCTAATGATCTCTTGTAAGAAGACATTAGTCAATGAGATTCCTGTCAATGTAAGACATACCACAACTTGATTGTTAATCTCAACAATTTCATCGCCAATATTAATCGCATTAAAACCCGATCCCATATAACCTACAGCCTGAAAATTCAATCGAATTCATTTTCTATTCATTTCCATGTTTGCATTAACTTACTTCTGTTTCAATACTTGATATAATATGTGTAAAATCAGGCATTGTTGTATATTCAATATTCTAAATTAGAATGAAACTCTCGTAAATCAATGTACGGATTTTGTTTTCTTACCACATCATCTTTATTCGGACGTCGGAGATTAACTCGAGTTAAATAACAATCGGACGAAAATAACGAATCCTTATTCTGACGAACTAATGAAATAGCATTTGTTCGTAATTTATTAATCTATAAAATAAAAATGTATTTAGAAATTTAGAAATTTTCTAAATTCACTTCGAAAATTAGTTTTGATTTTGGCATATTAATTTGATCGACAATTCGTAACTTACGAATTGAAAGACGTATCTGAACAAGAGATTTGATTATTTCTCTTCGTAAATCAATATATTCTACATTTTCAATAAAAGGCAATCTAAAACAGAAAGGAAAAAAAACGAAACTAAAAATATTCATTTTTTTTTAAAACATTTTTCTACCTTCCAAGCCAATGACAAGTCTCAACAATTGCATTTGATAGATTGCTTATAGATGAATAAAATTCCGGCGAACCCATCACTTGACTATTATCATTGGTTGACTCATCGAATCGTTTCAATAGATTAAAACATGTTATAGTAGTACAATGTATGCGCATAAATAGTAAAGCGAGAGTTTCACTATTTAAACGAGTTATCTAGACAAGTAGAAAATTTCATAATAATAATAATAATAATAATTTAAAAACGAATTTATACTAAAGTGAGAAGAAGATCAATAGATTGAATTAAAATAAGTTGTTGATCAAGTTTTGTAATACCCATACGAATAAGATCGTGTCGTAGAAGAGTTTCTAATGCACTTCCGTTTATGTTATACTTAAGAAATATTTCACTAATATATGGTTGAATACCAGCCAAACCTAAAAGAATAAAAACAAGAAAAAAAGCTACATTATTTGTCATTATTATTAATCAAGTGCACTTACCAGCTATCCATCTAGCAACTTCATTAGATTCCCATCGAGAAACCATTGTTACTCGTTCTCGAGTTAATTTAATAGATCCATTGTTATAATGTAAAGAATGCATATTTTTTAATAAGCGTAAAAATATTTAACAATTAATGTTGTATTTTGCATATTGCTTTATGGATAAACAATTTCTTTCCAACTCTAGAAAATATCTAATAACATAAGTTGTTATTCTGTCTACCTATGATTGGTAAAATAGAAATATCAGTAAAGACCAAAACTGCAGAGGGCAGTCGAGTAGTTTGTTATGATAATGCAGAAAAGTCCATAAGTCATAGTAATTGTCTATCGAGGTGTTCGTATTTTTCATAAGTACAATAAAAAAAAATAATGTGCACTTTGTACATATACATGTGATTGCGTCAGGTGAGTTTTCATATTATGGACTCAAAATAAATACACGATCAAAGGAATGAGGAGACACAATCATAGCTTCAAATTATTAGCTGATGTGTATTCTACTTGCGACATCTGTATGAAGCGTACAATATATAGCAATGAATAGATTTAGAATAGTTTTAGAAGATTGAGTTAGAAGATGAAAAAAATTCTTATGATAGGATGATTGAGAACATCATTCAATTCTAAACATTTCAGTGAAAATACCAACAGTAAAACCTACTCAATATATAGCAGAATGAAATCTGGCTCGTCTAGAGTTTCGGAATCGTACAGCTTAATTCGCAAGCTTCAACTATCACAAGCCGTCACAGAAACTCATCGTCAAGCAAATCAGAACTTACGGAATGATCTATTGCTACAATTATGATTTACACGAATTTTGTTTCGATGTCTATCTGTAGTATGAGCAAAAAAGAAAATTTAAACCCAAAGATATATATATCGATGAATAATAGTATCAAGCCACAGTATCGATCTTTTATTTTCATTGGTGTCAGTTACTTCGTGAAATATTGAATCAGTCTTATCCTACATCCTACTAGAGTCAATAAGCTGTTTACTAGTATACTCGTGCAATTGATCTTGATATCGATACGGCAGTTAAAATTACCGTTATCTTATATTCTGTCTTTCACAATGAATCAATATAAATCTTGTTGTTTTTTTTGTTAATAAAAATACTTTTTGGAATTATGTTAATAAATATTTTACAAAAATTTAAAAAGTAAATAAAGCTCGAATAGTGTTGTCTTTAAACCAACCATCGACAAATTCCGATATACTAATATCACCTGAGTTATCCTGGTCGAGTTTTTGCAAAAGTCTTTCTGTTGCTGGTTTAAGTCCATCAGTGGTCATTTCGGTAACACCACTATCGTTTAAAGATTTATGAAATTCTTGTAAACATGTAAGTATATGTTCAAGTTCTTTTTTTGTCACACGATCATTGCCATCCTTGTCGATAATTCGAAATACAAAATCAGCTTTTACAATTGGTGATTCCGTCTGAAAAAATTTTAGACTTATTAAATATTCCCCAAAATCAATATAACCATCATCATTTGTATCAATGGCTGAAAATAAAGAATCGTTTAAACGTTTCATATGTTTACGTGTTCCTGCTGGCAAATAATCGTGTAATAATTCTTCGATCTGAGACTTTTTTGCACGACCATTGCTAGCAGTAGCATAAAATTTTTGATGTTCTCTACTAATAAAATCTTCACTAAATCCAGTCAGAAAACGAAACCGCTTAAGAACATCGTTTGTTAATATTTTGTAGTCTTCCCTATGCTTTTGCGTTGTGTTGCCCATTTTGAACTCCCTAAATACGGTAATGTACAGTGCTCTTGGTGTAAAATCTGCAAACAAGTGCTTTTGTTTCGCTAGACTTGCGTTTCATTTTATATGTATATCTATCGAATGTGAGTATTTAATTTTTTTTTTATATGACAGTCAGCCTTGAATGTATTATTACATGTGTTTTGTTAATTAGAGAAATGACACAAAAGCCAGATTCGCAATACTGCAAGCAACGAACACATAACGTATAATAAGAATCATCGGTGTCATATCAAATGAAATGCAGATAAGAAGCGTAGTATCAAATTGTCTCAATGCTAATGGTGCAACGCATTCGAAAGGTTTCTATTGTTACGGCGCCCTTTATTCTATCTTATCAACTACTATATTCTTATGTAAAAAAAAGACACACTTATTTAGAGTAAAAAACAAGAATAAACATGGTGAAGCACAAGTGGTAAGGGAATAGTCGTGCTGGTTCTAGACTTTTGATACAGGGAATAAATCATAGGCAGTTAGTGTTATTTCAAGTAAAATTAGACACGTTCAATATTCTGATTGGCAACAGATAATAGAGAAATAAGTCGAGATTTTTGTTGTCGTATTCAAACAGTTGAAATTTCAGACATGAATCACTCGATAGAAAATTTATTTTTCTGCCCCGGTTCGAATTCAATATTTCCTCAAATGCTTCAAATAATTAAAATAGATTATATATATATCAGAAATTTTCAGTATAAGCAAATATATCAATCATTCGCGTATTTTCGATAATTTATTTTGATCTGTTTACCTTACATGTTTGTATATGGGACAGTGATTTGTTTGCTTTTCGATATTATCATATACACCTGTCTGTTTTTGTTTCTGTGAGTTTCCCCCCTGCATGTTGTTCTTCATTACATGTAGCTTTTGGTTTTTGTTATTAAACAAAATGCAGAATGATTTGTGAATTTTTAAACGTACCAAATCACTTCGTTTGCATCGATAAAAATTTTCAACTGCAAGCCTTGAAACTAGATTCACCAAACTGGTCGTATCAGGGAGTTCTACTAGACGAAAGTACTCTATTAAAAATACGTATAGGTTCAATCTGCTGAAAATTAAAAAACAACAACAACATTCTATTTGTTACGATTGTTGATTTTCTTGTGCCCTATGGACTATACGGCTTGTATTGTTCGAAAAATCAACAGTTTGCAAAGTTTAGTGCAAGGCGAGACAGAAGCATTGAGTAGCTCTATACACTCGTAATGTCAACTTGTATGGCGACCAGATCATATTGCGATTATATAGAAAAAATGTTGAATACTATTTTGAGTGCCGTTCGCTAAAAAGCTACATGAGCACAGTAATTATACAACTATTGCGCTGTTTGTGCACCATCTTTTCTGTAAATCACTATTGTTTGATATCTTCTTGCAAGCGTGTTTCCATTCTGAACGAATAAGATAATAAAACTTTAGTATTTGTTACCGTCGAAAGATTTATACTAATACTTCGAAATACAAGTGATTACTCAATATTACTTATATTCGACATAGCGATATTTGAATTGCATTTTTTTTCTATTATACAAAATCGACGTGTCTTTGAATACGTTCCTCTCAAAAATTTCAGATATTATCCGTCTAAAAAATGAATTTTCGAACTCGCTCATTTTTACTTTCACATGTACAACGTACACTTGATTTTTATGAAAACTCAGTTGATCCTAAAGGCGGTCTATATCAATTCTATAAAGATGATGGAACAATTTATGATCCACACACTCGGCATTTAGTATCATCAACACGATTTGTATATAATTATGCTATGGCATATGTTCATTTTGGCAAAGAGGATTATCTTGAACGTACACGTCACGGTCTGGATTTTATTCGAAATGTTCATCGTAATCCAGAAACAGGCGGCTATGCATGGGTTGTTTACGATGGAAAAGTAGCTGATGATGCGAATCACTGTTACGGGTTAGCATTTGTGATGTTAGCTTACGCATGTGCAGTACGTGCTGGTATCGAAGAAGCGCGTGATTGGCTTCGGGAAACGTATGACGTCATGGAGGAACATTTTTGGCTGAAAGACAAAGGTTTATACGCAAGTGAAGCAACAGGCGATTGGCAATTAAATGATTACCGAGGACAAAATGATAATATGCATTCATGTGAAGCTATGCTAGCAGCATATGAAGTAACGAAGAATGAAATTTATTTAGAACGTGCAAAAACTTTAGCTAAAGTAATGACAGATAGTTCAGAAGAATTACATTATCAAATATGGGAACATTATCATGTGGATTGGACACCGAATTTTGAGTATAATAAAGATGTTCGAACAAATATTTTTCGTCCATGGGGGATTCAAACTGGTCATCAAACTGAATGGGCGAAACTTTTACTTATACTCGATCGACATGATCCGCAAGCTTGGCATCTTGAACGTGCGGTGCGTCTGTTCGATCGTGCAATGAAATATGGTTGGGATGAAGAAAATGGTGGATTAGTTTACGGATATGACCTTGAAGGTAATCTATATGATGGCGATAAATATTTTTGGGTACAAGCGGAAAGTTTAGCAACAGCTGCTTTACTTGGCGATAGATTAAGCGATGAAAAATATTGGCAATGGTATGATAAAATATGGGATTATAGTTGGAAATATTTTGTTGATCATCAATATGGCGCATGGTACAGAATATTAACACCTACAAATGAAAAATATTCCGATGAAAAGTCACCTGCAGGAAAAACAGATTATCATACAATGGGTGTTTGCTATGAAGTACTTAATGTGGTTGATAAAGAATGATTTTAGATTCTTTTTTTAAATTAGATTTATTGGTGTTAGAGTATGAAAGTTATTTTTAGACGTTGAAATTTCTAATTAAACAAATTTAGTATACTATTCGACGTTGATCTTACACGTTTTTGTAACGAATTTTCCTATGTTAGTTTATATGAATGAATAAAATTATTTATTTTGATTGTTTAAATAATAAAAATATAGTCACAGTACGTGATACACATGGTTAATCAGAAGAATTAATTCAATCGAGTTGTAATCTCCGAATTGTTTCAATATCTATTGCTTGAATGTTAATTCTTGAGAGAGAGAGAGAAAAAAATCGTAATTTGGAAAAAGAGAAAGGTAAATCGACGTATTGTAACGAATTGTTAACGGACACTAAAAGTCAAGTAACATTTCAAAGTCTAATTCAACTTATTCAACTAATCTTTATATAAAAGAGAGAATATATATAGTTGTCTTTGTGAATCGATGGAGGAAAGTAACGCATTTACAATGATATTCACGCACTCAAGTTTGTCGATCTGTCTTCTCCACAAAGTGTTCTGGACATTGCTGTTTTAATTTTTCAATGCCATTAAGGATATCTCTTCGATGTTCTTTGTCTTTGACTCCATATCCCAAAAGTACTCCATCGTCAACGTGATTTAGAAGCCAATACCCATCGACGTCCTTTACTTTGAATGTTTTCACATAATTCTTGTACTGCTTATCCAATGACTGCAGCCACTTGCCGACATCTTCCGTAGATTTGACTTTGCTCGAGATATAAGCTCCTATAAAAAAAAATAGATCTCCATAAAAAATTGTTCAAGAAATAGTTGCAAAAGTGTACTTAAGATGAAATCATAGAACTTTTGCTGAAGGTAGACACATGAGCCTAGCGCTCTCTAGCTTTCGATATATAATCCAACACCATGTCTATCATTGTACTTATTCCTGCGTTCGCCCCTTCTTCTGTTTGCTGTAGAAAGTTACACTTCCATCTCTTTCTGAATCACTTACTTGTAGGTGTAGATGCGGAATCGTACTTTCCCGCTGATCTTGGACGATTTGATAGAAGTTTATCACCTGGAGCAGGTTCCAAAAATACAGGCGCCTCGGTAATAGTCCTACTCCTTGCTCGAGATTCATCATCATTCGCAGGCAATTGTCCATGCATTTTGGTAGACTTTGATATTTTTTCTGCTGTTTCTTTTTGTGTTGTTGATGAGAATTTTTGTTTTCTTTCTACTGCGGGCGATCTATCACCACCTATCTCATCATCTTGTTCAAGTGATTTGCTAACAGTGATACTAGATATATTTGAAGGGTTGGCCTTTTCCGGTGACCATATTGCTCCTTCATAGGCAATCCATTCGCTCAAACATTGAATAAATTCTTTGGCATATATTTGTGCTGTCCATTCTTTAGGTAGCTCTTTATAACCATAGCAAGCACCAGCTAGCTGTCCATAGATGGCTGCAGTTGTGTCAGTATCATCGCCAAGATTCACAGCTGCAAGAACACCGTCATGAAAAGAACCCTTGTCAGACCAAAAGGCCCATAGGGCAGCTTCGAGAGCATTCACAATGTATCCTTTCCCTCGAATACCTTTGTCGTATCCATCTTTCTTGTAAGAGCCATCAGCGATATTTTGGATGTCTGGGTGAAGTGCGGTACCACCAAACCATTTCTTGTGTGTAGTATAGAAGTTGTTGTTAAGTAGCTCCTCTTTTTTTACGCCATTGACAGCGGCCACGATTAATGCGCCATAGTAACGACAAGCATCATAGGCTTTTGTATCCCCGTGAGTAATTAATCCACTACGTCCTGAATATTCGACAGCTTCAACTGGATATTCATAAAAGAACAGTGGTACAGGCGTCAGTCGCATTAAAGCTCCATTACCAGCTACACCTTCCGAGCTGCAGTTCACGTCGAATTTTTCCAAAAGCTCAGGATCTGAAAGAAAATCCAACTCACCAATAGGAATTTTATGTTCAGCGGCGAAAATTTTTTGACGGCGCTCAAATTCCAGTAGCGATTGCCTAGTGGCAGAACCAATATCGAAACACTGTCCCGTAGAAGACATGTATCCATGTCTATACCACCATTTGTAACGAACTAGTTGGTCATAAGGTTCATAGTACTGACGAGCTATCAATGAATTTGCAAGACAAAGAGCCATGGACGTATCATCAGTGAACTAAAATAATGATATATTATACAATTTTATTGTATGATTACTGATTCTAATAAGATAAATTTTTGAGATGTAAAGCCAACTTCATATTTTTCCTCTTTACAGATTACCGAACGGCGGTCAATGTTTTGATAACGTGACACTTTGAAACAAACATACCTGTACTCGATGCAATTTTCAGAAGACATTAATTATAGTAAAATCTATTATCAAAATTATTTCACAAGATTTGAACAAAGATACAATGCTAATAGTTCGATACTTTTTCCAATCGTTAGGCCTGTTAGCATGTCATATCTGCAGCTACTTGCTTATCCGTTTACAATTCGAAAATATCTTGAAACGTTACGAACGTCAATTTTAAAATGGATCTCTTCAACGTCTATATAGCATACAGTACAGTAGAGAAGAAATAATGACTTTCTAGGTACACAGTAAGAACACAACAAATTCCTTGCCATGGTAAAATAGTAGCTAAATAATTTATAGCAGTAGAAGATACCTGTCCTTTGTTTAGTCCCCATGTGCCACCTCCTTCAAGTCCTTCTACAGGATGTGCAACCATGTAATGTCGAGATCGGAACTCGACATGGGCACCCACAGCATCGCCCAATGCCATTCCGATCATTGAACCATGAATACGATCCAGCTTATCATTATCAATCTTCCCAACAGGAAAAGTCAACTCGTTAGTGAGTTCATCAGGTTTCAAAGTCAATTCTTGTGTATTGAACCTAAGATTGAGCCATTCTTTGTCTATGCGCAAAAAATATATGTACGGTGAATGGCATACTTCAAAATTGTCATGTAAAAAAGCTACTCGATCAAGATCGTGCAAGGTTTCATTTTTTTTCTTCTATGAAAAATATTTTTAACTTACCTGTTTTAAATTGACAACAACGATGTCTTTTTGATGCCTCATGGGCGTCTAAATAATAACAAAATAATATTAAGCTTTCTACACGTCTCATATCTCTGATTGTTGATCACTTCAAACAGCATAGTTATAAGTGAGAATTCTTGTTTCTTTCAACTCCTGAAAATTTTTCTTTAACTTTATCAACATTGCCAACATCTTTAAATATAATATTGAAAAATGAATTAATTTACAAATGAGATATAAACCAGTTACTTTTTGTTTTTACATATAAAGCCAAAAATTAAATCAGTTTTCTAGTATGAATGGTAACTTACGTTAGACTCATGCACAACGTTGGCGGAGAAAATTTTATTTTACCTTCTGATCTGGAATTCTGCGTTTTACTCATTGGAAAAGAAAAAGAAACATGTTGACTGTGTTTGGCGAAAGAAATTATGGTGCATGGAGTATGTAAATCAAGGTACTTTATATATATTTTGACGCCCTCGGCTGCAGAAATGCTCGGTAAAAACCAACCATCCACAGAAAGAGAAAGAAATTAATGTAAAAAAGATAGCGCATGTCGGAGGCCGACGTTATTTGGATAAGAAAAATAAAATTTTTCGTCTCCTGTCTTGCTTAGATGTAAAAGTAAATCAAAAACGCAAAACAACTTTGTTTCACGCTGAATTCTTTATAGAAAAAAGAATTCAATAGCAAAAGAACTACCAATAAAATGTCTATAGAAAATATCTTCAAATAGTCTGCGTACGAATACAACTTCCAATAAAATTTAATTACTCGTTTTAAAATTTTTAATGCTATGTAGATCGTTGATTTATTTAACAGAAACAACACACTAATTATAATGAATAAGTGGTTAAGATCGATTGTGATATAGAAGCGTTAGATGTTTTAGAATTGCTTGTAGAGTGTGTTATACATGGGAAACATAAATTCTTTTGAATGGAATCAGCGAGAATTCAAATAAGCAAAGTTTTGTTCGAACAATCAAAAATGATTTGCAGGAGTGTGGGCAATATTAAGTGAGTGCCTGCTAAACCAATAGATTACAGAGCATACGTAGGTAGGTAGGTAGGTAGGTATAAAAACGAGTGCCTACTAGTTTGAAGTTTTAGAAATGGAGCTTTCCGTGTTATTTGAGTGCTGAACTTTTGACGCCATTGGAAAGTTAAATTTTATATTGACTATGCATACGCACGTCTAGTTGCAGATATTCGTGCCGATCAGAAATGCTCCAATATTAATGAAATCTCAGCATTCTATCATTTATTTGGTGCTTTGCAAAATTTAAAATAAATCCTTCCGTCCTTCTTGAAGCTTAGCGACGCTGAAATACCCATTTTGTGGACGAGGCTGATTACCTCACTCACAACTTGTTCTTGTGTTTCAGAATTATACTTCTTATTCTGTGAAATAAGCTGATACGATCGGCCCTTCTCGATGTGTCCCACCTGCACGTAAGCGACACAGGGATCCTACATTCCACATATATTCAAGGTGAATCTTCGCCATTGGCTAATACTAAGTACGAATGCATGAAACGAGTTTTACTTTTGACTCTCTTTGTTTTTCATTGAAAAATCGTATCAAACAAACAACAACACTGCAAAATAGAAGAGAAGAAGAAAAAAATAATAACAAATCAAAACAGAAACATATAAATGGACGGATATTATGTGTAAATTATTGTTTTGTGTTTTGTTGGAAGAAAAAACCGACTGGAAAAACGAGAGAACACGAGCAAACCAAAGAAGAAGAAAAAAATAATATTTAAAAGAAAAATGAAACGAAACAAAGCATAAAAAACAGCGAGAGAGAGAGAGAGAGAAAGATGCAAATTTTGAAGAGAGAGAAAAAAAAACACAATCTTCTAGTCTAGCTCAATTTCACACAAAGCAAAAAAGGTCCTGAAAATACATGTGCTACTCAATAAATTTCAATAGTTGCATATGAACGACAATGCGTTCTGTATTTTGTGCATGTGTATTCAAATAATGAAAAAGAAAAAAAACGAACATTTGCTGTTGTTACGAGTGAAAAAAACCCTGTCGAAAAGAGATAAAAATAATAATAATAATAATAATAACATATTTGCTTTTTAGCAAAAGAAAGGAAAAAAAACAAAATATGTTTGTGAAATATTTTCATTGTTATTGTTGTTGCTGTTGCTGTTGTTGTTGTTGAGATGTAGTATAATCAACATCTGCTGGATGATCTTGATGCATGAGTGCTAAGCGCTCTTGAATTGCTTCTGGCTGATGTTGTTGTCTTCGATCAAATAAATAACGTTTACCTTGAGTATCAATAAACATTTGTCCGTCGGTACAATCAGCTCGAAGTATCATCGTACTATTATCACTAAATGTAACACGATAGGTTCCTTTTAATAATGGATCGATAGACTTAATTGACAATGAATTTGTTGGCATTAAACCAGGATTTGTAGTTGTCGTTATTGTTCCGCCACTGGCCGTAGAATTCAATGACGTTGAAGACGTATAATTATGATTCATATTGTTTATTGTTGATGCTGCCGTTGTTGTTGTTGCTGCTGCTGCTGCTGCTGCTGCTGGCTGGCGATTCGATAGCGATGATGACGATAAATTTTCTGGTGCATACAACGGTGAAGATATTTGTTGAGGATGAATAGAAAGTGGGCGCGATATTGATGTTTGAGGTGTATAAGTTACTTGATGATGATAACCAGCTGTACGTAATGTTGATGATGATGTTGAATGATGAACATTCGCGTTAGATATATTTGCCGTTGACGACATGGGCGTTGTCGATGATGAACTTCTCACTCCTCGCACATCAGTATCAGATGCAAATATACGTCGAGTAGATGTCATTGATAGCGGTGCACCAGCGGATGTTTGAGCTGCGATACATAGTTCATTTACGGTTGAAGACGAACCACCGAATTGTTGAGAAAGAGAACGACCAATAGAACAAGCTGAACCTGTTTGGTTTTTCGAAAACAAAAATAAAGTAGTTTTAAACATCAAATTTTGATTGAGAGTCGTGCACATGGGAGAAGACTTGATATTAAATTGAAACTTTCCTACGCACACTCATGCTGAGATTAGTGAATCGAGATAGAATTCAAATGAAAATAGAAGCCGAGCTACACTTTTTCGATATACTAACATCTATTTATCTACGACGAAGATAATTCTATATCAGTCAAACTCGAAAATTTCTCCCAATGGAAAAGGAAAACTAGTCTTTCACAGCTCCGAATTTTCTACCTGGTCTATTGGGATCCGATTGTTGAGCATGTTTTTTTCCGAATTGAACTGGAAAAGCTTGAATAGATGGAAATTGTCGTTGATTATCTTCAAGAAGTTGATCTTTCGATAAACAAAATGAATAGTACTAAAAAAGTTCAAACTTAGAAATCTATTATTTTTCTTAGCTTTAACATACCGTAATTGCATTATCAAGCATTTGGCGTATTTCCGGACTGAAATGTTCAACAGCAGATATATTCCGTGTTGCAACACGTTCAAAATCTAGTGATGATTCCGATTTATCAATATTATTACTTATTTTTATTTTCAATGGATCATCATATTTAAAATTTTCTCGATATATTGAAATTTTGACACCGCACACATAAACAACTTCGAAATCAACGCCTGTTTCCATTAATGAACATTTTGCTTCTGGTGTGTAAAGTATGATTTTTGCCATTCGTGATCGAACTAGTGTAACAAATCTTTAAACAAAAATCAAAATAAATAAAATCATGAAAAAGAATTTTTTCTTTCGAATTACTTATGTGCATATTGATATTTTTTCCAATATTCAGGTGGTAATTTATCGAATTCATATTCTTGATAGGCATTTTTATCACGTGGTATCGGTGGTGGATGATCAGCTATAGGTGAACCATGGCGACTATTAGGTGTATAGGTTATTATACGTAAGCCATCATTTGATACGCGAAATACATCAACAATACGTCGTTTTGTTCCCTTTGTTCTCATCGTTTCAAGTACAACTTCACCGTTGTCCATAATGCTCATCTAATTGAATTTAAAAATTAGAATTCAATTCAAGACGTTTCTTTCCACACTTACAATAAATGATTTTGTTGCCTGACGGAGTGTTTTTAATCGTTGTGCATTCAATGGTTGAAGCTTTTCACGTATTTGTTCACTGTTTGCATCGAAATTTGATGTTGCTTGGTGTTGCTGTTGTTGCTGTTGTTGTTGTTGCTGCTGCTGTTGTTGTTGTTGTAATAAACGTTGAATAGTATTCGATGATGATAATGATGGTAATCCATTGCGTAATAATGTTGATGGGTAATTATTAGACATAAAATGATTACTATTATTATTATTGTGAAGGGACGCTTTAGAACTTGATTCAGATTTTGCACTAAAATCACGTGAAGATTTTGGATCAGACCGTGCAACCCCACTATCTCGAGACAAGACCGATGATGTCGCACTATCCGGACGAGGATCATTTACATTGTGTGAACCATTACTAAGCCAATCGGTTAGATTTGAATGCATATCATATGATGGACTAAAATATTTACTTTAATGAAATGTTGTCTCCATAGGAAAAATACCTTTGTCGGCCATGAATAGATTGTTGTTGTTGAGCAGGTGTAGAAGTAAAAACTGGATATACAAAAACATCGTGTGGAATTTTATTACGTATACTCGTATTCATATAGATTGGCGTAGCGTGATGAGACGGAGTTGGAGAAGACACTGGATCCGATCTGAAGAATATTTAAATTTAGTACAAGTAGTAATGAGATTTTTAACCCGAACTAGTTGTCTCCCGGTGAGATTCATCATGATCTTATGCTAATGAAGTTCACTGAAAGGCTTTCACATACATTCATCTCAGACAATTAAAAATAAAAAAAGAACTGAGTAACAGAGTCATTCATCTTGAAAATAAGATTCATGACGACTGCAGACGCCAGAATTTAAAGAAGACGGATGTGTTTTTCGAAATAGCTTTCTAACAGAATCAAGTTAGAGATCAGTGCTTTTTACTAATTAGAAGCGACAATCATTTCACTGTAGAACTGTAACAGATTTTCATCGGCCGGCATTTGAAAAACATCTTTAAACGCAGGAGTCTGAAAAGGTTTGCTATTTGATTTTATCTGAAACTACCGCTGAAATATCCATTTTTTTTTATCAAAATACTTTAGAGACGTATGCTTTCATTAATTACCCCGGATCAACTGCAAATAGATCTCCATAGGGGTATGTGACTAAGGTCAGTCAAGTAGTCATTTTTCGATTGCGCTTAGGAGGAGACTTAAATAAAACTCTATAATTAAAAATTTTACTAGATTCTTCGGTAAATAAATATTAGTCCTTGACTGATCGTAGAGTATACCTTCCATCAAGATATTTTTTTTACCGACGACCAAAGATAAATCTCTATAACTTTCCAATAGAACATGATTCAAATTCGAATAGCAAGCATTTTTAGAAGTTCGTTTTCAATGATGATTCTCAAACTCTCACTTGATTGATCGAGAAAATGTGATCTAGTTCTACAGCTAAATCATATCTCTTTCAATTATTCTCAAACGTAGATCTCTATCATGATTTTATCAAAATCTATTTGAAAAAAAGCATTTAATCGTCTCTATGCTTCAGTATCTATCCCACTTAGTGCGAGTTCTTTGTTGATCTCACAAAAATATCGAATGTGTTAAATTCAAATGCATTCAATTTTTCTTTACATATTAAACATTTTTTGTTTTCAAACTTACGAATATTGATGAGCAGCATAATTTGTATTTGTCACTGAAGTACTGTTCAATACAGATCGTTGCCGTCCCATCGACACTCCAAGACCACTATCAACAGATGCATTCGGGCCCAACTAAATTTAGAAAAATAAAAACTCGATACTATTTCTTTCTTTCTATCTTACCAATGATAATTTTTGATAGCTATTAGATTCGTTATACGAATGCGATGAGCGAGAATATTCCTTTGTATAAAAAGGATGAGACCGAATTTCTTAAGCACAAAAAACGGTTTATTTCAAATTGCCAATTTAAACACAGAAATTCAACAAACCCATTATTGTCGGTCGATGTTCAGGTGTTTTTCTTAATGTGCTATTCACAAGATCTTGAGCCTCGTCACTGAATGTTGTTGGTAGCTCATATTTTTCTTGTGTAACTTTACTCAATGTTCCATGAACAGCTTAAAACAAATGAAATGTTTGAAATTTCTCTATCAACAACAACAATACATACTGTCAGTATCGAAGGGTGGACGTCCTGTTAGTAGTGTAACAATTAGAATACCTAATGACCATACATCCGTTGCAAAGCTATGTGGATTTCGACTTGCTATTTCCCTAAAGAAATAACATTTCGGAAATGAGAAATAAAAAGAAAAATTAATCTATTACGGAGATATATAATTAGGTGTGCCACACATTGTTTCATTATTTTGTTCACGTGTTAAAGGTAATTTTTTAGCCAAACCGAAATCCGCAATTTTCTATTGAATTTTATAGTTTGATTAGCAAATGTCTTTTTCTTTCTTTCTATTAAAAATTTAACGTACCACATCGAATGTTTCGGTCAGAAGTAAATTTGAAAGCTTAATATCTCGATGTAAAATTCCATGACTGTGCAAATAGACAAGACCATCCACAACTTGCTTGGTAGTGTTACGAGCTTAAAATAATAAAAATACATTAACGTTAGCAATCGAACGCATGCATTTTTCTTTTGTTTCGGCATACTTTCATGTTCGCTAAGTGTTTTTTTCTCTTGCAAATAATGTTCAAGATCACCGTTAGAACATAGCTCAAGTATTAGATAAACATATTTATCATCACAAAAACAGTTCAATAATTCAACTATATTCGGATGTTTAACTTGATGATGAATTGTGATCTCAGCATTCAATCTGTCGAGCATCGATGTCGAACGTGAACTCGGTATTGGATGACGATGATTTGGATACGATGGAAAATAATGATTATTTTCTTGTTCAAGTTTTTTTCTATCGATCTGTTTCACAAATAATATTAGTTTTTTTTAATTTCAATGATTGATTCTCTTACCATTTTACATGCTACAAGAAGTTCATCAGATTTACGACGTGCAGCATGAACAGTGGCAAAGCCACCTTTACCAAGTATATGAGATACTTCATAGTGCTAAAAATGACAACATTTGTATAGGTTTCATTTTTCTTTTTCTTATGAATTTTTCCTATGTTTATCGAGTCTTAGTCATGCATTACATAGGCACTTCCGTTCTTCATTTGAAAGCTTATACTGTATATACGCTTGAAGGGACAGATAAAATATGTCAGGTGGAATGGAATGCTTTTTTTGTTGTTGAGTAAATGAAATGAAACCAATTGAGTGTAACGATAAGAAATAGTTATTGATGTGGGTGATTCGTAATCCGGTATGGAAATTATTTCAAAGCTAAATGTGAACGTCGGAGTTATGCTTCATGAATAGTAGTAGCTTACTGAACTATATATTCTTGTATTTATGCCAATAGAAGACAGGCAAGTCAATGATGAGAGAATCGGCTTGAGAAAACTCATTTTTCAAGTATATTCACAATCAATTCTACATGTTATTTCTATATTTTATTTAAAAACATTTGAATAGGAGCTGAGCGAAATTCTTTTTCAAGGTTCTTGTAAAAATTGCAAAGAGAGAATCAAAATTTTATTATGTTTTTTCGAATATAGATTCAAGAATTTTTGTTGAAGGAAAGAAAATTGACCGATTGTCTTTTCTATAGGCTACGTTCTTTTTCTTTAACCACAAGATTACCAACAAATCTCTCGTCTATAAACTAATGTTAGAATTACAATTATCCAATGAATGTTAAATTCGCTGTGAAAGTGTCTATTTCATAGAAAGTCATCTTATATTGATACAGTATTTCTTATTAAAAAATATTTCCTGTGGGCAAATCATTAATATTAGATGAACAGATCAATATTTACTCTTCTATTTGCTATATTTAAAATCATCATCTTGTCCACTTTTCATATCGTAAAAATTCATTCGAACTCAATTGAGTAGCCTTTGCCAGGTTAATTCATAACGAATAGAAAACTTCGAGTCGATTCCAAGGCTTTCAAAACTTTCGAAGTACTTTGAAAAGAAGTGAACAGTTTGTCTTATTACTTTTTCGATCTTGGGCGAAATCCTTGAACTTGATTGTGCTTCCCAATGATCTATGTAGCGAATAGTTATACTTGATCGTGTTTATTTTTTTTTACTATCGAAATAAGACTCAGCATAATCGCTTCTCAAATAACTTTTGTTTTATTCTTCTTTGTACTTATGCACTTTACTTTTTTTTTAAATAGTTTATTTAAAGTTAAATATGAAGATTTATTTTAGTAAAATATCATTCAAATGTTATTTTTCCTATGGCAATGGCTCATTGAAAAGTCCCGAAAAGCATACTGAAATTCGATTGTCGTGCTTTGTCTTTTAATCTGAACCAGAAAAGGACAAATTTTTCTAATCAAAATACACATATGTATTTTATTTTCAAGATTTTCTCTATGGATATGTTAGTCTGTTCTAATCTAATTCAATTTGTCTTCATCATTGTCTACTTGTTATTCAATGCAAAAGAACTTGTTTTGTACGGTATGTAAGTTTTGAATAATTGATACTCAACAAATCAAACCACACACGTACTCAAACACGCACATATAATGTGTGAGAAGAGATGAAAACTTTCTTCTCTCGTATTTTTTTCTTCTTCGTTTTTTGAAGCCAGAGGAATATGAAAAAAAAGAAATGAATGAAAGAAAGAAAGAAAGGAAATCTCGATTCCTGATAATAATTATTGCCTTACACACATACACGGATTGACCATTGAAATAGGATCGTTAAATGAAGAACAAGTTATAAGAAACAAAGAAGAAAGAATTGTCGTATTAGTCTTTTCTTTCCCTTTCTTAGTTCCCTATTATCGATGTAGTCACGCCAACAACTTAGCTTGTTCGTGCGTGTTCAATCTTGAACGAAACCTTCTTTCTTTTTTATACTTCGAAGAATTTTTACGTCATCTTATCAACTAGCTACTCTTATATGTATACAAGAGCAGCAAGAAGACCTCGATGTGTAGTTATAAATCGAAAAAAAATTTCGTTTTTTTCTCCTGGTGATGATGGACACTTGAATTGAGTGTCGGTGGAAAGAAAGAGAAAGCGAAAACCACTACCACTATCGCCACTACCGCATCATTACGCATACAAACACAAATATCTCGAATTTCGTTTACACATATGTTCACCTGCTGAGCCAAAGTTCACACTTCTTTCGTTTGTCTGGAAGGAAAACGGGTGTCGATGTGTGTGGCATATGCAGATTCATTCAAATCGGATAGGAAAAGAAGAAGAAGAAGAAAAAGTTCAAAAGCAACTTACACTGATTTTTTCGTCATGGGAAAACATGGGCACGATGCCAGACCGCATTTTCTAATGTTTGCTTGTTGAGCTATGCACCCACAGTTTGGTTTGGAAATATTTGTATAACCAACAATAGCTCCATTGATCTACAATAAATAAAGAAATTTCATTTAATAGATACCTCTCAATGTCTTTTATTTTAAGATGTATGAGGTATAAATCAGACGAAATAAAACGCAAGTAAGACAGAACGCGAGAGAGAGAGAGAGAGGGAGAGAGAGAGACAGAGAAAAGACAGAAAAGAAAAAAGTAGGGAATCAAAAAAAAGAAGAAAACGAGAGAGCTTTTCTCACGCAATCACTCAAGTACGAGTCAGTAGTAAAGAATTGTACGACAAAGAAATACAAAAAAAAAGAACACCATGAAGAAAGAGAAATGAATGAACGCGAATGTCACCATAGCAACGGACTCGATTGGTTGTACTTACAGGTGAATAATGCAAACTTTATTTAATTAAAATAAAATAAAGCATTATCATCATTAGAAGAAATTCATATTATTTAAAATAAAATCAAGATTTCAATGATACAGAGGGCGCTAACAGGTAGCTGGATGAATATGTTCTGTTTTGTTCTTGGTTCTTTTTTTGTTCTTGCGTGTGAAGAATGTGGCAATAGAAATCAACGTAATCTACGATATTCAGGTAGATATCAAGAACCTTTTGTTGACCCTAATCAATCTCAGAATACTTTGAAATAAGTCAAGGACATTGCTTTCAATGTTTTATGCTCTAATAAAAATAAAAATTGCACGACTCTCTTGTTTGCTTTTTATCAGTTTGAAGAGCTTACATTTTGATTATATAAATAGAAAAATTAATTTGCTTCTAAGTCTGATTTCTAATTGATGCTATTAAAATGAAAACTAGTATTTCTCACGCTCTGTATCGGACATTCTCGTCATGCATCATTATCCAACTTCTTCTAAATTAAAAGCAAGAAAAACTATCATGCTATCATTTTCTCTACAAAAATTTTAAAAAAAATGAAAATTCAACTAGTTACAAGCAAAAGAATTCTTTATGGGCAAGCAAGAAAGATGCAAGTAAATAAAAATAATCTTATGTGTCGAATACGACGATAAGTGTTTACGATCACTTAAAGTCATAGTATATGATATCTATAAATCATTACGTCAGGTTGCAATATATTTTATAACCCTACAATAGATACTGATTATAGAGGATCATTGAGCCTATTTATGTTGAACGAAAAAGTAATAAATCTACTGAAATTCAGACTGATTCTTACAGAACAAAAATATCATAACTTGGTTCTAGTCAGCAAACGAAAGTTTTGTTTGGAAAAACTCTCAGTTTGTTCGGTCTATGATGTAAAAGGGAAAAGACATTCCTGTCTGAAAATGAAAGTTTCTCTTGCGTATACTTGATTTGATCTAAACGAAGATAGAAAACAGACATCAATAGGTCGTAAACGCAAATTACCAGTGTGAAAAGCAAAGCGCAAGAGACATCTTCATTGGGAAGTTTCTATGAAATTCACTTAATACTGTATTCGATGGAAAAAGAACAGAGATTTTTCGAGATATTCTACTGATAGTCTATTAATCGTTCTCAGTTACATCCTGCAAAAGTGAACTAATGATGCGTATTGTCGGTGTTTATATTAGCAATGAATATGTGGCGTAGAGCACACCGGGATACTGATTACACTGACATCAGCACGCGTTACCGCATGAGATATGAACTCTATCAAATTATGCCTTTTTTGTGTTGTTGGCATGTTGCAAAACTTCAGTGAGAACACACGTGTCAGTGTGAGTTTCAAATATATAATTCACACTATTCATTAAAAATCATCGACCTCGCTTCATTCAGAACAGACTTGTCAATGTTTTAACGGTTCACTTCCCTTTACCCACTACAATTACCTTGTTTTCCATGTAAAACAAAATCGTAAAAATCTGATTAAAATTGATTTTTATGCAATTAGAAATCTGTTTTAATCAGATTTTTCAACCTTAAAAGGCAGATTATTTTTTATTTTTATTTTATTTTAATTGATTGCCTACAAAACTATTATAATCGACGAAAATAAAATCAAAATCAAAAATAATCTGCCGTTTAAGGTTGAAAAATCAGATTAAAACAGTGCCAGTATAATAGATTTTTAATCTGATTATTAATCCACTTTTTTTTACATGGGTTAGACACATTGCAAAAAAGAAACTGACAATGATAGAAATACTCTTTGCATTGGTCTCTAAAATAAATTTCTTTTTTACGTTGCTTTGTCCTTGGAGGATTAAGTCTAAAACTGTGAAACTATCCTAGTAAATATTTTTTCTACCTGCAACCAAAGTAGATCTTTCTATGGATCCAGGCACTAAGAAAATTTAATCATCCTTCGAGTCTATACTAGAAAAGTGCGAGAGAAAAACCTTGAACAAAATTAATATATATATGTTTTACAGGCGTCCACTCATGAGAAGGGCAACTATTATTTATTATGCATGTAATGTTCGTAAAGATTGTACGATGGTTCAAAGCCAACTAGACGCTTATCTTACAAGAGATGTCAAATGCATGCAAACGTTTTTCAGTTTCATTTTTATCAGTTCACTCTTTCATATGTTAAAATTTTGTGGCCTAAGAGAAAAAAAGCTCACAGCATAAGAGATGCACGTAGTTCTATCTCTCGTATTGTATCACATGGTCACGAAACTGTTCTACATGATAACAAATGAACAAGTATCAGAACAGATCATATTCGATGAGTCATCACTCTAAAGTTATTTCACTAGTGAATCTTCCTGTGAGGTTCTTCTATTTGATTCAATTTCAAAACAAAAATCACGCTTGATGAATTTTCAAAAAAATGTTCCCAATTGACTGAGCGAAGAACTTATCATTCCGAAAGTACTTTTTTACAACTCTTGTGTTTTTGTAGGGCAATTCGATTCTCAAAATTATTATAATCCATACACTAATCGTCTAGATTTGCATGGTTATTTTTCTCACATACGCCTCTTCGTCGAATGGTAATCTTTCAAATTGCTCGTGCGTGTATGACATAATACAATCAAATAGGCTACTTCATTTATAAATATATACATATGATTGATGAGTATGATTTGTATTGTTTGTCATACTGTATCATTACCAGTCATGCAATCATAATAAACATGATAGAATTTTTTTAAAGATATACAAAAATAAAGAAAAACAAAACAACGGGTCGAGTATTACGTCAGACTCGAGAGATGAACATAGTTAGTAATAATAGAAGAGAATAATGAAGAGAATAACCACTGTTACGTCGCTGTTCTTGTTTTTCTAAGTTTTGATCATAATTATCATCGTTATTGACATTCCATATGATGGGTGGCTTTCGATGATAGATCGGTATTCGATCTTTCCAGTTAACTGTCGTCGTTATTCGTCTTGTCGTTGTAATTATAATAGGTTGTTCAGTGCTTGAATTCTCTTCTGATTCTTCATCACTATATAAATCGGTATCTCCATAATCATAAAAAGCAGTATTTGTATCGTCAATTGAAGGATAGTCATCAGTCCGATCTGTAGTGGTGGTAGTTGTTGTTGTCGCTATGCGATGTGAGGTCTTCCTAGTGATAGTCTTTTTTGCGGTGGTGGTGGTGGTAATGCTCGTTGTTGTTGCCGTCGTCGTTGTTGTTGTTGTTGTTGTTGTTGTTGTTGTTGTTGTTTCATCTGTTGAGTCTTCATATGCATAATCGGAATAATCGAATTCATTGTCATTTGGATAATCATCAAGATCATTAGATTTTAATGCATCAGTGAAGTTTTCGATGATTACATTTGTTTTTGATTCATTTACTGTTGATGGATTTGTGGCTGGATTAATATTAAGTGCTAGACAAAGAAAACAAATATATAGGTCAATGTCAATGACTGTGTGACATGTTCTAACAGTATGGCATTCGTACTACGATGTTTTTTTTAATGTCCCCATCTCACCATATTTAATAGATGTGCATGTGGTTCTATGATATGAATTCCTGACCGGAATTTTAGGACAATCCGTTTGAGATTGTCTTATTATTACTCATAACTAATTGATAATAATTTTGTATTATAAAAGTAATCGGCTTATCTATAACCTTGATAAATCGTCGACTGTTCTATCCATACTCTCTATAGAATTGCCTACTGGAAAATTAAGTTACCTGATGTGATGCGATGTGTACTGGCATTTACTAGTGATTTTTGTTTCATTTCTTTTACAATCCATTGTAATTTTAAACTTAATGGTTTATCATAATTTAACTTTACAGAAGATCTAAATTAAGAAAATTGTTTAAAGAAAGAAAATTTGCATCCTTTTCCAATTTTGCATACCCTTCATCTTGTGATATTAAAGTTCCTGTCCAGCATTCATTTTGATTTATTGATGAAACCCCTTTTGATTTACAAACGTGTTTAGGTAGTTCAACCCAAAATGATCGATACGACTGCAACGATTGACTCATATGACTCAGCTGTTGATCTAATAGTGATAATGCTAGTGTTTTACTGTATTCGTCATCGACTGTTTGATCGATAGCAAATGCTTGACGTCGGCTACGTATTTGCCCACATTGATCGATGATCTTTGTATACAAAATCATAACAATATGAATAGAACTCATGACTATTAATACATACGTCCTTGTTTCCTACTCCGCCCGAATTAAAAAAGGCCATAACAGCATCTGATATCGATAAACCAATTGATGATAAAACCTTTTCAATATTGTTAAAATAGGCAACATTGTCAACCGAATCTAAATAGGCTCAATGAAACAAAAAATATCCAATCGCTATATTTTTGTTCATACCAATGAAAATTTTCCATATATCATCAATTAATGTTACATTAACCATGCAACTTTCAATAACATTCATACAGTTAGATAAACATGGTAATTCACCTCGTCCACCACATAAATTGCAATATGATAATTGCATATAAGCATCAATACAATGATAATCCGTTGTAACACTCTTAATAGAACAAAAACAAAATGTGTGAAAATAACACATCGGAAAATTTGTCATAACGAATGAGGCTGTTTTTATTTTATCTTGTTTATACAAGTAAATATTTCAAGCTGTTTTTTTGTTTTTGTTTAATAAGTTCTTTACATAAAACGTATGAAATTCGATTGATAATGACTTTTCTCAATGTATTTCGCACCTATGTCACCCTCATATATTTGTCGATATAAATAATAAACGAAATCATGCACTCTATAGAGATGAACAAATGTTGAATTTTTAATAATAGGCAGTCAAATGTTTATCTGGTAGTTCAGTATGAATAAAGGCAGTCAGTTACATGAAGATAAAAAAAAAAGAAATCAAACCGTTCATCACAATGACATGTTAGAATAATCTATTGTCAATCTCTCACGAAGCTTTTTCTTCCTTACCGTAGACAAAATTTGAACCAGTTCATGGCTTAATTTAAATAATTCATTTAATTGAAATAGTTTTCCTAAATTAACTTCTAGTTGATTTTCAATTAAATTTAGATGATTTCCAAACGGATGATTCTTCCATAGACACGAAAGATATGTTGGCGAAATCATTTTATTGTTACTTAATGTTAATGATATGTGCAAAATATTACGAAATAATTCATCAACAAAGACTTTAATATCATGTTGATAAGTACGATAGGTTAATGTTAAAAGATTATTAAAAAATGTATCTATAGACGAACGATAGGATTGATAAAGTATATTATAGCCACGTTGTAAAACAAGATGCGTTTCATTTCGTGATAGTTCAATTAATTTTACAGTTGTATCTAATTAAAATAGAGAAAAATAAAAATTTTCTAATTAAAAATTCACATACGATTTAAATCATTAGCTAAACGAAGTAATGGTTCATATAAATGAATCGTATTCAATTCAAATAGACGATAAAGTTCAATGGCTGTTGCATTTTGTATTTGATTTTCATAGTTTTGTGGACAACAACGATTATCAACGATATGTTCGCATAGATTTAAACGAGAAAAATTTTTTTGTTGAACATTTATATGAATATTATATTTATTTAATTTCGTATTTAAAAGAAAACATTCGTTTTGTGGTCGTTGAGTTGAAACAAAATTTGCTAATAAAATAATAGGAAAGACGTAATAAATCATAGTGTGTTATGTCAAAAACAAATTTCGACGAATCTTTTCCCGTCAAAATTAAACCAATTTGTTATCTCCCTATCGGTTATGTTTGTTATTGAGAGAAAATGATATCCATCGTCGACGGAGCGTATGTGTTGTGTGCGTGTGTGATCGGACGAACAAACTGCTGGTCTGCTCTATATGTACAAAGCGCTATGTACATTGCTTCCAACTGTTCTTGTTTTAGACAAGAGAGAGAGAGGAAAGAAGAAAAAAGAATGCAACAGTTCTCTTCTCTTCTTTTCTTCTCTCACTTGCCTTTTCTTTGTTTCTATATGTGTATGTCTAAAAGAATGGCTCATGCACTTTTCTGTCAATGAATCAAATTGAAATTCATAATGAGAAAAATTGAGAATTCGTTTCATACAGTAGCTTAAATCTTTTATTTGCAGTGCTTCAGAAGATATGTATGAAAATATTCATAAATTTAATACTTGTTAGAAATTCAGGGTTCTTTTTTTTTTAGTATGTGGAAATTATGCAATACGTACCGGACGTGAATATTTTGATAGGAAAAAGTCAAATTCATTCGTGTGTAGAGCATTCTTTTGAGAAAGTAATTTATCTGAGCATAAATAGGATCATTGTTAGAGAATTTCATAGCAGAGAGCAAATCTAAAATCCGAGAAACTTTTGAATTGTGAGTTGTTCGATTTAATGGATTAGTCTTTGATGATTTAAGAATGTTCTTGAAAGAATTCGAGCGCTTAGTTCAGTGTTACAACTGAAAAACATTCTTACTGATTTCCGTTGACACGTCTTGGACAAAATATTCTTGAGATTCAGTCGGACAATTCTACCGGAAGACGACTGGTAGAGATAATATAGTTCAGTAGTTACATTTTTCATTGTTCCTCTTCTAAGATAGAACACGTCTTCTAGTTCGCTCGTTTATACCGACAGATTGGATGGTCTGATTTCAGGATAGAAATTTGAACAGTAAACTAGTCTCTTTGAGGTTTACATCTGCTAAAAATTTTCTAGTCGAAATTTGAGAATTGATTTTTCGCGTTATTTCAAGACACAACGATGTTGATTTAAGATACAATAACTCCGTAGCCATTAGTTAAGCATCTAAACTGTTTTCTATCGACATTCGCAAAAGAATTCTTTTCAATCAAAAATTTCTTAAAATAAAATCGACTCTCAATATATTAAACATACGACATTCTTTCATTGCACAATACTATAATCGGTTCGACTGAAAATAAAAGCACGGTAATTACAGTCGATAAGCTATCTTTCGCCTGAGGTGTTCCACTTATTCATCTATATGACATGTCGCTGAGCTCAATTTTTTTTTCTTTTCGGTATTTTTTTTCTTTTGATTAAATTATAGATTAGATCGAAGGTATATTATTTTTTTTGTCCAAAAATGGGTGGACAGCTCGAGACAATAGACACAAAACAAATTCATCTGAAAGGCTTTATAGTAATAAAAGTATAATTATGTTTTTGACATTGATCATAGTATGTAGTAAAAAGAGAGTAGCTACGATTGAATAGTCAATCTATTCTTTAATTGTCAATGCAACTTTTTGAACAAGCCGATAATCCTTAGTATCACCTTCAATATACTAATCATTAAATGCATTTGATCGTCGATGGTTTATATTACTGTTTATCTTTATTGATGACATCGATCGTATACATTATGTTACAGATAGTAGAAATGGCGGTATCTATAATTGAGTATCTATTATACAAATGTTCATTCATTTGATTAGAAACATGTTAAATGAATGTCGAATGATCAAAAATGAACGTAAAGGTCATCTTGATAATATTTTATCGTTTGCGATATTGAACGAAGCACAATTGGGTTATTCTCTCTGGGAGATAAAATACTACGTAATTATGTAAATGAATGTTCATCAATTTTTCTTGATTAATCTCGATAGATTTTTATAACTAAAACGACCATATTATTCTTTTTTTTTTATATGACTTGAGATAGAAATATTGATCGTTTTGATTAGGAAGATACTGATTGATAAATATCAGCTTATTCATTTTATTTTTCGATTACTTGAGAGTTTCAGTAGAAAGTATTAAAATACTTATGACACACATCACTAGGTATGAGCAAATGTTTGAATGATATGAAAATCGAATTCACATATGAGTACTTTTAAAAATTGATTTCATGCTGCTGCTCAGCGATTTCAATCGTTACGTTTGTAAGAGCATCCGTTTCATTCAATTTCACATTCGTCTTCTTGAATGCATTTTTCTCGATCTGTACTAATATTAGTCATCGACAAACAAATGTATTTTACAAGACTGATAATCAATGAATTGCCAACATCTGATTCTATTCTGAACAAAAAATGCTAATAAATCCATCGAATTTTATATTAAACCGATGGTCAATGTATGTTCTGACGAAGAAATGTTTCTTTCTTTCTACTGGCATATTTAGAGGCAATGTCAGCTATAGTTTGAATGTTTTATTCAGTATTAAAATCTGTATAATTTCATTTTGAGGCCTCTTCAAGATATGTTGAATTTTTCGGCAGACATTTTTATGTTAATCAAGTGGTTCATACTTCACGGTGATCCTGTCAACCGTTCAACAAGAAAAGAAACGAAAGAAAGAACATTATACTAAGAAGCTTTCGATTTAATCGTTCTACAAGTGAACGATTTATCATTTTTCGAAATCAGTTGTCTATCGAGGAAATAGTGAAGTGCCCTCGGAAAACTTTACGAGTACCATTTTCAAGAATTCGATTTGATACTCTGCAAATAGTTGGAAAAAAATGTGAAAAAACTACTAAAAAAACATTATTTTTAATATTAAGATCTAAGAGAAGATCGTAGAGAATATCGTACTTGATGTTTTCGAAATCCTGCCACCATAGATCATGATCCATAATAGAATTTTATAGTATAGAAGATTCAATGGACTATTAGAATTGTTTCATCAATTTTATGTAAACTTTTAGTGAACTTAACAAATAAATAATTGTAGCAACTGAATTACTGTGCAACTGTTCAAATGATACTTGCAGCTACAAGAAAAAAAAAGCTTATCCGAGCTAATTCTACATTATTGAGTGAGATTTTTCGATTTAAAAAAATTGTTTAATAAAGATTCTTAAAACGCTTATGAGCAGCACGATCCAATGCTTCACGATGGTCCGGATGAGCTAATTCAATTAATGCTTTAGCTCGTTGTTGATAATTTTTACCAAACAAATTTGCCACACCATATTCAGTTACGACGTAATGAACATGAGCTCGAGTTGTTGTTACACCAGCACCTTCTTTTAACTAGATGTACGAAAAACATAGCCAAGAGAAAATTTGCAAAAAAAAAATGAATATCGAAACTTACTGTATTAACAATGCGTGAGATTCCTTTTGTTGTTTGTGATGGTAGAACAAGAATAGGTTTCCCTTCGTGACTCAATGCAGCACCACGCATAAAATCCATTTGTCCTCCAACACCTGAATAATGCATTTGACCTATTGAATCTGCACAAACTTGTCCAGTAAGATCGACTTCAATAGCAGCGTTAATCGCACACATTTTCGAATTTCGACGAATCTCCGTTGGATCATTTGTTATACCAACATCCAAGACAATAACATTTGGATTATCGTCCACAAAATTATAAAGTTTTTTCGTACCCAATATAAAGGTACATGTTGTTATTCCAGGATGAAATTTTTTGTAACGATTCGTTACAACACCTTTTTGAATTAAATTCATAACGCCGTCGGATATCATTTCTGATGCTATACTTAGATCTTTATGATTTTCAAGACATTTCAATACACAATCAGGAATGGTTCCAATACCCATTTGAACTAGAAATAGAAGTTCAATATAGTTTATTATATTTACGAGAATCAATTTTAGCTATTTTTAAATTATGCGACTAGAAATATTGAAAAATAAACCATGGTAAAATTATTTAAATACCTTAATGCTCTAGAGAAATGAAGATGAATTTTTTGCGCTTTAAACTATACGACGTACCACCCGATTATCGTTTTATTTAATTCTAACACGCCGTGAAAAGATCTGTTTTCTAATAGAATAATTATGAAATCATCTACTATTTCTTACTTACGTGTACTTCTATCATCAATCAATTCCGCTACACGCTTTCCAATTGTTCGTTCAACGTCCGAGATTTCTTTTGAATAATCTACTTCAATCAATGGTTCGTCATGTTCGACATAAGCATCGATTTGATTCATATGTACAAAGGTATCACCATGTACACGCGGCATATTACGATTGATTTGTGCAAAAACCTTTTTTGCATTTCTTAGAGCAGCTCTTGTTGCTTCGACTGAAACACCCAGTGAACAATAACCGTGTTTATCAGGTGGTGATACTTGAATGAAAGCAGCATCGAGTGGTAGAACATTGTCATCGAAAAGACGAGGCATTTCACTGAGTAATGCTGGGATATATGAAGCCGTACCATTAGCAACACATGGTCGAACAAAACCAGATACAAAGAGACTGTTGACAAAAAAGCTGTCTTTTAATTTCGGATCAGTAAATGTATTGTCAAGAGCGAGAATGCCCGTGACTTCGACACGTCGAAGTCTACTTGCATGTTGAGCGAGTAGACGATTGAGATGTTGTGGTGTACCAGCGCAACCTAAGTATAATAAAAAAATATATGAATAACGTTTTCTATTTGAAATTTGTAAAATTCTTGAGTATATAGAGCGCAAACAGTTGGGATACGCAGCATAAGAAATAGGAAAGACGAAGCAACAAGTTCTGTCTTGAAAGGTAAATGAATTGTATTGAACACGAAAACTTTCAAACTTAAGTTCTGTTGGCATAGATCATTCCGCAAATGATTACCTTTATAATTCGAGATGGAAAAATGTAATCGAGCAAATGCATTTACACATTCATTGTAAATATTAAAAAATTCTTACACCATATTTTTATTTTACGTACCATGAATAAATATACGTGAGCCAGATTTAATAAGCGATAAAGCTTGATCAATGTGCATTCGTGCCATATTGACAAGTATTTATAATATAAAAAAACTAGAAATCTATTTTATTTTACTTGGTTCGGTATTCGTTTGTGACATAAATGAATTAGAGAAATATTGTATTCTACTTGTATCTATTTCAGAAGGCCATCTCAATTTAACCGACTTTCATCATTTGGACGCCAGTAATTTGATATTAACAGGAACAATTTTCAAGTAAAGAATACAATCTCTCTATATGAAATCATAGACTTATCGGATGATTACTCTCTCTTTGAGGCATCACGGTTCTGTATTTCCACCATTAAGTATACGAGTTGCAGTCCATATTTTACTTGTTCTGTTCCGATATGATGTACAAACTGATCAGTAGTTGTCGGTATATGTCGATTTCATGGTATGGAGAAAGTTTCGAATACTTCGCTGCTCGATTATAATAAAGTAATCGTTGTGAACTGGGCGACAGCTTTTGTTAACGGGATCATTTTCCCAGACTCAATTTGTTATCCGCGTAGAGTTGTAACAGTACAAAGCACTACGTACTCAAACTATAAGCGGTTAAACATCACGAAAAACAAATAACGTGATTCGATGTCAACGACTATTTTATTTTCGGAATCAGAATTGATATCTGATTTCAGTGTCATATTGTTGACTTTTGATCTGCAACGTCAGTAGGAAAAGATTGAATTCAAAAATTTCGGACACAATTTTTTGAAAATCTTATCTCTCTAAGCTTTTAGCCGGAGTTTAAACGTGACAAAAATGTTATTTAATTGATTTCGTACCTTCGCTCGTACATTTTGAGTTGCGTTTTGCATGTGAAATCAATCGATTGAAATGAATTAAATTTTACATAACTAGTCTAATTAATGACTAGTACTTTATCAAGTTCATTTTATTTCAAGAGAAAAAAACAAACACATTTTCTTCGCCAACCATTATTTAAACAAACAAATCATTAGAATTCACTCATATTCTCGTTGACTGCGACCAGTTCTTCCTTTTTCAATGGAGATCCGATTGACGATTGTCGAATAACATATTCCCTCGATTCAGTTTGAGTCGTGTACTCATCAACTCGATTATGCCCGAAAATGTTTTTCTAAACTTCTTAATATGTAATCCGAGATTTTTATGCATGTTGCAAAACTAATCGCCATTAATAAGTCATTTAAATAAGAAAGAGAAGATGTCCTTGTCACGCACAGTGATTAGTATTAATAAGAGGCTAAAAGTATTAAAAAAAAAATTTGTACTGAAACAATCGGAATAATTCATTTGTAATCGATCACACTTTAAAATAGGGGTGGATCATTTTTTTAAACGGAACTGAATTAAAGATTTCCATTATCCATTAATATTAATGATTAATGAGAAACATTAACATTAATATTAAATTAATGTTAATGCCCCCCTCCGCCTACTATAAAAGCTATTTGAATTCTCATTCATAAAAGAAATATTTTTAAAGAAGAGTTCAATATGTGCGATTGACATTTAGTCTATACAGCTTTCAAAAATTTATAACGGTGACCATAGCTGTAAATTCAATTGTTTGATTTCGTATAGTGTCAGTTGACATGAACTTTCAGAGTATTGATTACTTAATTAATCGATCAGGTATGATTACTAAAAACTTGACAGTTATTGTGAAATTAATCTTTCATGGTTTTATATGTCATATAAGTGTCGAAGACATCGAAAAATTATATCATCTATTGTCAGCGTCAAAATATCATATGGTTTGATAATAAGACAAATATTTGAGCAAAGTGTAACGTCTAGTCTATTGTATTTCTCATTAATCATAAAGAAGCCATTGGAATATCGTTTTTCTTCGTCTGAGAAGATACAGGAGAATATTCGCAAAAATCAGACGAAAATTTACTTTACTATCAATATTAATGCGAATTTATTACTCTGCGATGAATATGCCTCAAAATATCATCAATCTATTTGCGTTTTGAAAAATGAATGTTTCATTAGAAAAATCAGTGTCATTTCTTAATTCTAGTGTATATTATACAGTGAGCACTGCAATAATGACTAGTATTGATAAAAACACTTTTAACTCTACGAATGACCAAATGCAAGAGCGAGGTGATTTTTTAGTCAGTGCAATACATATGTACTCGAAAATTTTTAATAAAATTCACTATTTCTAGTCTTATTTTTAGTAGATCACAACGCTGACATTTAGTGTTTTTCCGATTTGAAGAAAATTTTAATACAGATTTTTAAAACGCTTATGAGCAGCACGATCCAATGCTTCACGATGATCCGGATGAGCTAATTCAATTAATGCTTTAGCTCGTTGTTGATAATTTTTACCAAACAAATTTGTTGCACCATATTCAGTTACTATATAATGAACATGAGCTCGACTTGTTGTTACACCAGCACCTTCTTTTAACTAGATGTACGAAAAACATAGCAAAGAGTAAATTTGCAAAACAAAATGAATATCGAAACTTACTGTATTAACAATGCGTGAAACTCCATTTGTTGTTTGTGATGGTAGAACAAGAATAGGTTTCCCTTCGTGACTCAATGCAGCACCACGCATAAAATCCATTTGTCCTCCAACACCTGAATAATGCATTTGACCCATTGAATCTGCACAAACTTGTCCAGTAAGATCGACTTCAATAGCGGCATTAATGGCACACATTTTTCGATTTTGACGAATCTGTGTTGGATCATTAGTTATTCCAACGTCAAAAGCAAATATATTTGGATTATCATTAACATAATCGTAGAGTTTTCTCGTACCCAATATAAACGTACATGTTGTTATTCCAGGATGAAATTTTTTATAACGATTCGTTACAACACCTTTTTGAATTAAATTCATAACGCCGTCGGATATCATTTCTGATGCTATACTTAGATCTTTATGATTTTCAAGACATTTCAATACACAATCAGGAATGGTTCCAATACCCATTTGAACTAGAAATANTATCATTAACATAATCGTAGAGTTTTCTCGTACCCAATATAAACGTACATGTTGTTATTCCAGGATGAAATTTTTTATAACGATTCGTTACAACACCTTTTTGAATTAAATTCATAACGCCGTCGGATATCATTTCTGATGCTATACTTAGATCTTTATGATTTTCAAGACATTTCAATACACAATCAGGAATGGTTCCAATACCCATTTGAACTAGAAATAACAATTTCTCATGCGCGTTTCAATAGTTACTGGAGTAAAAGATAGAAAAAAAACTTCCTACTGATTCATTTTTTTTTCGATTGTTCGTTCAATTATGTATTTCGAATCTTTCTTTCCTTATAAGAAATCTATATGTTCTACATATCAGAAAAATGTAAGTATAAACCAAATATCGTAAGCATCGAGGATGAAAATCGCTACTATAATTCTTTCATTACTTACGTGTGCTTCTATCATCAATCAATTCGGCTACATGTTTTCCAATTGCTTTTTCAACGTCCGAGATTTCTTTTGAATAATCTACTTCAATCAATGGTTCGTCATGTTCGACATACGCATCGATTTGATTCATATGTACAAAGGTATCGCCATGTACACGCGGCATATTACGATTGATTTGTGCAAAAACCTTTTTTGCATTTCTTAGAGCAGCTCTTGTTACTTCAATTGAAATACCAAGTGAACAATAGCCATGCATGTCAGGTGGTGACACTTGAATGAAAGCAGCATCGAGTGGTAGAATATTTTCATCGAAAAGACGAGGCATTTCGCTGAGTAATGCTGGGATATATGAAGCCGTTCCATTAGCAATGCATGGTCGTACAAAACCAGATGCGAAAAGAGTATTGACAAAAAAGCTGCTTTCTAATTTCGGATCAGTAAATGTATTGTCAAGAGCGAGAACGCCCATGATTTCGACACGTCGAAGTTCATTGGCACGTTCTGCCAATAGACGATTGAGATGTTGTGGTGTGCCACCGCAACCTGATAGCAATAAAAAATTAAATCATAGCAAGAAATGGTCAGTCACTTGCTAAAGAGGGTCTCTAGATACTAATTTTAATTGTAAACTCTTTAATTAAGTTCACTCATATTTTCAAAATTGGTTATTACATTATAGTTTTAACTTGTATGATGAAAAGCACACAGCAATTCGTATGTTTCGTTCTCGTTTCATTTGAGAAACACGAGTAAATGCATTGGAATCTGCACAGAAAAGTTTTCAGCAGTGTTGCTCTACTTACCATGAATAAAGATTCTTGACCCCGATTTAATGGATGATAAGCCTTTATCAATCAGGGCTCTTGTCATATTTGTGAAGGGTTATTGCCTTCAATAAAAAATAGTCTTGCTTTTTTTCTTTTGTCATTATTAAGGCGTAAAAGCAAAACTTACCGAGCTATGTTGGTTTATTGATGGGCAGAAGTATGAAAATTGTTTTGTAGATACGAAGCATGCAAAACAAAACACGTGTATCGAAATTCATGAAAAAGATTAGATGATGACTGGTCTGCTTTTTCTTTACATTACTATTTTCTCGAATGCATCGTGCACACCTTATTCTCATGTTGATGAGAAACGACGATATCTCTGTCGTTTGGTTTCAAGGAGAAAAGTCAGTTGCAACAAGTAAATTTTGATGACAATCAATCCCGTTTTCTTCTTTAATGATAATCAAAGTCAGACAAAATGAACTTTTACTATTTTATTGCTTTCAAACATTCTAATTTTCATTTTGACGAATAGAAGAAATGAAAACTTGTTAAAACCAAATGTAAAACATAACCAAGTTAGAAGATGGAAATTTTGTTTGCTTACAACTGTTAATGTTTTTGGTTTTTGCGGTTTTAGCAATATACTTCGATTTCAATAAACTCAGAACTTATCATGAAGTAATGAAAAGTCAAATTTTGAGTTTCCGGAACTTTTTTTTCTTTCCATGAATATGTATGAATTTGTAAAAAAGATTTAACCGCAGCAGTCTTTTAGCCAGAGAAGCAAAATTTCGAGATCTAATCAAGTTTTTGTAGGATCAGAAGTATGATCTACGATGATTCTTCAATAAGGTTTACTCCACAAAATGAGACATCGCCGATCAGTCGCTGAGGTATAGAAATCTAATTGAAGATAATAAAAATACTTCTGGCTTTTGTGTAAAATTATTGCAAAGTGGTCAAAGAATACTAAATTCACTATTCGAATTTTGATCAACATTACGAGTGATAAAAATAAATCATGTTAAACAAATTCTATCGGCTAAGTTTCTTGCCGAAAGTCATCTACTCTTTGATTTATCTCTTTTTTTTTGTTTTGAAAAAATAACGTCATCACAGTGTCTACTTTTTTTTTATCAAAAACAAAGAAACTCAATAGATACATTTGTGGACATGAGTATAAAAACTATCAGCAACATTTTAGTGTTCTTGTCCATGATAGGATGATGGTGAGATTCCATAGTGCGTTGATAACAACGTATTACTCGGATCAGTGACTGCAGAAAAAAATGAATTCGGATACATCGATGCATAAATTGGTATTGGCGGTGATCGATATGCTGATGTTCTTGCTAAATCATCATACAAGTCTATCAACAACAAGAAAACATTAATATTAAAATAAAACCTATTATGGCATACTTGTCTGAAATTCGTACGCTGCTCGACTTGGATCAATTGTAGGATAAGGATTAGTAGGCAAATAATCATTACAAACTGTTCCCATCATTGCTAAGAAAATAAGATACATTTGTTCTTGTACACTTTTTATTCCGAAATCTTAATGATGCGTATCGTATTCTGACATGTAAACTAACTATTTTTATAATTTCAATTGATTCTAAAATAAATCAATTCTACTTACCAGCACGATTCGACTGATCAATCATTGGCTGTACGATTCGCCTTCGCGCATTAATAAACCTATTAATTAACAAACAAGCAAAAAAGGCTGAGAGTAAAAGTCAGTTATCAAGTAATAAGAAAAGCAGCTGCATCTTTCCGTCAAACAGACGTCTAATCGATGATTGAAACCTGTCAACACTATGTTTACAACAATAGACTACGGAAAATAGATGATTGATGAGTTAGAGTATTATCTTCTAATGTTCGTCCGCGTGTATCTCCTTGAAAGAACAAGTTTAATGATCAATGGTTGCATGATCGAAATAAGGAAGAAGAAAAAATTCCCGGAGCGCTAACTGTTTTCGCACAGTTCATCTTTCGAACAATTGATCAGATGAAATCTGATGTGTGTGTGTCAATCGATTGACTCAATCGATGATGACACGTCGAGAAAACAGAATCACCATTGAAATGTTCTCAAATATAACTGTGAAAATCGACGAGTGACTAAATAAATTTTAATGAAAAACTTCAAATGTTGGAAAATATTTCAGCGAAATTACTTTTCTCCCGTCTGCATACAGCCTATCGAATCATATATTTTTAGATCTGAACTCGGCCGAGACCAATTCTTATGTAGACTATATTTTGCTACGCTGAACATTTATTCAACTGATTACATCGAATTTTCCAATTGGAGCTAATGATGCTATGCTCTCCATACATGTGTCACACAAAAGTGATTCCCTATGAAATCACTTATTTACAGGAACGAAATCGATTCGACTTTGTTAACTCATTTCAAATACGAAATTCAATCATAACGGTTTGTAAAATAAACAATGAATATAATAAGCTATTTAAATTTTAAAAAAAGCTTTCATATGGCTTCTTTTGATGAATCGATGACAATTTAATTGTAGGTTTAATTTTCTATCTCCCATTATGACACGTTTAAAAACGGATGTGCATAGGCGAAATGAAATCGAAAAAAAAGAATGGTGTGTGACAGTTGCTTTTTGTCACGCGATGAACATACCAATTATTAACTTGCAATATATTAAGGTTCGTTTCTCTAGCAAATATTTTCTTTTGCTCTTCTGATGGATATGGATGCTGCAATAATAATAATAATAATAAATTAATTAAAATCAACAAATAATAAATAAGTCAATTGAAGAATTTACACTTAAATGTTGAAATAACCAAGCGCGCATTAATGATGTTGCCGATTTCGGAAAAATTCCTCGTTTCTTTTGACGACGTTGCGGTATATCATCGTTTTCTTCACAAGGATCGCTCTCGAAATTTTCACTCATGTCATCTGTTACTGACATTTGAGGTGAAACATATTGGGTTTTAACCGGTAATACACATATGGTTTTAATATCATCGTTACTGATTATACTTTCTTCTTCCTCGTCTTCTTCTGCTTCATATTTCGTATTATCCATAACCATATCCCTTAATTAAATTAAATTAATTTTGTTTTTCACTAGAAAGGATTTTCTTACATTGGCATTTTGCCTTTTAATAGGTTAATATATTTCTGACAAAAATTATCGCACAATTCGTGAACTTTTTCGATTTCGAGTAAATGAAATCGAAGGATTTGTACTGCTTGTATCATCTAAAAACACAGGTAATCTTCGATATATTTCCGATAATCCGAAGACAAGAAAGCTGTGTTGGTCGGTCGCTCGTATGTTTCACTTACTAAATTATCCATTTCCGGGTTTGATCTGTAGCATTGTAATTGTTCTTTATTTAGCTATTGAACAAAAAAAAAACAGCGATGCCAATGATCGTTTTAATTGAATTAAGAAATACCTGTTTGGTAAACTCAACAATATCTTCGTTAATTGTTCCAAGTAAACTAGCAGAATTTGTTGCTAATTCACATTTATCAAATAGAATTGCTAATAATGGGAACAACGGATGACTAAATAGAAGAATGTAGTTTTTAAAAATAAAAATCTATTTTCTTTTGATTTACCTGTAGATAAGATCTTTATTCGTATGCATCAAATAACAATTTAACTAAGAAAAAAAAATTATTGATGTAAAATGAAAGAATAGGTCCTTACAGAATTGATGTCCATTATTAGTCTGTTAAATTTACTAGTTGTGAATGTATGTTTCGATGGCAATTATACTCATAAAACGTTTGATAGAAGAGAATTAGTATCTCGCGTTTTTTCCCTTCTATGGTTGTTCTGTCAATCAAGAGAAAATAAACGAATGACGAAGAGATATTGGCTATTCGTCATGGTGATACTCGTCAATGATTGGGAGATAGATTCTTTCTCTTTTATATATATATATATATAATTTGTGCGTATCTGTATATTGTAAAGCATTTCTTTTCTCTTCCTGCTGTGTATCGTCTCGTTGAGATACACTTCTCTAATGATGAGAAAAGACATATGTGTATCTTGCTGAGTAAATTCAATTAATCGAATGATGTGAAGTTGAACAATTCAAATGTTGATTTATTTTGTTTCGACTATTTTTGATTCAATCAAAAAAACAATTCAAATATTTGAGACAGATATTCATTTTATTTTTCAAAATGTGTTCACAAATCATCTTTTTTTTAAATATCGCAAATCAGAATGATATTTACATTTAGTTAGGGGTTGTGGTAGTTTTAAAATTGATGTCCACGACATGAGTCTGACTTCGTAAAGTTTCTTGGACTTGAAAGAGATACGAGTCCAATAGATAATTTTTTTTATTGCGCCGTTATGCACATGTAATCTTTGGAAATAATCTCCAAAACTAGTCATGAATGCATGTAGGGCTATTTTATAGTCACAGCACACTTGATCGATTTTCAGTTTTGTCAAAAATTCTTTTAAAAGCAGAACGGCTATAGACAAATCGCCAGGAAAGTTTCAACTTTTTGCAGATAGTCGAGTGGTTTGATAATTCTGCTGTACCAGAGACTGAAACGAATAGGTCTCCTTTGTTCACGTATGACGGTGTCGTCTATCACACCCTTAATAATGTCCACATTTTTGTAGATAACAGAATAATTAAGGCAAAATTCGCGAACAAGTTGTAATTTCAATTTTGGAATTTTCTCAGCTAGAGATTTTTTAAATCCAAAATGCTTCATAAATAACATGATAATTTACCGTCCCAGTACTCATACTATACAATAAATATGAATTTTTTTAATCTATAGAAAATTTTAAGATCAAGGCATCAACTTTAATGATATTTTAGATGCATCTAATATCATAATATAGTGATAGCATCGCCTAAATATTTATTCTCTAGTAATGATACAACTACTATATTTATTGAAGTTCCTAGTCCTGCCAGATGATTCTTTCCATGGGTATTGAAATTTCTTACTTGGGCAGTTTTTTAGTGATTACGAATAGTAGTTAAATTGTTTTGGCCGAGTCACTGAAAGGCACCGACTATTTTTTAGAATCTTCCATCAGTTTTAATTTTCACAAAACGAACGGCTTGATATCACGACGTATAATTTTGAATCTGATAACCAGATCAAGGCTTGTAAGAGCACGGACTACTGAATGAGATTTTGCTTAAAAAACTTATCAGTAACAGTATGACTATAAATCCTTACTTCATAAATATATCTACTGGCAACGATCCATTCTCATTCCATACACTAAGGTATCCCAAACTGAAACTCCACGTCCAATTCTCAGATATTTGACGAAATTATAGTTGAAGGTGAAACGACACATGGCAATCGTTCATAGAAAATTGAAGATGAACCAAAATTCAGATATTTAAAATTGACGAATGTAGTTTGTCATATTTTGTAATGTCAAAAACAAACATTAGGGTTTGAGTTTTGAAGGTAGGAGCTGAAAACATCTGACTTGTCCATCTCTGTTCTACATGAAACGCTGATAAACATGATACTTATTCAATTTTATTTTGATTGCTACATCAAAGTATCTGCTCCATTTTTTAAATAACTCGGTGATAGACATGCCTATTTTTCGTCTTTTAAAAACATTGCATACCACTATCAGTGTGTTTTATCTCAATTATGAATTGTCAAACTTTGCTTTTGTAGTACAATTTCTGCTTCTAAGAACAAATGTTCAAAATAAAAAGAAACCGAAATTTAAAGGTATGAGTAGTTCCATTAAAGATATAGCTCACAGAACTCACAATCATTTTCTCTATTGTATCTAGTCGCATCATTAGCATCGGAAATGTATGTTGCGTATCCTAAATATCGGAAATTTTATTCAATGGAACGGAATTCACTCGCTGCTACCTTCTTGCAATAAACCATGAAAGATTATCGTGGGAACAAATGACTTTGAAAGAAAAAATTGTTATTGATAGTATATGGTTCATTACTATTCTTTTTGTGTACTCAAAAAAAAAAGAGTACACTATAGAATCGGTCAGTGTGTCCGGCCGTTTATTCGATAACTCTTCACAATTACATTCGATTGAGCTGAAATTTTGTGCACAGAATTGTCTCATCAATATCTAGGTCGATTTCGAAGATGAGAAGGATCCGTCAAAAAATGGCTGAGTTATCAAAAAATTGTCATTTTTGATCAGACCATCCCTGAGGAGGGATACAGGGATTTTTCAAGAAAAACTTTTTTTCTCAGAATTATCCATAACATATGTAAATCGACTCAGATTTTAACGCTAATTCCGAATCTGATATTAGTTTCGAACTAAATCGTAGCTTTCTAACGAAACATCGCCTGAAAAACGTTTCAAAATGCACAAAAACTGCATCCAGAAATCAAATTGCCTAGTTTCTCATGATAATTTTGGTGTTCAGACATTCTAGAATGACTCATATGTCCCATGCACTTTTTGCAGTACACATAACTCTCGGATGAAATCCGAAGTTTCCACATTTATTTATTTACAGAATTTAAATGAATAAATCACTTCGTCTGTTTTGTAAAGATTTATTTTTGTTTGCAATTTTTTTTCTTGGTAAATTCTCTATTTCTATTTTTTCGCGCATTTCAATCGTCATTGAAATTTTCATATCAACTGTGATATATTCAAACCTAACCAACAGAGTGAATCGCAAGGACATTGCCTCAGGTTCATGAGAGAGACAAGACATTTGTTTTAAATAAATTAAAATCATATCCGATATTATTGAATTCTTCTTAGTACAGTGGGTCAATATGACTATGGTGAATTATAATAATCCTTTCAATTGTTACATTCTCTTTCGTTCTGCTTGACCACGAAAAAAGTCAGTTCACATGTTCCTTTCTTTCGCTTAGTGATCACAAACACAAACTATCTGTGTTCGAACTCTTGAGTACATTAGCTATTCATAGTCATAAGAAAGTATTCTTTTGCTTCAACCTATAAGACGACCGAACGCAAAATATCTCGTTTTCGTTCTCCCTATCATCTCGTAGATGACATGTCGGATTGAAATTTAAAAGGTTAAAGATTGTCATATGCAAGAATTTTTGAATTTACAAGTGTTTGAAAGCAGAGAAAATAAGGCCATGTAGTTTTAATGGTTAAATTAAACTTAAATATTTAAAATATAACTTTTCCCAATTGTGTGAGTTCGTCATTCTTTGAGACAAGAAGTAAGTATACATAAGAAACCATTTTGTCATCTGCTATTTTTGATAGCAGTCATCTGTATGCAAAATTCTTTTCTGTTCGATCGAGATATTCTCTCAGATGACAACGTGTACTATCGAACATTTCATCATCTTTTTTTCCTGTTCTACGCAGTGCATTTCGTCACACTTCGTTGCTTTCTTGGTATAGCATTTCATCATTCTTCATATCGTTGATATATAAAAGGAATGTGCGAACACCCTTTTCTTCTCCTTGAGCCTACTAGTCGTATTTTATGACGGCGTGTTCGCCATCTCACATCACATACGGTTTAGTTTTGTTATATTCGTTCTCTCTTGTTTTTCACCCTCAAATATAAAAGACATCATATCTTTTGTGGATCGTTTTTATTGTAAAATGCTTTGCTGAAATTAGTGAAATAATGTTGTTTTGGTTTTAGTTCACAGAGTGAACTCTGAAGTTTAGATTTGAATATTGTTGTAGATTCAGTTGGATTAATGTTTTTTTTAATATTTCTTCTTTTACTTGTGCAGAAGAAAATTTAAACGTATTTTTCAATCGTAAATAATTATTGTAAAATTTTGTTTCTGCTTTGCTCGACGTAGAATTTATTGAGCTATTTTCTAATCATACGCAATTTTTGAAAATCGCTAACTTTCATAGTTAGTTATGCGTAGAAAAGATATTATTTTAATTTTAAAATTATGGTATTTTGTTTATTTTCGCGTAGTAACTTGGTAAAAGCAAAGAAATCGAATATGTGAGAATGTATTAATCTTTTTAAAACATTTATGATGTTGTTTTTCTTTTCTCAGATATGGTGTACTCATTGACGTTCTCTTTCTTCTACGCCCCTGCTGGTACTATTCTTAGAATAGAGAATAATCGTGGGCGCATATTTTCTCTGATAAAATAAGAGAAAAGACTCGAGTGGAAAAGAGGTCAGCACTTTTCGCTACAAGGGTGTACATATTGTTCACAATAGGATAATTCCTCATTCGAAAGCATAGTTATTATTTTGTTATATAAAAATGTGTGGCTGATGTTGCAATTTTAGACGATAATAAACGAAAACAAATATGGAACAAATCAATAATAAAATCGTACCTGATGGTGGATGGGGATGGATGATTGTCTTAGCATCATTCTCGATTCATTTCATTATGGACGGGTAAGTGATGTTTTTCTCATCGTTTTTCTAACTTTATATATTAAAAAATATATAGAATAACGTATTCGATGGGTCTAGTATACTTGGAGCCCATGCGAAGTCAGCTTTTACTCGGCCGAGCTTCGGTATCAACTATTTTCGGTATTTTGCCAGCTGTTACTCTTGGCGCAGGTGAACTATTATTATTTTAGATTGAACATCGCTTTTTCATAGCTATGCTTTTATTTTGTTTTAGGACCGATCGCAACCGTTCTTACTAATATGTATGGATGCCGTGCAGTAGCTATAGGAGGTAGTTGCTTAGCTTCGTTCGGTTTTCTTCTCAGTCGACTATGGGCCAATGTATGGTTTTACTATATTACGATTGGTGTCATGGGAGGTACGTGTTCTTTTGTAGATAGAATCGATATTTGATCAAGTTGAAGATTAAATTCTAAATGAATTTATTCATTGAGACACACAAACCTGATTCAAATGGTGATACAAGAAAGTACGATGGCGAGGATTTTGTCTTTCTATATAGATTTTCTTATCATAAAATAATAGTTGCTTCAAGTACTTTGTAATGCTTTGCCTATACGAATCAGGCGATTTTCACATCCTGTCAGTTCCGAAAAAAAATTTATTCTCAAAATTGAAAGTCTGTCATGTAATGAAACAATGAAAAGTGTATAATAGACATGTGCGCTTTCACTAATTGGTTTTCGATTTTTGTTTAAAAAGTTCAATAATCGTATAATAAATGCTGTAGTCAATTTCTCATGCTAGTGATATCAGTAATTGTATCAGGTCTCAATGCATGAATGTGAAAGAAAATAAATTCGCTTAAATTTTATCTGTTGACTGAAGATATAAGTTAATCATTTTTGTTTTGGTTTTCAGGTCTTGGCTTTGCATTAATGTATTTACCAGCCATTGTCTCTGTTGGATTGTATTTTGAAAAAAAGCGTACATTTGCTATGGGCATTGCTGTATGTGGTTCTGGTGTAGCTACATCTGTATTTTCGCATATCATGGATGGAATCGTCAATATACATCATTGGCTTAGCTATAGAAATGCATTGGTTCTCGAAGCCGGCTTGATTTTGCTGAGCATTCTAGCTGGTTTATTGATGGTAATTATTTTTTCTTTCGTTGCAAAACGTAACTACCAAAAGTGACAAAAATCATATGTGTAACGGATATCAATCTGAAATTTTCATACGATTAGACATAGTTTCATAGATAAAAAAAAATCTTTCAGATTGATAATAGTGAAATTCTTTATTTAGCGCCCGCTGCCACAAGAACCGAGCGAACAACGACGAGCGGAGCGAAAATTACGTAAAGAAGCAAAACAAAAACAACTCCAATCAATTTCATTTTCGCAGAATAAAGCAGAATCACCGAAAAATAATGCTGTTGAAGGTAAACTTGTTCATAGAATTTATTGATCTACATTTATTGATATTGTTCTCATGGGATATAGTCGAACCGATGTTCGTAGTTGCAACTATTGAAAAATCCCCGAGCAAATCTTTCTTGTATCAAATAGCCGAACAAATCGATCTCAACCTACTCAAAAATGCTGCATTTGCATTATTTACTCTATCGAATTTCTTGGCAAGTCTCGGTTTCAATGTCGTGTACAACTTTGCTGAGGATCTTGCCAATGACGCAAACGTTATCAAGGACCAACGATCCCATATTCTTGTGGTATTGGGTGTGTCGAACATTCTCGGTCGTTTTGCCTTTGGTTTCTTAGGTGATCGAAAGTCGGTAAGAAAATTGTTGCCATTTGAAAATCTATATGCAACAAAATTATTTTCGTTTCATAGATAAATCGACTTTTATTATTCATTATAACATTGACTGTTTCTGGTTTGGCTATAATCGCAGCTCCATTCTGTGGCTCTTCTGTTCTTCATCATATCGGTTATGCATCCTGTTTTGGTTTCTTTTCGGGTGGTTACGTTACTTTAACAGCAGTCGTTCTTGTCGATATAGTCGGCATTGATAAGCTATCGGATGGATTCGGTGTTCTTTTGCTTTTTGTCGGTATTGCAACCGCTATTGGAACACCAATTGTTGGTAAGTGTTTATAATTATTAATTTTCGGTCACTTGTATGTATTTATTTTAAAATGAAATATTACTAGGGGCTATGAGAGAAGCATTCGCTCACTTTACTCGACCTTTTTTCTGGCCTTATTTTATTTTTGGTGGTTTGACTGTGCTCAGTGGTATCATACTATTTGCCGTACCTTGTCTACAACCAAAAAAGCAAAGTGACAATAAAGTGGAGATCGTTTGTGATGATCTCTATCCGGGAAAAGATTTATCGTCTAAGGATGAAAAACAACAAAACGTTTAACTATTTGTGTGTACTTGTTGCTTACAATCATAAAGTGACGCCATCAATATTGGTGAATAAAAAAATATAAATATAAATTTATAACTAGATTAATTGTTCAATTAGTTGTTTTTCCAAAGTTGTTTATACAGCGAATCCTCAACGATACAATTTTCTTTTACAATCATTGGCAATTGAACAAGCTTATTAGTAGTCTTACACTGTCTAATAAGTAGCGCTCAATGCTTTGTAAACTTATCTTGTTTTTTTATTGTTAGTTATTAATGAAATAAATATTGAGTAGTTAGTGAAAATTCGGTTTAATTATTTAGCCACATATGTCTTGATGGTTTAGATAAACAGAAAAATATCCTATTCTTTTAGTATTTCAGAATTTTTTGAAGACTAATAAAATCTCAAGAAAATAGTCTTTCTTCAAACTTATATGAACTGCTATATAACGATCAAAGTCATGAATGTGTTCACTTTATTGTTTACTTTTGACTACACGTACATGTATATCACGATCTTGATCACACATAGTAAAATTTTCTTGGTATTGAAAGAAGTAGGGCGAAACATCTGCGCATATTTGAATCGTATTGGCTGATTTGCACGACAAACGTATTCAACAAGATGTGTTTTTCTCAAACATCAAAGACTAAAATTAATGTATGATATGAACATTATTTGATAAAATTGATGTTCATTTCTTGTTTTAATATTAGATAATATTTAAGAAGAACTACGAGTGATTGTCTTCTTTTCGTTTGAATAGAAAAAGTATTTTACTCATTTTTATTTGATGCTGCTCATAAGACAAGGATGTAGGTGTAATACATTCGGTGTTGCCGCAATGACTAGTGTTTTGTCTTTTCTAGTTCGGTACAATCGATTAGTCTCTGTTTAGCAAAAGAATTGCAAGGGCCACTGCATCTGACCACAATTTTGTTAGTGAGTGCGCGTGCATTTAGTGAATTTCGATCTTTCAATACACAAGCCAAGCGGTTCTCGGCGTCAACGATACTTGTGAGACGTACATTTCTTGTATAAAGAACTAAATATCCCTACTATCGTGTCGAGAATAACCATAAAAAAAGAAAACTAGTTTCTCGTAGAATCTTGATATTCATCCAAAATAAACACATTTTCTTGAAAGAAGTTTTGCTACTTTCTCATTTATCAAATTATGATCATCACTTTTCTACAAAAGAAATAATGCTGCATCATGTTGTTTACGATGCAGTTTCGGTGCGTCTGGAAGTCTTCGCAAAGGAACGGGTTATTTTTTGAGTGATGTTGATTGTAAAAATCGAAGAGATCGACTTTTCGAATGCATGGAATAAATTGCGATTCATAAAATAAAATACCTATGCAAAAGAACGACTTCAGATCAAGAGCTGACAAATAACGAAACCAAACTCTCGAATCTGTTGACAACAACAGAATAGTATGCAAATGTAACTGATACACTCACTTTTTATTTAAATCATTCTTTCTTATATTGAGTCTGCATGATTTGTAAGATGATCTTACCAACTAAATATTCGTTGTATGCACAACTAAGCATCTACCAAGGATCATTTTTAAATATACTAGACAAAACTGCGCGGTGAGAATATCTTAAAAGAGGCTGTGCGGAACACGCATACACATTTGATAGATCCTATCTGCGAGAAAGCTCTTCGTATGGACTTTGGATACTCGCCGGGGAATGCATTCAATTGAACCGCTGAAACTGAAATTTTCTCAGTGGAAACATTTTGTTCCTATTGATGTGGGCTAATTTTTACTGTGAATTCAATTGTAGCTCAAATATTTCTATTTTAAGTCGGGTAGGAATTTTTGAATGGTCTTTTATTCTACTCTTCAATTTCAGTGTTGAACGCATTATTTTCAGGTTTCCATCGTTCCAGTAGAAAATTTAGCTAAAACTGTATTTCTAGTAACATTTTGAGATAAATCAGATGAGCTAGCCTGAAGATAGATAAATTTTTATCTTTCAGGCAATAGTAAAATCACACTACGGCATTTGCTATGATGCTACTTATGTTCTTACTTGAGTGCAGCCAAAATAATAATTCGTTGTGAGAATAAAAACTATGTTCGTTTCATGCTGGCATAACATCCCCTCTTCAGAGCGTTCGTATGAGTGCTTTTGTGGAGCATGTCAGACGGTGTATAGGATATTTGGATTATGATGACATTCTTTTTAGCACTTGTATTTTGTATGATTAAATGTAGGTCAATAAGCTCTACAAAAAATATTTAAAAGATCATAATAATTTTATTAATCTGGTTGTAATCAGCTTCACAATCGAAAAATGCCTTTTTACTTTCTGTTGTATTTATTATCTATGTGCTTCGTTCATGACGAAACTTTATAAGCCATTTCAAGTTTCTTAGAATATATTAACGACTATATAGAATGAAATTTGGATTATCTGCATTTGATAAGTTGCGCTGGATAAAATGAAAAAAAATACGAGGTTCGATAGAGAATTCACAGTAATACATAATTTCTACCAAAAGGGAAAAAAGTTGACACTGATAAAGTTTTTATTTTTAACATAACACTGAGTAATTTTCAATTTCAGCGGTCAAATTGAATGCTCTGTTCCGTGTGATACTCAAAATTCATAACAGAAAGTTTGCAGCGTCCGAGATGTTTAGTAGTATTAAACCTTGTCGCTTAAATATTTTCTTGGCAATAGGAATGCACTCGGTTGTCAACGCTTCACAAGGTGATAGTATAGCTCTTCCAATGGTTGAGCTCGTCGGACAAATAGGCGAACTTGAAGAGCAAATAGAGGAAACGACCCACCATAATTTTGTTGCTGTGCTCAAAGAGGTAAGCGAGTATCTACTTATATTATTCTTGGTAGAATACTCAACATGTATCTGCCAATGTTTAGATCGCATGCAACCCAATTCCACATGTCTCTCCTCAAATACGCAATATATTCAAGGATCTTCAGAAAAATACCTACAACAGGAAAGAGTTTATAGACAGACTGAGAGAAAGCGGAGTGGCTAGTGACTATTGTAGAGAAGATCTCGACGAAATCATTCAAAAACTGGAAGCATCTCGTGGTTATACTGAAAAAGAGATAAAGCATCTCATTAACTTTATTAGAAAACATCATTCCTACAACAAATCACAAATCACAAAAATGTTACAGACACTCAACGTGCCGGATGAGTATACGATACTACACTATGGTGCTCTTTTCAACAACGTTCCTTTCTGCAGATGTCTCATCAATGATTTCGGTTGCAGTAAGAATATTTCACTTTGTTTCATTTGGTGAAAAACTTCTTATTTAATCCTCAAGTATATCGTAGAACAACTGTATTCATATTCGGATCTACCTTATATAGAAATCTGCAAAGCGCTTTTCTAGGCCGGATTTTCGTTCTTGTCTCGAAGATGTGTAGATTTTCAGCCCTCGCCCCGATCTTGGTCTCATGATTTCGAAATAAAGAACACTTTTGAAAACAAAATTCGATTTTCCTACGCTGTTTCGCTATTTTTTGTGATCAAACTGTTTACAGTTGACCCCGACCTCGCACACTCTCTAGTCTCATATGATAGTACTGTAACTGTAAGCATCTCTCCGACAGCTTTTTACTTCATGCCATTTCCTCAAGATGTCAATTTGATCAGTTGGAATGGCGAAACATCACTTCATATCGCTGCTCGCTTGGTTAATATCAAGTATCCTGATCATCCTGTAAGTGACGATAACTAAAGTATCTTTTTTACACTTATGGTTAGAAATGAGTGTTATTCTTTTTCGACTAGTCCTCAATTTTGGAATATTTGTTAAATCAGCCGACAATCCAGATAAACATTCAAGATACTCAAGGGCGAACACCGTTGCATTTTGCTGTCATCTACAAATGCATAGGGAATGCCAAGTACCTGATCGAATATGGTGCAAACCTTGATGTAAGTTTTTTTGTTGAGCTTACTTTATGTTTCGTATTGCCGACAAGCAATTCTATTCTAAATAATACTACCTAACTGTATCTTGAGCATGTTGAACGCTTTTCAGATTCCCGATGTTTATGGCAACATTCCACTCCATTATGCTTGCCGGTTTCTTCAAAATGACAATATGATAGGTTTGTTCTTGAGTTTTCCACATTTGTTCAACCATGAAACATACGACAAGAAGAAACCTATTGACATCGCTATTGAGTACAATGGTCCCGACGTTATCAAACATTTTTTTGACCTTGGACACATCCGATATGTTGAAAATACGAAAGATATAGTTACTCTAGATGAAGTCTCTACTTATAGCCCTGAATATGAAGTATTATCCTTTCTGAAACTACAATATGAAGAAGTAATCAATGGTGATCATAGTTTACTTTCTTGTGCTTGCCGCCAATTACATGGCCATAAAATGATTTCTCATCTGATCAATCCAAATAGTATCATGTATAGAGACAAGAAGACTGGTTTGAGTCCATTGATGGTTGCTGTTCAACATCGCCAACTTCAATGCATCAAAGAGCTTCTTAACAATAAATATTTTACACAAGAAGCATTTGAATTAGTTAGTAATATCTCGTTTCGCACAGTATTACATATTTGTACAAAAGTTCACAACAAAGAAATCACCAAATCACTAATTGATTCTCGTTTCATGTCCACTACATTAGCAGTTGCCACCGATGTAGTGGGTGATACACCTCTACATACATGTGCTCAGGTTGGCAATGTGTACATGACACAGTTATTGCTAGACTATATAACCAATCACAATTCGCCAGTGACGACTTGTTCTGATTCACGAAACCTTTTAACAATGATCAAACGTGATACTGATAGACGAATGCCACCAGAAGCATCAACTGTCAGGTGTATTAACGCTACTTCTCGTTATGGATCAACAAGTAGACAAGCTCACGCAATATTGACAAAAAAGAATAAATCCAAACTAACACCTCTACACGTGGCTATTCAAGCGGGAAATTTCGATATCATAAATGAAATGCTCAAATATGCTGATTCTTCGGTGGTTAATGTGTTTGATGACCAACAACGCACAAGTTTGCATATGGCTGCTGCAAAAGGTAAGAAAATATTTCAACTTCGTTGTTGTCTTGAATGAAAAGTGTGTTATCCAATCTCTATCCACTCAGATAGGGAAGTGGGGCACTTGCATCTGGCATGATCTTTCAGCGATATATTCCGTTCTAGAAGTATTAATCACGGAAAATGACATGAATATATAGAATGATTTAATTTAAGCAATTTTAAGTTTTATTTATGCAAGAATTAAATTTATATGTATTATTTTCAAAATTTCAATACTCGCTCTTGTTTGGATTTAAATGAATCGGGTTACTTCGATATAATACTAGCGATTGAGTTAAATTTTATTTCTTCAAGTCAGCTAATAAAGATATCAGATTATTTTCAAAAATTGAAAGTATTATTAGCAAAATGTTTTTGGTAGCTTGGTTTTTTAATGAGCGTTGCATATAACGGAGTTCATATTTCTGTTTCGTTTAGTATAAGAAGAGTTTGATACAGGCCCTGAAAAGAGTTCAATGGGGTTCATTAGAATCTAATCTCCACAATTCATAATAATAGCTGAATGAGATATTCTTAAAATACTAAACATATCGTTCTTTCATTTTTTACACAACTGTTACGAGCACAGTCAGGGAAAGATTTTGTCGCATTCCAATCGTATCTTCGCTGTATTTTCTTTGCTACTCATGCACACGGTTTTTAATATAGAAGACATTATTTGTAGTAATATCAAGTTTTGTATGGCAGCCATAGCAAAATTGAATAAAGTTCCTAAGTTAGTCGATTACATATTGTCAATGATTGTTGTCAAATTATGATCGAGTCTACAGAAATCTGGTATAGTCTTGTCAGGGACCATGAGAAGATCCTACTAAAGCCTAAATGGATGTTGCAAGAAAAATTATGTGTTGAACAGCTGTTTCACTAAAAATATATTGAAAATTTTCCTTTCCTTCGTATCTTTTTTCAGCTTGTTTCAAATGTCAGCCTGAATACATATGCATCGTCTATTCAGATATAGAAACACAATTCATTTTCCTATAGGTCATGTTGGTATTATTAATGCACTCCTCGACCATTGGGCTGATTCACATGTTTGTGATATGAACGAATGGACACCATTGCACCATGCAGCACGATGTAGTAGGAATGCGAACGACGAAGAACGACCTCAATGTATTGAAAATCTTATTAAACGTGGTTTGATCAATATCAATGCGTTGACTATTCGACGAGAAACACCATTGCATATTGCATGCGAATATGGTTCGAGTAAACTTGCCAAACAGTTGATAGAATTCGACTGTGATCTATTAGCAAGGAATGTAGACGGTCACAATTGTCTTGAAGTAGCGATCGAAGCAAACAATGAAGAAGTTGTTCGATATTTGATTGAAAACGACAACTGTTTCGATTTAATGCGCAATTCACAAATTCGTAAAAATAAACGCCACTGGTATTCTTTGCTTGCTCGCCATTGTAAAGTAGACACGCCGATGAGAAAACTCATTCGTAAAATGCCCAACATGGCTTTGCTCGTGCTTGACAAATGTTCAATGAGAGTGGGCATCAAAGGAACAAATGTAAGCAAGAACATTTTTGTGTATGAATTTCTGGAAGATCAGTTTACGGTGAACAAGTGGAAGGGAGGTATATCATTTAAATTTTTTTACTGATGCCTAGATTAATAATATAATTTTTCTTCTATTCATACTCATCAGAAGATGTAACACAAAGCGAAGTGTACACTTCCAATACGGTTGATTTGGTAATGAATCATCCACTATTTCTCATGGAGCAGTATGAAACTCATGATCTAATGTCACATCCCCTTAGTAATTATCTCGTGAACTTAAAGTTTAAAACATTCGGTATTTTTCTCTATGTCCTGATTCTCTTGCTATATATGATTTATCTCGCATTGTTTACTACGATCGTACTACGCAACAACCATCCAGGAGCCTATTATAATCTTACAAATATTGATTTCGAAGATTCATTGTGTTACAATGTTTCGCAAGCACTTCTGACAGCATCACCAAGTCTTGGCGGTATGAAAACAACGTTTGACTATATTTTGAAATACACAATGTACATTGTTATTTGGTCACTTATATTCAAGAATATGTTTAACATCATAGAAATCTTGCAAATTAGTTTCTTTAAAACGTTCAGATATTGGTTGGAAACTATTGCACTTTTACTGAGCTTCATTTTTGTACACGATCGCAGCTATCAGACAGATCTCACTTTCCGCTGCCCACTTCAATGGGAATATGGAGCATTTGCTTTACTTCTCAGTTGGTTAACTTTGCTTGGCTACATCCAGTTTATACCAGTACTAGGCCTCTATGTTACAATGCTTTTGGTTATTATCAAGAAGTTTATGCGATTTTCAATCATACTTCTCATCCTGATTAGCGGATTTGCATCAACGTTTTATATGCTCTTTCAAAACTTCGAGCCATTTCAAAGTGCAGGTTATTCTTATATCAAAACAGGTGTGCTAAAATTATGTTCTGCAACTTAAATACATTTCTTATCATTTTTTATTGACAAATTAGCACTCATGATATCCGGAGAATTAGACTTTGACGATCGCATGTACAATGAAAACACGAAAGCATATTATAACGTGTCATTCCTGGTTTACATCCTATTTACTCTCATAATGACCGTGTTCGTGACAAATCTTCTCATTGGTAAGATGCGTAGAAGAGAGGGAGGAAGAGTTCATCTTATATGCGTATATTTACAGACGCTTTGTGCTCTGTTAGATACCACTAACGAACTTTTAAGGTATTAAACGTGTGTCTTTTTGCATAGGTTTGGCTGTTGGTGAAATTCCACCGTTGATGAAACAAGCGTCAGATAATCGCACCAGATTATTTTTTGAACTTGTTGTCGTATGTGAGATTTTTCGTTACCGAATTATTTGGATTCTTCGGCGCGGTAATGTAAATGATGCTATCGCATATAGTTATCAAAATTTAGACAAAAAGAAGTGGTACGAACGATTTGAACAATGGCTGACGAATCGATGCTCTGTTTCAGCTCATGATGATAATGATGATGATCTAGCAGTGAACACTGATAAACTATTAGAATATTAGAAGATGATGCTTGAAGGATTGAAGAAACATATGCATGTTTTGGTTCAACAGATTAAAGAGCTTCACCTAGCAATGATGATATTATAACAGTTGCTTAACTTACGTTGTCTAATATTAGTGCTCTTCTGCAAATAATAGCTTTCAGCATAACCCCTTGTATGATTAAAATGTGAAAAACGATAAAAATGTTTTCTAGAGACTCTCTCTCATGCTCTCAGATAACATCTGATGCGATCCATCTTCGTCTGTAAAGGAAGTTGGTAACCAGTTGGCACGTTCTATGATGAAAAGTTATTTAATTATTTAATTGAATATTCAACATTTGGGTAACGCTACCTAATTATTTAGTTAAATAAAAAGACTGTTAAGTCGTGTTGAGGTGTGGATGTGGGTGTGGGTGTAATTATTAGCCTTAAATACAACAACATACCCTGATCCACAGCCAAACTATCAACGACACCCTCACCCGAATCCTCAACGGTACCCACACCCACACCCTATCAATTTATAAGAGATTCAATTTAGAACTTCATGTAAAGTTCAAAATTCAAATAGACGTCAGCGGCTCAGTAGATTGCTCGATGCACACATGTAGCTAACTGAATAATTGCTAGTGAAACAGAGATAGTAATGAACACGAAAGGTTTTAAAGCTGAAATATGGGAAGCTCCGCTGCTTGATCCACTACTTCCGCCAGTGTAAGTCCTAGAATTTTCATAAGAACATCCACATAGATCAAGTTAGCACGATATTGAGGTATGTTGTACTGCAGTTAGCACAATTACTTGTAGTGGGTCTCTCAAGCTCTGTACTAGATGCATCATTTTATGCTCTTACAAATGATACCATTTTTAACAAGTGCTGTCAAGCAAAAGCTTCGGATTATTTAAGAGATAATCATTTTTACTCTATATACTTGTTTTTCAAAAAGAGAAATTTCAGTTCTGTTTAGCTTAACGATTAGCATTGACTCTCTAAATGACTTACTATGAAAACGTAGAAAGAAACGTCGAAAAAAAAAGTCGAAAGGAAAAAACATCGAATCAATGAAAAATGTTGTGAGATGAAAAATATAAAATATATGTTTTATTTCATTGCAAAAAAAGGAGCAATACGTCCATTGATCAGGACAAATGATTATAAAAACATGAATCATTCGATATGTCCACATGTACGCGCTTAATATACAGTTTATGCGTTTTTCTCAATGAGCAATGATAGGTTATCCAACTATTGCTCAAGGTACGTGTCGTTGTTGTTGTAAAGTGCCATAAGAGTATCAATACGTTTTTAATGCGGTGCGAAGCACAGCATTTATGTAGCCCTACGCGAGTTTACTTTCTTCCTTTTTTTCTTCCTCGGCATACACATCAAATCTTAAGACTTTGTGACGCTATGATCTCGAAAACCGAAACTCAGAAAAAAATTGTTAAAACGTGACATGAAAGAATTAACATCATATATGTACCATTTTTTTGAAAAAACTTTCTACGTATTTCCTTTCGTTAGCAAATCGAGTCCCGAAAAGATGATTTTGATCAAATTTAGCGTTGAAATAATTAAGACGAAAATTGAAGCAGTAAAACCTTAGGCGCGTATTATAAATACTCATACATAGTAATAACAAACTAGAGTCCTCTATAAGATATCAATTATTTTGCAAAGCTCAAATCTAAGCTGTCAAAGAGGATCTATAGATATCTCATTCGAAATGGCTTGTTTAATTGATCTAAAATGAAAAGTCACTTAATTCTTTTTAACCATTATATATTATTCAAAAAAAGCAATGGAACTTATTCTACGATTATGGAATAATATTCTTTTCCATATCTATTACGCAAATTGTTCTATTTCACAATTGTTTCCATCTTACTGATAATCTTTATCATCCTTATAATAGAATCGTCAATGTTTCATTCATATAGAATGTAGACATTGTCATACCACAACAAACGTCACTATTTAAGCACATCAACGAAACTATTCTAAATGAAAAGCCAATTTTTTCTTAACATTAAAATAAATTTGCAAAAACCGTATGCGCTTCGCACCGCATTTCGTAGTCGAGTGAAGCTCGAGTACCATCTAGTTAAATATAGTTAGTAGAACTTGAACTTGGTCGCTGTTTAATACATCTAGTGATGTGCACATATAAGTGTTGAAATCGACTTTCTTCACTAATAATGCATTTGATGAATGGGTTCAGTACAGATGCTAATTGTCGAACAAGTTCAAGTTTTACTAATCGTATTCAAAAACGTATCGATACTCTCATGGCATGTTACAACAACAACGACGTCGACGTTGGGCAATTGTTGGATGACTATCATTGCCCATCACGAAAACAACATAAACTTTATATTAATCACGTACATCTGAACCTAGGGATGTGAAGTTGCAGTTTACTGCTAACTGAGGTCACCGAGATAATGAGCACGGAGTGTTGACTACACTGCACTGCCACTGGAGCTCAACTGCCACTGAATATCACTAACGCACCTATTCATCAAGAATATGTAAATGCGTAATGGCAGCACATCAATGTTGCTCGGTATCAATTGAGTCCCAGTTACAATGTTGTCAGTGCAGTGTAGCCTGTGAATAGTATCTCGGTAATCTCAGTTATCAGTAAACGGAAACTGCACATCCCTATCTGGGCCCATCGAATGATTCATGTTTTTATAACCATTTGTCCTGATCAATGGACGTATTGCTCCTTTTTTTCAATGAAATAAAGTATATATTTTATATTTTCCATCTCACAACATTTTTCATTGATTCGATGTTTTTTCCTTTCGAATTTTTCTCGTTCGATGTTTTTCCCTTCGACATTAATTTTTTTCGACATTTTTTTCGACGTTTTTTCTTTCCACATTTTTTCTTTCTACGTTTTCAATACATACCCTCTAAATTGCTGTAATAGATGAAGAACTCAATGCTCTATCATTCGTCTTATTGTGAAGCTAAGGATAAGACGTATTTCGTTCGTTCCTGTTCTCGTTCCACATATACAGTTACATCGATTTTTCTCTACATAAAATCACGCACTCAGTGCGTGACGCGTTAAAATAAAATAAAATAAACAAAACAATAAATAAATAAATATCCATCTATTTATTTATTTTTATTTTATTTTTCTCATTAATTTGAATATTAAGTCGACGAAAATCACTTCTTATCCAAATTACTTTATGAACAATCGTACAGATCCTCGAAATGATCAGTCAAATACTAATACGAAGAAAAACCGTTATAATGATGAACCACCATCAAGCGACAATGACAAAGCTAATTCAAACGTTTATCACGATCAGATTTCTAATGTGGTTTTTCATGGAAGAATGCCACGACGTAAAACGATTCCTCCACCAATATCCAGTAATATGCAACTGATTAATTCTCCAGCACCATCGCCCCGTCGTCTTCGTTCATCTGATGGTTCTGATGATGAGTACGTCGAGGTCAACAACAACAAGAAGAAAAAACGTATACAAAAACAAACTGGACATCTTCATCCTGATCAAACTTACCCGATTCTTGATTTCAACCTGAACAACAACTGCAACACCACAACAGCTCCTCATTCATCAGTTCCAACACACAAAGTAACATCCCCTGCTCAACCTGTTCATCATTTAGCCAATCCCCTACACCATCATCAAGAACGTCCTCAAATTACACGAGAATCAACACGGTATGCACAAACTCGTTATCCATTTCCACCGTTCGTCATTCGTTTCAACTCATCTAACGTTACGACAAAACAAGTATCTGAAGATTTAATCGAACATGTCAAATTAAAATATCAAAAAACAATTCAACTAGCGAATTGCCGTACATCAAATATTGCTCGCGTTAATAATGAACACGATCTGTTGATTTACATAAAAGACTCCGATTCCTTTTGCTTTCTACTAGATCAATCGACTTGGCCAACAAAATTATGCAATTTAGTTTATACGTTTCCGACCTCTCCTTCTATTCAACCTCAACTCAGTTTGATTATCAAGAATGTTGATTTAAGAATTGATTTAGAAGATTTTATCGACGATATCAAAGCGTCGTATTCTCATGTTAAAAATGTTATAAGGATGAAGAACAAGTTTCAAAACAACATCAAGTTGGTTAAAATTGAATTAACCTCTCCTTCACTTAAAGAACAATTGTTAAATTCAAAGAAAATAATTGTCAACCACATTACTTATGATATCGATGAATATCTTGCTCCAGCTACTGTCTTAATTTGCTCAAGATGTATGGCCATTGGCCATTTCAAAAGCCAATGTAAACAAATCAATGAGACATGTAAGACGTGTGGCGAACAATGCGTCGATTTAAAACTGCACAATTGCTCACAGGTGGAAAAATGTATACATTGTCAACAAAACCATAAATCAAATGCACTTAAATGTCCAGTCGTTAAATCTTATCGTGCAGAACTTACAAAAAAAATATTGGATATTAATAGTGGATCATTGCCAAAACCAATGCCGAAAAACAACATTTTCAAATATAATTACACCTACGATGCATCGAATTTCCCTCCTCTTCCGCATGCGCAATCAAATTTTAATTCAAATAACCCGATGATGATCAAACTAGACGATCTAATTGAAAAAATGACGGAAGTTAAAGAACATTTAGCAACTTTAGCTATAAATAATGAAAAATTTGAACAGTTCATACAAGATAAAAATCAACATGATGATCTTACTAAACAACAAATTGACTCACTATTAAACAATGATAATGCTATAAAAAAAGATTTAGTTCAACACAGTTTACTAATCGAAAGACATGAAAATATGTTTATCAAATTATTAATACCGATGTTCGAAGATCTATTTACACTGATAGCTGGTCAAAATCAAGACAAAAGAGGTAATACACTTGATGCTGATTTAAAGTGTAGATTGGACCGTTACCTTATACAAATGAAAAAAACAAGAGAAGGCAAAAGCTGCTTAATCTAATGACTCTGTCGCCTTATGCATTTCCTTTTTTTTCTTGTACTAATTCTCTAAAACTATGTATCCGAAATTTGTTTTTAACTAGAGCTCAAGTGAGTCTTTCTCACTTCGATTATACTCTCTTTTCCAGTATTCTTGAAGAGTGGGAGAGTTGTTCTTTTTTGTCTTCGTGTTTTTATATTTGGCAAAAGCACGTTTATATCGAAAACACTTCTTCTCTTTCTTCTCTTCATGTTCTTTCATTCAACGTACGTGGGTTTGATCTTAGATGGCAAGAAGTCCTCCTTTTAACCACTTCTTTTAAGTCTGATCTCATCATTCTGTTGGAAACAGGTATGATGGATATCTCTCTTTGTGAAAAAGCTTTCTCTAACTACACGTTCTTCTATCAAAAAGGCGAAAATCGTAACGGGGGCGTTTTTGTTCTAGTGAAAAACGGAATTCACGTCAACAGAGTCGACTGTAAGCTACCAAACGTCTGCGTCATTGATATCAATGCAGAAGATGAACTACGTATCTTAGGTATATATGCGTCCGATAGTAGATCTTGGTCATGGGATAATATTTCCCCACTTATCTCAAACAGATGCGTTGTCTATGGAGATTTTAACGTGGATCTTGAGCATGACACTAATAAAGCAGAAATTCTGTTAAACTGGGCAGACGAAAATTCTTTAGCCCCATATACACCTAATCTACCAACTTCTCTTCGTTCCAATAGAATTATTGATTATGCCTTTGCTAGAGGTATGAATATAGACATTCAAACACATGCAAGTAACACAACGAGTGACCACTTTCCCATTCTCTCAGTTATTTCTACGAATATAAAACAAAATGTATTAGGAGCGAACGTACGCTGGAAAGTATTTGCGCTGTTCTCTGAATATGCATACGCGTTCTGGGAAAAAAGATGGAATGTAAGGAATATTGACGGAACCTATGATGAATACATTAAATTTTTATCACTGCCCACAGCTCGTTGTACAATCACTTTTCCGCTAGATAGGTATCGTGTAGCGTTACCAACTGAGCTTAGATCTTTCATGTCGTATGTAAGAGCGTTATCTTTTCGAGCATTAAGAACAAAAAGTTCAGAATTAAAAATGGAAGTGTGTTGCTTAAGGAAAATCGCTAAAACAGAACTGAAATCATTTCTTTCACGACAACTTTCAATAGCGCTTCGCCTTCGTAACACATCCTCGCCCATCTCGGTATCCTTCTGGGCGAGAACCAAACGCTTTCTTAAGCCGTCTTCCTCTACGCTTCATGCATTCGTCGACTCATCTGAACAAATTATAAGGGAGCCGGGTAAAATGTGTGAACTAGCTGCAGAGTTCTACGAAGATTTCTTTAAAAAAAATGAAGTAGTAAGACCACATCCTTATACAGACACACCACTGATTGAATTCGATAACGAAGATGAAAATATTCCGGAAGTAACTCTAAATGAATTAATTGAAACTATTCATGCTAAAAGAAAGAAAAAATCCCTGGATGCCCATGGTATCTCAAACTTTATGTTCAACTTTCTAGCTCCATCAAATTGGTCCCTTCTCTTACAACTCTACAACCAGTCGTTTCAAAAAGCTACACTACCTGTTGCGTGGAAAGACACGCGTATGATTCTTTTAGCTAAAAAGAAATCCATTTGCTCTCCGGCTGAAACGCGTCCTATCTCTCTGTTGGATGTATTCCAAAAAGTAGGAGAGAAAATTTTCCTAACGCGCTTCCAAGATGTGTTAGACAGAAGAGGTATTCTTCCTGATACTCAATCAGGCTTTAGAGATAAGTTCAGACTACAAACTCGTTTACTGTTGTTCTTAGAGGGCGTTCATAGCTTAATGTCGAATAGTGCGCCGGTCAGTACAATTTTCGTAGATTTCAGGTCAGCGTTCGACCAACTCTGGCACATAGGTTGTATAGGAAAACTACGCAGATTAGGCATCCCACGCTCCTACCTAGACTGGATAGAAGCTTGGCTAATAAATAGACGTGGATACATTGAAATCAATGGTAAAAAGTCGCGATGGTTTTCAATCGAAAAAGGAGGTCCCCAAGGGGGGATCCTAACACCATCCCTGTTTATTACCTACCACTGTGACATGGGACAATTCCTACCCTGGTGTACTAGCCACTTTTTCGCCGACGACCTCGCGGCGGTCGTCGCTGGTCAGCTAGGAAAGCGATACACGGATCAATGTCTGGACTTAGAAAAGAGAATCAAACTATTTCTGAATCAGCTCGAATATTATTCTCTTCTAGCTGTTCAACCGATTAATTTCGCTAAGACAGAGGCACTATATAGCGCACGTGCTATTGGTTCACCGAAATTCAACATTTTCTTTGATGAAATGAAAGAAAAATAAATAAATTGGGTTAGGGAGTTCAAATACCTGGGGTACTGGATTACCCCCAAACTAGGCTGAAACAACATGTTAAATAAAACCATGATTAAAGTTCGACAACGTATCTCGTTGATTAAGTCATTTAAGCTTTCAGGGTGTACTTCACCCCAACTTAGGCTCGCTTTGTTCTCATCGTACATTTTACCCCTGTTCACATGGATCTACCCATGTTTTCTATCCATACTGAGAAGCAAAAACAGGATCTGCCTCACTTCTACTTTTCAAGCCTTCAAAGAGTTATGTTCTCCTCTCACTGGAATGATCACTTCTTTTCATACCCTCTTGACGAAATTTCTCTAGAAGACAGATGCGCGTCTTATTGGGAAAAGTACTTGGTAGCTTTAGCCGATTCTGTTGATGGTGAACTTCTACTAGAAAAAGCAATTCTGAACGTTCTCAGGACGGCGTGGACTCACGGTGAATTTCCTATTAAAGGTCTAAGACGTTCGAAGAGATTCATCGAAAGCACTTCGATCATAGAGAAAGTGGTATCGTGGCTGGCAATAGTCCCCTGCTCGTCCTCTATCCCCTTCTACGACACTGATGAGGTACAACTCCTATAAGAGCACCCCGAAACATTTTTGTTTATGAGTCCAAGCTCATAAAGGTTCTCTCAACTCGGCGTAATCGTCTAAATGGGGAATCGTAAATTGTGCAAAAAATCTTTCTATTCGTGCCATACGAATTCCACGTACGTTAATGAAATCAATTTACCCACTGGTTGTTCTCTCCTATATCTACTTCTTTCGTCCGCGTGAAATGGTATGGTCGTGGTCTTCTTCTCTTCTGTACGTTACTTAATTTCTTCATATTGTTATTGTTCTTTATTTTTCTCTTTTTCTTTTTACTTTTCACTGTTTCATCCTCTCTCCATTAACATTGTACTGCAAGGATTAAATCGATCACAGTGTCAGCAAAATATTAAAAAAAGAGCTAATCTCTCTTGAGTATACTCTTAGATAAGTTTCTTTTTCATGAATACTTCAAGAAAAAAAGAGAGAGAAGGGAAATACTCTCCCCCTCACCAACACTTTCCCTCTCTCTCTGTCTCTTTTCCTCACTATTCTCCCTTTGAATGTGTAGATACACATCCTGCCACAAATTCAAATTCTTCATGAGATGAATTTATAGCATTATGTCAATGAGTTCACTGCAATTTAATCTCAAAATTTATCGAATCAATCAGAAATGAAAGGAACATTAAGAACGACGGCTCCACTATCGATTTATATAAATCTTGTTGTTTTCAGAAAGATGCGTCAATTTATTACATTATTCTCATTGATTCATTTAACACAAAATGAGATCGAACTGTTCTTACAAATTTTATCGAATGTTTTTATTATTATAATCTATTGGTAATAGCGTTTACTTGAATTCTGTATGATTTTATTAACACACATTAATAAGTACTCGCGATCTCTATTTCTTCATCAATCAGTTCAACAACATCAAATGGTAATATTCAATCGTTTTTACTCTCTAGTACAATTCATATTTTCTAGATCTTTAAAATACGACGAATCTCCTCGAGTTGATCAACCATCAACCATTTGGATATATTGGATTTCTATTATTACACCGATTAACACTAAATATCATATTGATCTATTTCTCAAACATATAACTATGGAACAATGAGTGTATGTGGAAAAAAACATGGGTCGCTTCTTTATTCTATCGCTTATACATTCATTAATTAAACAACAATTTACAATCGTTTTTACATACAATAGAATCTTTTGAGAAGGTAATGTTTTTGTTTCTATATTGAATTTATTTTAATAGATAATTAGTTAATCAATTAACGCAAGAATTCAACAAACAGTTCGAAATGTAATTTATCTTAAAAGAATTTCTCACTTGATGTTTTAATTAAATATTTTGACACAGAAGTCAGGTAATCGGTTCTATAATTTCAGATTATTGCCAATTAATTCTTCATCTTCAATCAAAATTATTAAAAATCAAATATAAATATTGCAATACTTTTACTACAATTGATTTTTTTTATACTCATAATAAATTAGTTTACAATAAAGAATCCACAAAGTAGTTCCACCACTATCATGTCAAGATGAAAAACTTCTTGAACATAATCTCTTATGGTTTACATTTAGATTTTTTAGAGATTTATTGAAAAAATATTTTGGTTTCTATCATCAGAATTTTTTAGAATTATATTTTTGACAACGGAGAATAGTTTACAAGATTTTCTTTTTACTTATCGATGAAACGATTAGAACATTTTTGGATTGGCTAGGAAATTTATAGTATAAGTATAAAGATATTGAAATTCGTATTATATCCTATATGCATTAACAGCAGTTTTATCACGGATGGTTTTGACCACGATATATATTATTTTCATCACAAAATAAGACAAAATGTAGTTTATTTCTAAATTTCCATTTATCTTCATTTAGTAGAGTGAGAATAGTATTTACCTCAGTTTTTTCATTTTATTAGAATTCAATTGTAACTCTTTCAGAATTAATATCGGCTGTGAGGTTCACAGTTGTTATTTATGTTAAAATTGTAGCATCGATGTCAAGATAGAAAATTAGAACTGGAATAAATTTGATATACTCTGAAGTTCTTCTGATTAAGAAGTAAAATGATTTATTTTCTTTTATATTTAGTTTTGTAGATAATATTTTACATGTATACAAAATATTTAATACTTATTTTTGAATCAGACTTATAGATATGATTAATGAAGTATTTACTAATGAAAATTTAATTCAAATAATTCGTTTTGTTGCTTATTTTCCTGAGGAAAATTATGATAGATCAGAAAAGTTTTTGACAAACTATTTCTTCATCAGCTTTAGTGTTGGGCTATCGTTGATATTGAATTATCAAATATTCTTCCTCTGGCAACACTAACTGAAAAACATCTAGCACTGCTAGAAAGAACACTTGCTTTAACTTCAAGGGTGTGGGTGTGGATGTTCTGGACGTCCACACCAACGCTCTCGCACTGTATTCGAGATTTAGAAAAAGAGAAGTTTCTTTTGAACAGATTCTTATACCAAGCTCATTAGCATATGCATATAGAGGTCGATATCGGTTGAACGATTGTTTATCTACTAAAAAACAACAACAGAATGGTACTATTTGTAAGGGGGCTGATATAAGTAACAGTTCGTTTCATTAGTTAGAAAGTATGACAGAGTAATGGAAGATTCATTTTTCTCCACTCAAAATGGTTTGAAGTTTGTTTTATGACAGTATTGCAAATCAACGAAAGCAGTCTTACAATTCAATCATTTTAATTCGAAAATGGTAAAGAATCTATGTGTTAATATTTCTAATCTAACTCCAAGATTAATGTACTAATGATTTTATATAGTTACACAAGTAGAGTGAACGAATCGTATGTTTACAAGGAAAAAATATTAATAAAAATGTAAATATGTAGTTGAACAAAGAAACAGTTACTGTTGTATTGATTCATCTAATTTTAATCTATTTTGAGATCGTGCGAATACTATTGAAAATCTAGTTAGTGTAACGTGTCTAAAATTTCAGCAGTTATTTCTTCTCCAATATAAAACAGTTTCATTCAATACTTTGCTCAACTTTAAGAGTATAGAGCGCAATCAATCCTCAATAAAATTATATAAAACTTTTAAAGTTCCTTAAAAATACAACAAAACTGAAGAAAATAAGTGAATCCTCCTGTACTGTATATTATTCTCTGATAGTTTGTGGGATGCATACATTTGAAATTGTTCATCGAAACATGTACATGTTGGAATAGTATTGAGAAACAAAAAAAAACCTGTCATGTTTTGCATTATTACATTTTTCGAAAACATGCCATTATTAATTTGTGAAGCGATTAAAATGAGAAATGTCATATATGATAGCAAATCACATATTTATTCTTGTGTCTCTTTTGATAATAAAAGCTTCTCAAAGTTAAATGCTTAAAATCACTAGATTTGTAGAAGGACGTATTTTTGTAAAGATTGTCAAAAAATGATTGATCATGAAAAACGGAAAAGAATTAGTTTAAATGAAAATATTTTCTACAATGATATAACTATTGTCATGTAGCATAGAACAAATGATTCAATACGATAAACGATGAACTTGAAAAGACTCATAGATAATGTGAATTCAAGTTATCTTCCTATTGCAACTTCAATATGATTTTAACTCAGTGACAAATATAAAACCTTTACGACCATCTAGTCGTATTCTTGTTTCAAAACTTTGTATATACGAAAAGATATGTATTTTAGAAGCTATATAAGTTAGTCTGAAAGAAACAGGGTATCACTAAAATTATTCATGATGAGAAAAGAACAAAAATATTTCTAACTCTATATTACTATTATAAGTCAAACGACTGTAACGTATACTAATTGAGTCAGTACTTCTCGGCCAATGTCATCATTTTGTTTTGTTTATTTTACTACGAATTGAGTTCAATGATCTTACCCTTTATTCTCTTTTCTTTCTCATATACCATCGAATGATTATTTTCCCAATCAATAGCACATCATCTACTATTTCATGAATTTGATTATTGCTACAGATAGTCGAAGATTCAGTTTTTAAATGAACTCTTTGGCTACTGTAAAAAGAGTTGAAAAAGCTAGTTATAGATCTAATCAAGAATTAATTTTTCCGTGAGAATTCGTAGAATTTCTCAGAAATCGAGATCCAAAGACTTTAAATACCGATAATAAAAGTTTTCCTGTGTGTATATCACTTCGATACATCTTTAATCTCTTCGCACGAATCATTTATTTCGAATAGAATAAGAAGTTATGTTAGATTTGCTGAATATCAGAGAGCAGAAGCAGATTCTCTTAAAAAGTGATGATATGATCTATGCGAGTTTTTCCTATGAGTACATCGTACCTGACAAATGCAAATAGTTATATTCACATAGTCCACACTAATCGAGACAATAAAACAGCAATATCTTACCTTCATTAATTGAAGCACTAATTTTTACAGCAGACATCTGCAACAATGAGATATTTCATTAATATTTTTTCTTCTTTTAAGTATCTATGATCTTACTTGGCCAGTGATCGAATTTATTCCTGTATTTTTGCTAGCACTGGCAGCTGCTCCATGTGTATCAACCTATAAATAGAATGATATAAGTGTTAACCTTAGAAGACAATAAGAAATAGTTTGATTTACTTGAGGTTTGGTCGATATTTTCTCTGTTTTATCTTTGTTTGTGCAAGAAGAGGTCGTCGTCGAATCATCTATAATAAAAAAGAAACATCAGTTATATATTCTTAATTTCACCAAAGCTCGAACAAATTTAAAGCAATGCTTAATATAAGTAGTACTATATCTATTAAATAAACATTATATTTTTATTATCTTTCGAACTCACCAGGTGGATTGGAATGAATTGGCAATGAACCAACAATAGGTACCGGTTGTAAAAGTGGAAATGGTGGCTCAGTTTCTTCCAATTGAATAATGTGAAGATTACCTTGATCAAGGGAGCTGACTACTTTAAATTGTGTTGCTGCCATAAGAAGTACTTCATCTTCAACGGGATAAAATGAATGTTTACGAATGTCTCTGGCTGATTTGCAGTGTAAGGTAAACATAGTTCTGTTACCGGTCTTTCCCAAGAACATTTCTGATTTTAGCACACCAACAGATGTTGTGCATGATGAGAAACCCCACCAGACAATTGTTTCTCCTTCGATATAGCGGCGGCTGAGGTCTAATTTAACACCTCTGTATGCAATTGCTGGAAGCAGC